CTCCTTACCGAGGCGTAACCGTATACCGAGCTTGAAGTATAATATATGTGATTCTTACACAGCTAGGAATGAACAAACAGATAGGCAAATCGAAAGAAAGAAACCTCCAACTTCTACACTTCCATGCGCCAGAGCCGTCATCACGATTGCGATTTGCAGAAACACCCGAATGAAACCCCAAGATCTCATGATTTATAAAATGAAGGACTAAGTTAGATACCTACATATAGTTGCGAAATCTACACTACACAACAACAATACCAGTAGGTAACCACAGTCTATCTCCATTCAAAAACCCATACAGTCGATTTATTACAACCAAATCCAAATCTCACTATTGATCTATACACACATGACTTTCCTACAAATGCATATTCTTCACACCCAGCACCCATCAAACTCAAACTCCCAATCCCCATCCTCTCATCTCAATTCACATCCTAAGAGTCAACTACACATCCACAACTCTTCTCGACTGTATGAAAATGCTACGCTACGTATGCATCCAACTTTAGCATCACCTATGCCCCATAGACCAGAGATGAGATGTCGAGTATTGATAAGTAGGTAGTTCAAAGACTAACTAACCAATAGTGAAAGGACGACCGAAGCTACGGTAGTAGAGGTTCAATATCTAGAGATAGAGAATGCATTCCTAGTATACGGCGTTTAATCCGCATGGCTAGCTTAGCCATGCTCCCATGCCAACACCTCACATTCTTCTCACAACTTCAGACATTCAAAAGGAAATCTTGACTTTTCAGTTTCACACAATCATTCGCAAAAAATATATAGCACAAAACGTTAATTATCATAGCATTTTCCCATCTGGGAATTTCATACATTTTAACATAAAAAAGGAGGCCTAATGTACGAGAATAAACTGTAAAAGCAGAAACTAAAAAAAGTGGCCCACTGTGATGAACAAAATACAGTAGCAGACCAGAGCAACCCATTAGCTCCGAAAGCCCAGAAAAATTTAATTCTCGTAAACCACCGCCCAACACCACAACCGCACCCAATGTTATTTTAATAATTTATGCATTCATCTTTGCCATTGTGTTCAAGGCGCTTCCGTTCTTGAACCATTCAATTTGTGGAGCGTTGAAAGTGTGTGCGAGCTTGATGTCGAATGACTCGCCGGATTTAGGGTGAACTCTGAGGGTCATTGGCTTGCCAACTGCGATCTCAGTGCACAAAAGGTCGACCTGAAGAGAAAAATTGTCAGTATAATGGTTCATAATTAGGATACTTGTTCGAGTTTCATACCTTGTCATATGGATCGATCTTCTCATAGTCATCTGGGTTGATGAAAGTCAAAGGAAGCATTCCTTGCTTCTTCAAGTTGGTCTCGTGAATACGGGCGAAAGACTTGGTAATGATGGCAAGACCTCCAAGATGTCTTGGCTCAAGAGCAGCGTGTTCTCTTGAACTTCCCTCACCGTAGTTCCAGTCACCAATAACGACCCATCGGATACCCTTCTTCTTGTAATCTCTGGCAGTAGCTGGGACGGCATCGAATTCACCAGTGGTGAAGTTCTTGACCTTGTTGGCCTCACCGTTAGCACTGTTGATGGCACCAATCAACATGTTGTTGGAGATGTTGTCCAAATGTCCACGGTACTTCAGCCAAGGACCAGCCATAGAGATGTGATCAGTGGTGGTCTTTCCCTTAGCCTTGATCAAGATTGGCATGTCCAAAGCATCCTTTCCATCCCATGCGTTGAATGGCTCGAGGAGTTGAAGACGGTCACTGGTTGGGGAAACGGCAACATTGACTGAAGCACGCTCAGCGGGTGGTGCTTGGTAGGTATCTTGTCCTGGGTCATATCCTCTTGATGGCAATCCATCACCAGTAGGTGGGGACAATTTGAATTCCTTTCCATCCTTACCCTTCAAGGTATCGGTAAGAGGGTTGAAGTGAAGGGAACCAGCGATAGTCATAGCGACTACGAGATCTGGGGATGCGACGAAGGAGTGAGTAGCTGGGTTGGCATCGTTACGTCCAGTGAAGTTACGGTTGTAGGACGAAATAATGGAGTTAGCAGTTCCTTTGGGTACGTCACGCCTGTCCCATTGCCCTAAGGAAAAATGTAAGTAACGTTGAAGGATAGAAGGGGTAAGTAAGGGCGAAGTGAAATAGATCTGGAAGGGTGACCCTGATGAAGTATTTCAATGTCCGAACCAATCTCAACAATTGAAGCTTTTCAAATGCACCAATCAATTTCAACAATTGAAAAGCCACCTGAGCGAGAAATGGCAATCACTCTCTCAGCAAAGCATTTCAATGTTCAAATTGTGGTTGAGAATTGAATGGTCGGATCGTTTAGGCAAAAAAGGGGTACTAACCGATACATGGACCACATGCGTTGGCCAAGACCATACCTCCGAAATCCTAATGAAATAGTTAGAATAATGTTACTTTGATGGTTCTATACAGAATTACTAACCTCGAAGGTCTTCAATTGACCATCACGCTCAATAGTAGCACGGATTTGTTCGGAACCAGGAGTAACAGTGAAGAGAGCCTTTGCCTTAACACCATGAGCCATGGCATCTTCAGCGATAGAAGCAGCACGAGACATATCCTCATAAGAGGAGTTTGTGCAAGAACCAATAAGTCCAACCTTTAATTCCTCAGGCCAGTTGTTGGCCTTGACGGCCTCACTGAACTTGGAGATTGGGGTAGCAAGATCTGGGGTGAATGGTCCGTTGATGTGTGGCTCGAGCTCAGAAAGGTTGATCTCAATCAATTGATCGTATTGTGCACCTTCATCCTCTCTGAGTTCCTTGGCGTATGTGCGAGCAAAGTCTCCAATTTCGGTACGCTTGGTAGCAGCGAGGTAATCGTACATACGGTCGTTGAATGGGAAGAGAGAAGTGGTTGCACCAATTTCAGCACCCTGTAAATATAGTTAGTGACAAGCCAGAAAGATGACATGTGAATTTTCAAAAGGAATTGAGACAATGAAAATATGCGAAAGGAAGAGATGAGAAAATACACATACCATGTTACAGATCGTACCCATACCAGTAGCAGAGATAGTCTCAGTACCTGGACCGAAGTATTCGACAATAGCACCAGTTCCACCCTTAACAGTCAAGATACCAGCAACCTTAAGGATAATATCCTTTGGAGTAGCCCAGCCGGAGAGTTGACCAGTGAGCTTAACACCAATAACCTTTGGTGCCTTCAACTCCCAAGGAAGGTTGGCCATGACATCGACAGCATCAGCTCCACCAACACCAATAGCGCACATTCCGAGACCACCAGCATTTGGTGTGTGGGAATCGGTACCGATGAGGAGACCACCTGGGAAAGCGTAGTTCTCGAGGAGAATTTGGTGAATAATACCAGAACCTGGCTTCCAGAAACCGATGTTGTATTTTGCGCAAGAAGTAGAAAGGAAGTCGTAAACTTCCTTGTTGATATCAATAGCCCGAGTAAGATCCTTAGCACCTCCTACTTGTGCCTCGATCAAATGATCACAGTGGACGGTGGTAGGGTTTGCGACGGAAGGCATGCCAGCGGACATGAATTGCAAGATGGCCATTTGAGCAGTGGCATCTTGACAAGCCACTCTGTCGGGTCTGAGTTTGAGGTATGATACACCACGCTCAATTTCTTGACCGTGAGGATCATCCAAATGCGAGTAGAGAATCTTCTCAGCGTAGGCCAAAGGACGGTTTAACCTTTGACGAACAATGGAGAGGTTCTCGGACATCTTCTTGTAATTGATGAAGTTGTTCTTTTCGTGGATGTTTTGTCTGACTTGTTTATCAAGCGGGGAATCACCAACAGTGGCCATTGTGCGAATGCCCATGCCGGTGAATGCTCGCCGCTGCGCAGCAGCGAGAACCTGTCTTGTTGCCAACATTATGAGAGAAGTTGGTAAGGTAAAAGAGGAGGGGAGGGAGGAAGGTTGTAGGTTGGAAAGATTATTATACCACTCGAAGTTGTAAAATAGTGGGAGGAAGAAACTTGGACAACCGAAGCTTGGGGCCGCGGGTTATCTTCAAGCTTGGACCAGGGAGAGCGGACCAATGAGAGATGAGGTATTATGATTTTTATATAAAATGGGATTAAGGCGAGACAGGAATGGAGTTGAAGTGAATGCACAAAGATGTAATCTGTGTCAAGTTTTGTCCAATTAGATATAAATATAACAGTTAGATAATCAATCAGGTGGGATGGGTGGATGGATGGATGGATGGATGGATGGATGGTATTGTACGGAATTGTATGATATCGTGTTGTATGATATTGTATTGTATGAATTAAAAAGATTGAATGGAAATAATCATATCAAGAACATCCATAGCAAAAACAGGAGAGAACAGACTTTAAATTTATTTCTCATGACCTACTCTACTTCGTACGTACTTTGTGTTACTCTGCTCTCGTCCCTCTCGTTTCCTCTCCTCCCCTCTCGCTCGTCAAGGGTTGGGTTGGAAATTGAAGCGGCAATGAAGCCTTTGTTTGCGGCTATATTTCCAATGCGAATTTTTCGTAGGTCTGCAGGTCGATAAGTGGATAAAATTTTCAGATTAGCAACCAATCAGATTGCAGTGCCCGCATCCATTTATCCACATTCTCATTTGCGTGTGAATCTGGCTTCACCATTATGGTCCGTCTAACGGGTCCGGTGCGATGCGAAGGCGGACTTTGACTCCGATCATGTGCGATGAATATAGGACCTCCCCGAGGCTGAGTTGGCTCGGTTGGTTCTTCCAAAGTTGGGAATTTTGATATTGATCATTTTTGTATATTATATATACATATACATACCTATATATATACACTTCTATCCATGGTGTTGACTTGATAGTATCTATAACACTAGGTACTCAGTCAGATCACATCACTTGTACATTTTCAGCTATCTTGAAATCTTGAATATTCTCAATACTTTGACTCTTTGAGACTTTCCATCGATCAAATCGTACCAATACCAACGCATACACTCCGTAAATATCATGGACCATTGAAAACCATCTCGATGGCATCTGCATCTGCTTCTGCATCCAAGACAAATCCCAACTTCCGCCGGGACAGATGGAGCGGAGCTTTCCAAAACCGATCCAAACTTCCGCACTCTCTTCCCGATCTAACCGTGAAGCCTCGGAGGCTCGGACAGATGCACCACGTTGGATTGGTCTTCCAAAGTGGATCCTCAGACAAGTGGGATGAGCATCAAGGGTAAAAGTTTCCCCGTAATTTCAAAAAAATGTGAAAGCCTAGAGCAAATTTTTTAGTAATTCTCGATTGCGGAGTTTGCGACTGTCAACCATTGTCCGATACATTGAAATTTCCATTTGCAGTAAAACTCCAATCAAGTCGATCCATGAAATAAGACATCACGATATCAATACAATACTACTACTAATAAATCAAAATGGGTATTCCTCAAAAATCAACAAAGACCAAGACCAGAAGAAGATTGAGGCAAGTTCTATTTTCAATTTTCAATTTTCAATTTTCAGTTGTTAGATGTTGAAAAAATTTGTGCGCAAAACTAATATTTCTCACAACAGAGATCTCGATCAAATTTCTGCCGATATTCGTTCTCCAAAACATCTTGCCCAACATAAAGGTTCAAAAGCCGCAGAGGATTTGCCAGGCTTAGGAAAATGGTATTGCATTGAGTGCGCAAAATGGTATGAATCGGAGAATAGTATGCTATCGCATCTCAAGGGCAAACCTCACAAGAGAAGGTAGGTTCTGTGAATCACGGGAAAATGTTTGTATAGCAAGATGTTAATATGATGTAATAGAGTCAAGGCATTGAAGGAAGGACCATATACACAAAGAGATGCTGAAGCAGCTATTGGCCAAGGACCTGCAGACAATGGCAAGAGAAACAAGGCTCTAGATGTAGAGGTAGAGATGGAAAACTCCGGATTTATCGACGACCAGGAAACCTGAGCACAGCTATCGTTGTCCCTCGACATGGAGTCATCACACGAGGGGTTTATCAAAGCTTAGTTTATCGTGGCTACTACAAAATCTATGGCGGGGTATCATGGTGGAGAAGGAACTTTGTAATGTGTATTTCCGTCTCATCTTACACCCCGACCTCGACCTCTTGCAAGACCACTTGCTCTACCGCCACGTCCACCACGCGGAACAGGAATACCTCTACCAGATGAGCCAGAGCCACCCGAAGATCCACCTCGGCCAGAAGAGCCTGCTGTTCTTGATGGTGCTGGGGTTGTGAATTTCGGGGTTCCTCTCGAGGAGGTTGGAGGAGGATTATCAACGAAGGAGGTATCCGTGGTCCTAGAGAAATCAATGAGCCACGAACCATGAACCATAGCAGCGAATAATATGTTGCTTACAAAAATGTTGTTTCTCCATCAATTTCACCACGAAATCTTTCTGAATTTGTTGATTTGCCTATTGCATGTATCAGTAGCTTTTTCATTGCCTATTGACCTATCATACTGACCCAATTGCTCCTCTTGTTCTTGTGCTCGACGAAATGAATCTGGAATAGGTGCCTAGTAACCTGATCAACCAATGCCCAAAAATAGACCAATCCAAGTAAACAAACCTCGGGAAAATCGACGCAAAACGCATTCATATTCAACCCATAGAGAAAACTGGCAAAGTTCTCACTAAACCTCGCCAAGCTCTCATGCATCAATTGTAAATGCATAAAATTGGCTTCTAAATCTGCCATGGAATCCGACAATTCCGCAAACGCAGGTTCAAATGCTTCCAACGGTGCACTCGAATAACCGCCTGTGCTTTTTCTCGCCGAATCGCGAAGAGACGAACGGGAAGAGGGACGGAGAGGAGTGGTTGGACGAGACAGCGGGTTTCGAGAGGCGGAGTGGGATCTTTTGACGCTGCTGTGGCCGTCGTTGAGGGGGGTGGTGGAGGTCATTGTGGTTGTGGTTGTGGTTGTGGTTGTGATGGTGGTTGTGATGATGATTGTGAATGTACCGGTATTGTTGTTTTGTTACGAGGGGCACTGGTGGAAATCTTTGTACAATTTCTGGGTCAACGACCTTATCGTCAATACCCAATCAATGCGCAACCCAATGTTATCGCGCAGGTACTAGATATTCAATACTAGGTATGTAGTATGTAGGTATGTATGTATGTATGTCGGTCTGTATGTATCTGTACAACATACAACACAATCCAGGATCGATATCTTTTATCTGATGGCGGTGAAACTTATAATGCCAGAAACCTTTCAACTTATCTACTCGTACGAGTATGCAGCGTAAATATCATTCTTGCATTCAAAGGACCACCACCCACCCGTGGATCACCTGCACCAACCACAAATGTGAGAGATACTTATTACATTTTTACCCCGCTACCACTACTCCGTCCACGCACCTACCTGGTACCTACAATTTTATGTCGTGTGCACGAGTTTTGGCACACACAACATTTTGAACAGAGCGCCGCATAATGACGAACTTTTGATTTATGAACTGCAGAACGGGTATCGTATGGCAAAAAAGGAAATTGGATTGAAGCACTTCTGATGATCCGCGGCTTCTTCGGATTAGAAGATGTTTCCGCTGCTCGTTGATGGATCGTATTTTATTTTAATTTCCTGTGGTTTTGAGTTTGGATCCTAAAAAGAATTGGGTACGGGAATTCTTTGCGTAGCATTATAATATAATATTGTAAGAGGTATCGTACTCATTTTGTGGTTGTATACAATATAAGCCCATACCTTGACCTCATAACAAGTTTGCTTTTCTGGTGACATTGGTTCGAGAGGCCCATATATCAAGGCTTGAGTCCCCTCACTTCCCATCTCAACCCCTCCTTCATCTTGACTCTCATCCAAGAATTGAAAATCATCGACTCAACATTTTTTCCATGAAAATACCAGCTGGAGTAACCGGTGGTTTTGTGCATCAATATACTCAGTATTCTTTCTCTATACCTGCTACATTAATACGTCGAAATCATACCCGCGGGGGTCTGATTCCATCTTTCGGTAGGATACAAGCATTTGCGCCCCTTCGTCGCAACTATTCGGAATTCCATTCAAACACTTTGAAGATCAAGGGATTGAATACGGAAAAGCGCGCAACTTTACTTCCTAACTCCGCTTGGAAAAGGTCGAGCGCTGCAACTTCCATCTATAATCGAAGCACATCCTCATTGTCACTCGACTGCCTTGAAAAGCGCAATACTTCGTGTGAAACATCTTTGCGAAGGCTTGTGCAAAGCAGCTTAGGAAATTGGGCTACCGTCTTACTCCTTACATTCATTAGCAGCGCATTTCTCTATACTTCAACATACAGTCAGCCAAAGACACATACACACAACCCACAACAGGTACAAATTGATCCCGAGCAAGAATATTACGAATATTACGAGATGACGGGCGAAACACTTCCAGGTCGACCTGGCACATTGACAGCACATGAAGAAGAGAAATTACGAGAATTCTGGGTTGCCACCCTACAAGTCTTTGGCGTACTTGATCCCCAAGCAGATACCAACGGTACCAGTGGCGATTCGGAAGTGAGCAATGGTGTTGCAAAATCGGATACCTCGGCTCCCGAGAAACCTAAGAAGAAGAGATTCTCTGCTCTGCGCAGGAAAAATAAGGATGATGATGCGGCATCTACGAAATCTGCAAGCGCTGCTTCGCGTATCTCGAATGCTTCGGATGCGGATGATAAATATGGGCAAACCAAGGAATTTCACGATGCTTTGGCTAGTCTGCCCCCGGCTTCGATTCGTGCGACATTCTGGAGTATGGTGAAATATGATCATCCGGATGCGCTTCTATTGAGGTTCTTGAGAGCTAGAAAATGGGATGTGGATAAGGCATTGGTCATGATGATTTCTACCATGAGATGGAGAGCTTCGGATATGCATGTTGATGATGATATCATGAAAAATGGAGAATTGGCTGCTCTTGAAGATGAGAAGTCGACTAATGCTGATAAGAAGAGACACGCAGAAGGATTCCTGATGCAGATGCGCTCGGGAAAGAGTTTCTTGCATGGGCTAGACAAGTATGTATCCTGGGTTTACTGTTCACTTATTAATTCGAATAAGATCTTATCCCTCATCGATATCCGCATATTTAGATCATTGCTAATATGAAATCTTACAGAGCCGGAAGACCAATGTGCTTTGTGAGAGCTCGCTTACACAAACAAGGAGAGCAGTCGGAAGAGAGTTTGGAAAGATACACAGTTTTCATTATAGAATCGGCTAGGATGTTATTGGAACCACCAGTAGACACTGCTGTAAGAATACACTTTCCACGTTGAGTTTACTCGGTATAATAAGTACTGACAACATGATAGTGTGTAGTATTCGATATGACTGGATTTTCTCTGGCAAATATGGTAAGTGAAAATCATCCCTTTTCCACAGGAACTTACTAATTTCATTATAGGATTATGGACCTGTCAAATTCATGATTAAATGCTTCGAAGCCAACTACCCTGAAAGTTTAGGCGTGGTCTTAGTCCACAGAGCACCATGGGTCTTCCAAGGTACACTTCCATTTCCCCCTCTACAAAAACCCTTTGACTAACTTCCCCAGGTATCTGGAAAATAATACGTGGCTGGCTAGACCCCGTCGTCGCCTCTAAAGTTCAATTCACAAACAACGTCGAAGAGATGTCTGAATTCGTTCCTCGTTCTCAAATCCTCGCCGAACTCGGCGGCGACGAGAATTGGGAATACAAATTCGTAGAACCAGTCCCCGGCGAGAATGACTTGATGAAAGATACAGCAACCCGAGATAAGCTCCTGAAAGAAAGAGAGAATATCGTGGATGCGTATGAGAAAGCTACACTGGAGTGGATCAACTCGGAAGGAAAGACACCCGAAATTAAGACTAGGAGGACCGAATTGGCAAAGGAGCTCAGAGACGATTATTGGAAATTGGATCCCTATGTTAGGGCAAAGAGTCTGTATGATCGAACGGGCGTCATTAATCCAGGAGGGAAATTGGATTTTTACCCAAAGGCTAAGGGGGAAACGGCTCCTGCGGTTGCGGCGGCTGCGGCTGCTCCGGCGGTGGAAACTTCGGCGGATGATATTGATTAGATTGGGGTTGTGAAGGAGAAGGAGAAGGAGAGGGAGAGGAACAAGAAAGGGTATAGGAAAGGATATAGGAATAGGAAGATATATAATGAGAATAAGAGCGAGAATCAGACTAAGAGTAGAAGAATCAAACAAGAGAGAGATAGATATCTTGATATCGAGTATATGATAGATTTTTTGTTCTTCGATTGATTGGTAGAGCGATCAGCAAGTGCGAGATTGGTGAGGAATGTATTGGGATTTAATGGATATGTGTATATGTGCGTGTATGTGTTTATGTATGTATACCTATATATATGTATATAATGGAAAGAAGGAGGAAGGAGGAAGGAGTGTAGGTAGGTAGGTAGGTAGGTTTACAAATTTCCTTTTATAAGCTTGGTTCTGTGTATGTGTATGTGTATGTGTATGTGTATGTGTATGTGTGTTTTGAATTATTAGTATCTCTTTTTGATTTTCGAGATTAGATTGGATTAGATGTAGATGTAGATGTAGATGTAGATGTAGATGTAGATGTAGATGTAGATGTAGATGTAGATGTAGATGTAGATGTAGATGAGATGTGTGTATACTAAGTAGGTAGGTAGTAATCTTGCATTTGGATAAGTTATACTTTATGGATTTTGCTCTGGGCTGGGCTGTGGTAGACTAGACTAGGATTTTGCGGTTGAGATGAGGTAGGTATACTGGATAGATGGTGAGGGAATGGAAGTTGCTTTTCGAGAGTTGTTGGTTTATCATACATATCATGTATCTTTTCCGTCTCTTCTCATCGTATTCATTTATCATTCCTCATTGATAAATCAATAAATCACCCAGCCAAACTAAAAATATCATCTTCCTGCACTTTACATACAATACACCCTGAGATTCGTAGCAAAAAAACGCCGGTGGAATGAAATTGTTCTTCCTCTCTCGGATAAATCATTGGAACAAAGTATTGATTCTCAACGCCTGCTTCGCTTCGCTTCCTTGCTTGCTTAATTGATTGATTGCTTCTAAATACAACGGATATTTATAGAGTTGTTTACATCTTTGATTTTATCTCTGCAAAGAGAGCTTTTAGTTTGTCCATGTCGGTTTTTTGTTGCGGCCAGCCGATGGACATGCCTTCTTCGGTGGAGGGTTTAGGAATCTGTAAAGGGGGAGGAGGAGGTTAGTTTGGGATGGGATGGGGAATCGGGGATTGTGAGGATGAGAGGGGAGGGGGACGAACCATGTGGAAATGTACCTAGAGGGGATGTTAGTTATTGTAATCTATGATGGGGATGATAGAAGAGAGAGATATAGGGGGTATGAGGGAATGAGACGAGAAACATACGTGATCAACTTCCTGGTGCGCAATACGTCCATTGTTCTGCAGGACGTTGTAATTTTCTGCACCGGTTGCTACGACGAGTTTCTTTACTACGGGCTGGGTAGGAGTATTGTGTTAGTATTTCGTGAGCTCTGGATATTTCTCATCCGTTACGGTTTCAATGTAATCTATGTGCGTGGATGTGATATTCATTTATCCGAGTATGATGTCGAGGAAATGCGAAGAGAGGATGAGGGTGAAAGGAAAAGAGATAGGTACCAAAATCTCCTCCAACTGATCATCAGGAATATCGACCAATTTCTCGCCGTGATGTTTGGGGATTACGAGCTAGATAGTGATGGATGTGTTAGTTTTGTTTTATTTGTATATCTCATCCATCGTCCATCCATCCATCCATTCATTCATAATCTGGAAACTTCGGAATAGCTTCACCCGCAGAAACACAAGTATCCAAGCTTCTTTCTATACGATCACAAGAATACAAGAAAATACTAACCGCATGACCCTTCGACAAAGGATTGATATCCAAAAACGCAAGCACCTTTTCCGATTCGTAGAGTTTGAAAGAGGGGATATCTCCTACGGACGGATAACCATGTTAGCTTTTGCATCGAGCTTTGGAATTGCGCCGGGATGTGATGTCAAGGTTAACGTTACAGAGATGAGAAACTTGCCTTTGATTATCTTGCAGAAGATACATGCTGCTTGAGATGCCATTTTGGTTATAGGATGATAGGTTTTTGAATGTGAGGTTTGGGATTGTACTTGTAATTGTGATTGAAGTAGTGTAGTGTAGTGAAGTGGAATAATGAAATCGCAATTCAGGTCTTCATTACCTACTTTTGAACGCGGGGTCGTTCTCACATTCCTGAAGCTCCATTGAGCTGTCATCTCATACCTAGGTTTCCGAATATTACCCGACTTGTTCAATCCACTCGTCCACTTTTGTCGCGCGAGATATAAATATTAAAAAAAAGATTACATCATCAACAAATCACGCAAACTTGTATGATGGGCATGTTGCCAGAGTGGTTAATGGGTAAGACTTGAATGAATAATTCGGTTATCTTATGGTTTCGGCCTCGTAGGTTCAAATCCTGCACATGTCGTTTGCTTTTTGACTTTTTTGGTGATTTTTTTTGTGATGGGACGTTCCAAGGTTTCTTGGGAAAGAGGTTGTTGTGCCTGGGTGGAGGGGACCTTTTTTGCGTTGGATTCTTTTTTTGCTTTTGATCAGAAATGTGCATTAGAGCGGCAGCATAATTTTCCTGGTGAAAAATCCCCCATACTTTTGAATCATCACCAAACTACATTCTTTCCTACAATGCCATTTCGTTCTTTCCCTATGTAGAAGTTGGGAACGATTACTCCGTGAACTAGCTACTTGAATAACTGATATGCCTTTTTAAACTCATTCCTAGTAGCACGACTAGTGTCGTTCTTATACGAGTGACTATAGCATTTCTTTCCTCCTTGAGTTATTCTTCTCTGGAGTTATTTCTATTCCGTGTATATCTACTAGAGATCTATCTATCCTTAAGCTCCTACTTCAAGGATTCGTATTCGAGCTGATCCTACTTTATACATACATTCCTAGATATCATCTCATGATATGATATACTCATGAATCATGATCACTCAGTAAGTATCGTTTCGTAACCTTATTAAACCATATCAAACCAAGAATAAGATACTATTCTCGCAATGACCAGAAAGAGAACTAAGCTCTCTCAAAAAGTGATTTTGCATATGCAAGTAATTATATGCCTCCGTTACCTCGAAATCCCATACATAAAGATCCAACAAAGATTCTAGATCTCTAGGTTCCACGCACTGTGTGTAGAGAATACATTCCATATCATAATCGCATTCCAAATGAGAAGTTGAATTCTCCGATAATCAATGGTCAATACAGCTGTTGGATTGTCATCACGTGAGTCTTCGTTTGAACTTGTAGCTAATGGCAACTTCCCCCCTTTTTCTGAAGTTTCCTCGAATAATGATTATGCCTTCACTTTGGGGTTTGTTCTCTTCAATAATTACTCTTGAAAACTATTTCTCCTTTCGCATGTAGGTTAGAGGACCTCGTTTAGACAATAAATACCTCTACCATGTAGTAACTTTCTTCTTCAAAAAACTATTGAAATAGAATCATAGCTGAAGCGTTTTAAGATTTACAAACATATGTATTGAGTTAGCCTGGTGTCATTCTGACAACGCTGAGCCTCACTCTTTCCTGAAAAACAAAAAGGACGAATAGCACCACTTTGTCGACGCAGAGAGAAGCTCTTCAGCAGTCCAACACAGCAAAATGATTGATCCCTGGCGGTTTCGAACCGCCGACCTTGGCGTGCCATACCAGCTGATTGAACAGAACTGATATTAGCACCACGCTCTAACCAACTGAGCTAAGGGACCTGATTGGGTTATTAGATGGAGAGTAATGATGGAAGAAGGTATATATTCAAAATTATTGCAGTGGGGATAGAGGAATGACGATGGATGGAGGGAGTACGGAGCAGTAGTGGGAGGAGAATATGAGTGGATGGAGGGGTTTTTGTGGATGTGCTTAGTGGGGGTGTAGCGATAGCGGAGACGAATGATGAGACAGGGCTAGGGCTTGTGCGCGGGCGTAAGGACGGAGTGGATAGTGGGTAGCGGAGGGATGGTGGGGCGGAGTGGTGGGCCTTGAGTTTAAGAGTATGGCTAATAGAATTGGTGGAGATCATGGACTGAGGCGGAGGGTGACGAGACTCAGGAGGACGTTTGAGCCTCTGATGAATTGTAAGTTTGGGTTGTGGAAATTTGCATGGTTTCTTAAGCGTCTGATCAATGTTAGAGCACGAAGTTTATGAATGCACATTGCAAATCTAGTTGCGCATTTGAGAGTTCATTGCAACTATGTAATGTATTTTTCGCAGAATCAACACTGACCATGAAACAGAATAGGAAGTCTTAAACAACACCTTGAAGGGAACTCGTGGGATATAAAGTGTGTATATTTCATCATTCATGCATTAATCTATCTAGGTATCTCTTACAAACGGGAACCAATAGAACTATCTTCCTTAATCTCGACCAATAATTTACCTATGCATTGTCAGTAAAAAGTTTTACAAGCACTGAGATAGGACGGGAGCTTACCAGTATTAACACCTTGATACAACTCCATTAAAGCCTTTTCGGCAACACCAAGTCCACCCTTGATAATAGTCTCCTTTCTTTGGAGTTTGCCTTCTGCCAACCATTGAGACATCTCTTTACGGGCTTCAGCATACTTGGATGCATAATCGAAGACGATGAAACCTTGAAGACGAATTCTCATTGCGATGATCATTGAGAAGTTCTAACTTTGGTTAGCAAGTGCGGCAAGCAATGTTTGAAGAGAGTATAATATACCTTTGGTCCAACTGGAGTATCAGAGTTATATTGACTGATAGCACCACACATAACGAAAGTTGAGAATGGCTTAGCTCTGCTGAGAGCAAGCTCCAAAATCTCTCCTCCGACATTGTCAAAGAATACATCAATGAAGTTTGGTGTAGAAGCCTTGAACTTAGATGGGAAATCCTTATCCTTATAGTTCAAAGCATCATCACAACCCAATTCCTTCAACCATTGTACTTTGTCATCACTTCCAGCAAGACCCAAAACCTTGGCTCCCTTAAGCTTAGCAATTTGACAAACAACACTTCCAGTAGCACCAGCGGCACCAGATACTACAACGAAATCTCCAGCCTTGATTTTTCCAACTTCGAGAATTCCGAAGTAGGCGGTAAGACCAGTCATTCCGAGAACACCAAGGGCATCGGTGAGCTTGCCGTTGGGTGGAAGATCAATAGGTGTAAGGTCTTTGGAAGCCATGATAGCTACTTCTTTCCATCCTGTAATGCCGGATGCGTAGTCACCGACATTGAATTTCGATGATTTGCTGGCGATAACCTTTCCAATGGAAACACCACGCATGACCTCACCAATTTGTACAGGTGGAACATATGATCTTCTGTCTATCCCAGCATTCAAAGTCAGCAATCATCACGTGCGGTAGCGGGGTGTGTCAATAATGGTCCCCTCCACATCATTCATCACTGGCTAATAGGGCAATAGAGGAATGATATAACAGTTGGTACGTACCGTTTAACCAACCTCTCATGGCCGGATCCAATGAAAGATATAACACTTCAACCAAGACTTGATCATCCTTGAGATCTGCCTCCGTTACCATTGGATTCTCCTTCTTCTCGAAAGTCTCTCCTGGAACGATTTGTCCAGTAGGACGCTTTGCTAAAACCACTGATTGATATGTTGATTGAGCCATTATGTTCTTTGAGCGTTTGATCTTTTGACCGTCCATATTGATAATCCGTCTGCAGCCGGTCTCTTATATATGCGCGAATCGTTTCTTTTTCGTCCGAGATATCCCTCCGAGCAAGATTGTGTCTCTTTTCGTTTCTAGATCAAACGCTTGACGTGATGTGGGCTTACTGCAATGCGGACCGATCCAATGCAATCCAAATCTATAACAAACACTACACCGCAACCAAGGGCATCCAGGTACTGTCTCACGTCGTATTTCGATGCTTCTTCTCCCGTATCAATAGATTTCTCCGAAGCAATCGCGTTGCAATATTCACTCAAATCCACAAAAATCTCAAGGCGCTTTTTCCAAACTTGCGTATGTCTTCCGATGCAGTTTTGCTTAAACCTCCAAACGTTGCTGTGTTTGATGACAAAATGGTTCAAATACTCAAGGTTCACCAATAACCGTGAGCCGAGGCAGGCTCGCGGACGATCTTCTTGCCTCACCGAGATGGCCTTGCTTCCTATTTGGGTTACCATGCCGAAAGTACCGACATGCCGTTCTAGGATTTTCCCGAAAGCAAAGGCTTATCCCTATTCTTAGAAGGCTCAGGAGTCAGCATCGAGGTCCAGCATGAACTACAGCAAAACCTTTCTGTACGGACATTGGGTACTTGAGAATGATCTGTATCCTTATATTTTGAGATCTCTGGATTACTTGCATCCTTATTAGACCAGGAGAATCATCAGGATTTGGGTCATCACCTGACAGTATATTGATATTTTGATTGATTTTCACCAAAGATATCACGAAAATGTGATCTGCTTGGGACCAATCGGAATCAAATTACGGTTGGGTCAGAATTGATCGAGTGTCTCGAAATAAGACTGCAAAAACCGGTATCCTTACAGGAGGTTTTGCTGTATGTCATCGGAGACGAACCGAAAGAAGATGCAGATGCGCGATTGCTAGATGCGTGCATTGACATCGGAGAATCTTATCGAAAAAGGATATTCTATTAGGATCAAGATGCACGGAGACAGCCAATGTTGAGACAACCGAGTGGACTATGAAGCAAAGGCACTTCGGCGCGAGCAACCGTATACGGTCGCAATCGCGTTGTTGAGAACTCTTTTTCTAGGTATCAAAATCGAAGCTCGTAAACGAAGCAAGTTCATAGGCATTGTGATTTGTAGGGCTCGGTTTGAGACGGGCTTGAGCTATTTTGGAATTTGTTGATCTCGGGGCTTTTCTCTGCACAGGTAAAGTGGCTCTTGAAGTTTTCGTTTCCGTACGGGCATATTACTTTTTAAGGTATGCTATGCCCGAAAATTCTTCAGCAGAGGAAAGATTTTACAGTACCTTTTTGTTCATTTTGAGACACACGAGTCGGGCATGACCGACCAGGTCGACCGACATAAGTTTCGGACGCAAGTCACAGATCGTTTACGGAAAGGGGTAGTCAACGCCGTGCCGCTCATTATTACGATTCTCCTGCGTGTTGCATATAAAAACGTGTAGTTTTTTGCATGACATTACATGCGGGATGCGATGTCACGACAAGCAACGTTTATGCGGAAGATGGCAGTCGGCGCGGGGATATTTCCCCATGGAATCTTGTGGAGTTATGGGTGTCCGAGCCCCGCTACACTATGAGGATGGGATGGCCCCTCATTTAGGGCCGCAGGATTCAGGTATTCTGACAATTTCACCGCTCAATCAGCTCATTTTGTTCTACTATTTCAGGGTCTTTTGACCCTTATCGTGTTTGTGTCAACGGACGACGTTCGGTTCAAAGTGACGTTCACCTTACTCCTTGACTAAAACCCCATATCCTGAAACCATAGCCTGCCACCCTTTGTCGCTTTAGAGTCGAAAAATGGGTCGTCTGATATCTTCGAGTGGGTTATTAAGTGCCGTTGTCATGTCGATTGCTCGGTACACACGAATATACACGGTGTATAGTGGATATGATTGAAAGTATGACTTGGCCTTAGATTACGATATACACTGAGGATTGACAGATACCTGACTTGATGATCCCTTGGTTCGTGAGCCTTAGAGCGGCCGATTCACAATATGTTAGTACATCAATTATACATATCTGTGATTATTGAATAGAATTTCTGCGAATATTTTAATTTTATATACAAACAACGGTGCTCAAGTATATACATCTTTTATCCTCTCTTTCCTCCTGTTTCAGACGACCCTTATTCTCTCACTTCTCCTCGCTCTTCATGTATATTTATGCGGGGCAGCCAGTTGCTGGGTAGTTACAGGTGCTGTTTTTTGCACCTCCTGTGATCTTAACACCAGAGAACTTGATATTACTACAGCTTCCCTCGCCGCAAAGCACATAGTAGTTTCTAGCACTGGCTGCAGCTGTTCCAACCACATTTTCAAATAGAATGTTCTCAATTTTGACACCGTTAGTTGGCACTCCCGTTGGGCCTCCGTTAAGATAATCTTGTTGTACATCGATTCCATAAGTATCAATATTGGTGAGCTTGATGTTGCTGTATGTGATGTTGGAGATGAAACCGGTGGTTCCGGAGTTTGACTTGATGCGAGCTCCGTTGCTGGAATTGACTAATTCGCTGTTTTTGAACTGAAAGTGAATGAGTAAGTAAGTTCTTCAACAAAGAAGTAAACATAACTTACGGTGATATTTGTAACATTGTTGTTACTCTTTCCACCAACAGATCCGATGGAGAGACCATGACCACCTGAGCAATATAATCCATCAATGGTGATGTTGTTTCCGCTCGTGACTGCTACACAATCATCCTGATTGAAAACTTGTGTATTCTTGATTATTGTGTTGCTGGATGAGCTGACGTCAAATCCATCTGAATTATGTGCTGCGGCCAATGTACCACTTGCTGCATTTGGTGCGTCTCCTGCTGTGTTGTTGAGGACCAGATTTTGAATGGTCAGTCCAACAGCACCGGTGATAGTGAAAAGATGGACGGGCCAGTTTTGAATGTAAAGATTCTCAATGATGGAACCCCCGATCAATTTCGAGGCTGCAATGAAATGGTTTGGCCTAATTCATTGTTAGCTGCATAGCCATTGAATTGCTGTGGAAACTTACTTTGGCACACCACCGTTTGAACCAAGACCATCCCAGTAAGCTTGGCCATTACCATCGATAATTGCATCAGGCTCGGCGGTAACGGTGATTCCAGAACCCCCCAACTTTATTGGTTCGAAGCTACTGTCATTGGTAAATCCAAATGTGGTTTTTCCAGCGAAGGTGATTGTTGTACCGGCCTTAACTTTGGTAAGGTCAATACTGCTACCTGATGGCGCAAACACGTTGTTCAAAACAATGGCGGTAGAAGACGCAACACAAGGAGCGATTTGGGAATACACCGAAGCAGTACAAGCTGTCTGGGCAGTGCAAGCACCTGCCAAGGTGAGGGCTAAAAGCCCAGAGATCTGAGAGTTCTTATGCATGATGAGACGATCAAGTGAAATGGATGGATGTCAAACTTGGCAAGGTGAGGCCTTGAGGATATCCGTCTTTATAAAGTCCTCGAGGCCAAGTATAGCAATCTCCCAAATCACATTTTCGTCATGCGAACAATGGGCGAATAATGAGCGAAATGAATTTGTCATGGGCCGGAATAACTATGTACATTGGTTCTCCACGAATCAATATAAACTCAGGCAGGAACGCTGGGAGGATCATCCATAATTTACCAGAAAGCAGCAGCTCATAGGCCCCAGATGTTCAACACACCGGCACTAGATATTATCTCCACAATCTTCAGATGAAGATTAATCTGCAGTGATGGGGATTCCCCTATGTTTCAACTCCATATCCCCAGATTTCAGCTTGGCAGCGGGTCGGCACTTCCCTCATATTGACAAGTTTGAATTTTCCACGAATGGTGAATTTTGCTAGAGAAGCTTTTTTTGAACCATTAATTTAAAGTAGGTTTGAATCAGTCCCTTAAATCTTCCATTTAGGATGAATCTAGAACATATCTATATGCTTTCTGGTTGGAGGCCAAGATTTGTCCGCGATGATCATCACGTGTATGAAACCACACTAAAACCTACTTATCCACCACCATTCTTGTGGAATTTCATATAAAGTCTTGCAAGCCACTCGCCAAGGCGGAGGAATCGACATACTAGTCAGTTTGTTGATTGGGAAGGTGACTGAAAAGCTGCAACGCGATATAGAAGGTACTGAGTCTCGTGCCAGATTATGTGACTTCACAATGAAAGACTTACACGTTGTATGGTTCAATGTTCGATTTTCGTCATAATGATGATCCTCGAAGAGCAAGCTTCTCGAAGCGCTGGATGCGCTACAATCACCTATGCCTAGCCCAATTGATTCGGACTGGACAAACAGACGGAGAATTTGTCATGATCCGAACTTATCATTTGACCGACCGACGGTAAAAGCTTCTTATAGCATAGAGAAAGTAAAAAGAAGATGTATTATCTTGGCAGCGACGAGAAAAGGGGCAAAAGAATTCTTGGCTATCGGGACTAAGGAGATTAAATAATATCCGAAGGGTTTAACCTCAGATCACGTGCATGGTAGAAGCTCCCGAACTTCCGCCACAATATCGACGATGTCCAGCAAAGAGATTTCTCTCTGCAAAGGATCTGTTATATCATATGAAGGAATGCGGCATTTGGCAATGGTTGGTAAAGCAAAGAGCATTGCTACCTTGCAATGGCGCGAGACGGGTATGATCATGAGCCTTTCCGAGCTACATTGACATACAGAGCACATGTGTAATGATCACCAATATGTGCTTGTAAGATTGCAGCATTCTCGATCCAGTCATAAGAAGAATAAGTTGAATAGGATGACGCTCTTTTTCACATCAAACGCTCGAAGTTCTACGGCATATCCAGGGTATCATTTATTTGACTCACCAATGTTCCTTGTCAAAATGTGGTCTGACAGTTGGGGGCTAAAGGGCGATTGCACGAAAAAGTAACATCCATCACATGCAGGATGGCAGCCATGCATTAAAAGCAAGTCGAATTGCAACATGATTTTTTCAATTGGCCATCAGGAACGAGTGCTATACGGGTCCCTCGTTCTGCCTCAATGATCTTACCTCCATTGTTTGCGCCCATCTTCGGGTGCTTCTGCAAAAATGGTCATACGATCCGTCTTATCATTTCTGATATCGAATCAAATGTTATCATCATGTCGGTCGCAAGGGTTACTGTCCTCCATGCAAATTCGCGCTGAATCCTTGCATGATGGCTATGTCGCATCCTACCCACTGTTGGAAAGCAAGGTTTGAGAGTAATTGATATAAGGGCTCGCTCTCTCTGAACTTTCTGTTTTCTCTTAGGGGCGACCGCTCTCTGTGAAAAATCACCCTTTTCATTCTTGTCTTGTGCTTGTTCCGCTCAATGATGACCGCTTCTGAGGCATTGAGCTGTTCATGCAGCCACGACCAATCATATGCAACAATCGATCGCGACGAAGGATTCAGACGAACCAAATGGTCTGATTGGCTCTAGGCCAGGGCACTCTACAATACTCTAATGGATCAAAGAAGAACCTGTCCAGGGCGTGCCAAGCGGATTGATTAAGAGAATTTATACAATGCCACCGAAGTCGCCCTTTTCAAAGTCACTCCCCGTGACTTGATACTATCAAGGATTGGGACGCGTTTACAATGATATTTTTGGCAAGCGACAGACGCTACCGGTGATTGATTGGTGTGCTGTACTGAGAGCGTGAGGTAAGTAACGAAATGAATGAGGTAGGTTGGGTAGGTAAATTGTAGACTCCTAGTGTCTTTCCCCGTTGTCCGAGAATCACCACCCACCCCTCTTAAACTGACAATCATTTGACATACCTTTAACAAGCTCTACTATTCAATCGAAAGTAGCTTGCAGGATTGATTGTTATAAAAAGCAGACTCACCATTCTTATCATTACTATAGATTTACTGACCTCCTTTCCAATCATCAAAAGTGTATGTTCCTCATCAACCACTTCATTCATTTGCCAATGACTCTCAGAGACTAACTTCGCTGCCTAGTTTCCTCAATCAGAATGTCAGACTCTTTCCAAACATCGATTTCTGACCTCACAGGCATCAACGTGCCGTCGAACAATTCGTGCGAGTGGATTTTCCAAGGCGATACAATTTCCTTGAACCAATACTCTGGTGACATCGCCGAAGACCTTGCTTCAGACTTGGTCGATGAACTCTCTACCAGTTGCAACTTTGCGGCAGCGAAGAGCGACAAACACAACAAATTTGTGAATACGTCGGCACGGTATTCTTTTGACCATCATCTACCCGACAGTACTTGTGTTGTTAGCTCGTATGCAGATGCGGAAACCTTCATGAGACCGCACTATATCGACCCATCCTCCGAATCGATGTCACAGTCCTCGATCTTTATCCCGACTCCAACTACCTCCGTTGATTATAATGGGGATAGCAACATCCTCACAAGCCAAAACGACTCGGTCGGGTTGCAGCACCAATTTGCACATTCGATTTTCCCCACCAATACCAATGGCTCTACACCTCTCGACACTTGGGTGGAAACCCCCGAACGTCATGAGCAGATCGGCCTCAACATGTCAGATCCTACAACTCATCCGGCCATACAAAAGAAAGGCAAGAAAATAGCTGGCGAGTAGGTGCAAAATTTAAGTGATGATTTATATAAAAGGAAGGATGCGAAAGACCATCATTTGGCCGGTGGATTGGTTTGGGAAAGCCTTTGTTTATGATTTTGCCTTTGGATGTTCATTAGGGAGTACTGCCGGCGCAATGATGTTAATGTGGTTATGAATGCCGTGTTCATGAGATAGGCATTTGAGACTGTTGGCAGCTGTTATTTAAGAACGGGGACAAAGAAATGATTTTGTCACATATTGCTCTTTTATTCACTTCATTCACAGAAAGCACTAGGGCCTTCTATTTAGTTGGACGATTTTTATATAGAATTTGGGTACAAATTCAAGATCTTTGCACTCTTACATTGGATTGAATGTCTGTCTTTCGAAAATGCATATTTGCCATTAAAGTTTAAGCTTAAGCTTGAAGTTCGTTCCACAGTCCGCGTTCTTCTCCACTGCGACTAAGTTCTGTTCTAACATTGCTAGTGAAGAAAATACCGATCCCCACATTCTTGCCATACCCGTTCTTAGTTTAATTTTCCACTTCAGCACTTTCTCGTTATCTCTCTTTGATTTAGTCTTATTTCTATTTGATAACTCGATCTATTATCCTTCCTCGCATATCTTTGACGATAGATGAAAACTGCTACTTACGGAGAATGCTCAGAGCAGCAAGCCGAAGCTCCGTGTAATGCGTGTTTGTGATTGACTCAAGGGGCCAAGTGAGAGAAATATTTTGAACCATAGTTCAGATGAAGATGCTTGCATTTTTCCAGAACGCTTACGAAACCCGGCTCAGGCATTAACATTCTATGTTGTTTATGTCAATGTTCCCAAATCACGATCGTAACATCCATCAAAATGATGTTGATGGTGTACCAGATGAGGGGATTTGTAGCTGGCAAATCTTCATCCCAGTTGGTTATACTGCAGTTTTGCGAATGCAGGGAACCCGCCTGAATTCAATGACCGACGTGGGCTTTGGGATAGATAACGTCTATGAAGATAGTACACACCACTCATTTGACCAAGAACACTTTACAACAAGATATACACTATTCTGTTTTATTACTTCCCAAAAATTAAAACAGCATATTGAAAAGTCTGGTTCGAATATGCCCTTCTCGTCGCCCTCAGCGCGCCTACAAATGCTAGCCCTTCTCTTCCTTGCGAAAGAGCAAAGAGCCATAATTTTGGCTTTGTAATTAAGGACCACGATATATCCCTAACATCCTTATCAGCCAATTCACGAATAAAACTCAGAATATTGCTTACCATGTTCTCGACACCTTTTCACTAATCTCGAGTGGTTCGACCAAAAGACTTAACCCCTTCATCCCAGCTAAGCGTACGAATACTTCTTGACTGATGAGTGGAGGAAGCATCATGCCATCTTGAAATCACCAAGATTAGCATCAAATTCATTCGTAATGTCTAAAGATATCTTACTTTCAATAGCTGTCAAGTCATCATTTTGCTGCTTAGACTTCAAACCATCGTTCATACAAGAATCAACTGCAAACCAATCCGCAAGCACCAGCTTTCCTCCAATATCCAAAAGCCTTGCTACGTCACTGACGAACTTTCTCTTGTCTGGAAGATGGCTTATTGCATCCGAAATCCATACACAGTCAAACGTTTTCGTGGTTTTATTCCCAAAAGTTTCTTCAATCATCTCAGCGTCTAAAGCCATGAATTTTACTTTTCCTTTCCCTAGCCTAATGGAGCCATCTTCATCCTCGTCTCCGCCATCTGCCTCCCCTATACTCACTCGCCTCGCAATCCTTATCTCTGCGTCACTTAATGCGATTCCTATCACCTCACAACCCAATTCTCGTGCTAGATATCGAGATGTACCACCGAGTCCACATCCAACATCCAGCACTTTGCTTCCCGGTTCGAGCTTCGATTGGCGAACTAAGAGTTCTATTTGTTGTATTTGAGCAATTTCTTTTGTATCAGTGGGAGTGAGGAAGTATCCGTGGTGGATATGTTCGCCCCTGTTTCTGTAAGTCTGAGTGAATCTTGGAAGAATTACAAAGGTATAAACATCAAAGGTGACACAAGGACTTACCAAAGGGAATAATAGTATTCAGCGCAGACGTCGTAATGATAAATGATCCTATCTTTCAACAATTTCGACGCTTCTTCGGGCTGTCTTTCGCCCATATTCCGACTCAATTCACCACTCATCTTCACTTTTAGAGATGCTTGAATTTTTACACGCAATTTTGAGCAGAACTCTGGCGTAGATGATCACTGGTAGTTGAATCAATTTTACTAATCTCAATATGATACCTTTGTAACATGTTATGTTGCTCACCCAGAGCAGGTTGCATGAGGCGCTTAGATGTTACTCTAGGACACATTCCTTTTGACCTCATGAATTCCTAGCGGTAGGAGTATCCCAAATCTCATCAATAAGCGCTCGAGAGGCAAGAAACCTCGTCTAAACAGACTACGTGCTCATACGAATAGTTGTTTGTATATGCATCATTCAATTGATTTTATTTATTTATTGTTCTATAAATACGAACATGGAAAGTTATTACCAAAGTGTTATACTTCTATAACTAAGTGGAATCTTCGGGTTACTCTTCAGTGAGCTTAGGAGTATGCATACCAAATTAGCGTCCTTGCGTTCTTGAAGAATGGGGTCGAGCCGAAGGATGCGAACCGCCGACCACATAGATCGTCGTCTTGCGCGGTAAAATATCCAACATATGGTCCTTGCTCAATACATTCTCATCCAAGTCGTCTTCATAGGAGATGCATACCAGACTTTCAATTCTTTGGGTTGCGCTCCGATTCAGACCTGGGAAATTTCTCGCAGGAATCGTTTTAGGGCCACAAACAGACATAATCCGCTTCCATCGAGCTTTATATTCTTGAAAATCTCTGAAGAGTTGCTTTTGTGTCGATTGAAGCCTCCAGTTATACAATTTAGAACATTTATACCTTGCATAGGTAGCCTTTGCATTCCTTTCGGCCATCGCTTCATATCAATCGCAAATGCTGTGCAATCAATCACCGCTCCTATAACACGATTCGGTCGACGGAATGATGATTCGTAGGCGGGAAGGGCCCAGTAACCTTTCTCCTCATCAACCAAGGGTCGAAGCACCAGTTGATTGAGGCTTCAATCCGACCTATAAGTTGAATGTGTACATAATTTCGCTCCCGCCAAAATGTTGGGATGGAGTAAAAAGTCCTGTGCCGCCAAGTTATGAATGAATACAAGTCATCTTTGACCCTTCATTTTGAAGTAACATTCTTTCATTATTCCATATTTACTTTTTTCAAAAAGAATTCTATTTGAATTTGTGGAAAAACGTCTGAAGTCATGTCTTATTACGCAAATTGTCTAAAAGTTTCAGATGAATGCCCTGTCTCAGCAACACCATTTGGATACGCACCATCTCTTTCAGCTAACGCTACTTTGTTGGCCATTTTCTGCATCATTACGATCGCACAGTTGATACAAGGTTTCAGATATCAGTCATGGGGATTTACAGCTACGTTCATACTGGGGAGTTTGTGCGAAGTAATTGGGTATGCTGGGAGAGTAATGATGACATCTAGTCCCTGGAGTCATGTCGGGTAAGATATTCGTTCAATCTATCTAGATGAGACTAACAGTTATCCAGGCTCACTCTCCAAAATCTCTTTCTCACAGTTGGCCCCCTATTCTTCCTCAACGGAGTATTCCTCTGCTACACAAACATAATCGAAACCTACAGCATCACTCTCTCCCGCATCAATCCCGTCACCTACCCTCTCATCTCCACCTCCGTCACACTTCTCCCCTTTATTCTCCTCACCTCCGGATCTCTCCTCCAAAGCACTTCTGCAGTCGGCTTTACCCCGCCCTTCTATCTTTCTACCGGCTCCAACATCGTCATCGCAGGCTTGAGCTTCCAATTGCTTTCGATGATTTGTTTTGGTATTTTGCATGCAGATTATAAAATCCAAGTTCGTGCCTACCCCGAACAACTAAATGCGTATGCAGAAAACACACGCGCCTCGAGACGGTTTATGTATTTCTATATTGCACTTCCAACAACATTTTTGGCAGTCGGCATCAGTGCTATCTACAGAATGGCTGTTTTGGGGCAAGGATGGGGAATGAGCTTTATGAAGAATGAGATTGGATTTATTTGTTTGGAGGGAATGTAAGTTTGTTATTCTGATTTTTGTGGTGTGAGGATTGTACTGACTACTTCGTAGAACTGTGGCGATTGCGGGTTACGCATTGTCGGTTGTTCATCCGGGTTACGTGTTCAGACCAACGGAGTATATTAATCATAAGAGTGCAGAGATAATTACTGATGATAAATTGGAAGAGGCTTGGAATTGAAGGTGATGAAACCGGAAATGAATAGTCTCGAGTCTCTCTCGGGACAGTTGTATTGCATGGCAAGTTTGGAGATTCGCCAATTGTTATGGCGCTTATCGTGTCAAGGTGCGGCCTTTGAAAGACCACAGAGGTATTCAAGCAAGTGAAGGACGGCGTTATGGGCCTAGTTTATTTTATTTTATGGTTTGTTCTATACCGAAGTTGATTGTATGAATATGAAGTATAACTAGAGGAATGTTTTGCTTGTAAAGATTGTTTAATGCTTGCTTAATTGAGCCACCGAGAATGTGGTGAAGAGACCATTTCAACCGAGTCGAAGCATTTCGCTGTCCTTGAAATGAAAGAATAAATTTCAAAGCAGAAGCTGGATTATATTCCACGTCAGACGGTCGCTTATATCTCTTGAAAGGTTTATTATTGTTCTGGAAAGTTTTACAAATCTGGGAAACGAAAAATATTCAATATATCCTGAGATAGATTGTATTATTTGTGCCACGATTCGTGATCCTTGTGACTATCATTTTGGTATGTTGTATTTGTATGGAATCCCGGCACAGATCCATTCACCAATCGGCCTGAAATGCTTTCGTCGTCGCCTTACCGACCACTCCAGCAACTCAAGTGGCCAGTGATTATATTGCGAAGCTCCCATCGTGTGTCTTCCGAAGGATTCTTTTCCAGGCCCAACTTCGAGCGAGGAATTGTCTCCACTAGAATAGAATTTTCGTAAAGATTCCCGCGCCTTGCAAGGTTCCACAGCAGCTCCAATGCTCTGCTTTTCATCTTCTCATCGGGACATCTTTGGGTTACGAGAAACAGACTTGTTACTAAACCGTCATTTACCCACTTGAAAGCTTGGTTCTTGTTATTCGGCTCCAGAATCTCGACTCCAAACTCAAGTAGCGCAGCGCATAAAGCTGTGATCTGATGCTCACTAATTGTGATCTGTGGGAGACCAAGACGCACGCAGATTTGTTTGATCATCAACGCTGTTGCAATTTGGTAAGGTGATGATGATCGAGAACGTGAACGACTAGATTTAAAAATGCAAGTGAATGCCCTCGACCATCTATCGATAGCTGCTCCATAGGCCAAGACATCTTCTGAGTATATCTTTGGCTTTGAATTTGGACATAGACGATCAACTTCGGTTGGATGATCTCGTTCTCCTGGACATTGGTAATTGCAATCTGCGTACCAGTTTAAGCCATGTCGATTGAGAATATCAAAGTAGAGGCGCGCTTGTTTGAGGGAGCTGAACTCTACAGGCATGTTTTCGAGGAACAAAGTATCCTCGAGATCCTGCAGTGATTCATGAGATGCGAAGGGTGGTTGAGATGGCATGAATAATAAAAAGCCTTGCTCCCAACGGATGAACAGTGCAAGAAGATCGATATCGATTCCAAGTGACCATATTGAATGTGTATTTTTGAGCACATGTTATTCTCTAACACTAGATACAATTTTGAGGCCTGATACGACGATTTTGATAGAAGCTTCTTGACGACCTTGATACAACTCGAAAATACTGGTCAAGACACATGAGACAAGTATACTTTGTAACCTATCTAATTCCACAACTTTATTTGTGTTCCGTCTTGCCAGACGTAGAAATTTTGAATACTCTCTCAAAGCGAACAGATAATGCTCAGAGGGAGCTGTATGTCGAGTGTTGTTGGATAACGGAGAATCGAAATCCACTTCCATGTTTCTCGCAAGTGATCCTAAAGCGACGACAGCATGTTTGACAAATTCCTTTTGGTGGCACAATTGAAGTACAAGTCGCTCCCAGAAATCCGTATCGAAGTAGCCTGAAAGAAGCGATGCATTTTTATTCTTGAAGAACTCAAAGTATTGATATTGAGCCTCATGGTCGAATGATAACGTTTGTTAACGTTAGAGATGTTGTAAAAGAATAATATTTCGCTATTAACTCATTAGATTTCAGGGACAAGTTGTTGAATTCAAAACTCACGAGCTATTCTCGAGTTAGCTACAATTTTTCTTTTTGGCGCTATCTTTCTGTGAAGTGTTCCTTTTCTTGGACCGACAAGCGATTGATAAATACAAACTAATCCGCCCACTAGGCATTTTTGACATATAGGGTTTGACTCGTCGCATTTAACATGACGGGATCTATCCAAGACTATAACATCAACAAGTCTGCAAAATTGTGGAATAACGTGAACATGAAGTTATAGAAGTGGGACTTACTTGCACAGAATGACTGGTCAGCTATGCATAAGAGAACATCTGATTAGATTGTTGAACAGACATGGTTCGCAGCCTGCCCTTGATCTAGGTACAGCAGCGATCCGTTCTCTTGGTGATTCAGCCTGCGACGGTGCAGACATTATGGTTGCTGTAGACGGTAACATAGTGATTTTTTAAAATCTTCTCCCCTTAAGATTGAACTGCGAAAATAAGATGAAAATCTTAGATTCACTGCTGCTGCCTTGTTTCCCCTGCTCTTTCTGGATCCATACGTAAAGGAGCATTAAAGGCTTAGCATCTCATGGGTATCAATGTCATCTCACCAATCATGACACTGGAACTGTGTAAGCCTGGGTGCACGCCGTGTTTCCTTGATCGCTGGTTTGGTTTCCCTCTCGATAACATATTTGTGTACTTAAAAAATGAGCACTACATGGTTATGGAGGGAATATTGAATGTTAAGATGCCATGAAAAGCAATGAACAAAAAGAAACTGATGAAGTTACTATGATGAATAGATTACCGGTGGGTCATTGAAGCATGCGGCGCAGTAGTATGTGATGAGCACGGACCAATATAAAGGGGGTCTAGTGTATTATGCACCTACGAACTAGGTATGTATGCGATGTATGTAAGATATTAAGAGGATACAAGACCAACCTCGGACCACCAAAGACGAACACTCAATCGAGGTAATATTTGATACAAACAAGTCAGTCAATGGGAACTATTACAGAAAGATACTTGGCGGCATTACATTCTGGTCCCAATCTCAGGCTTCCCTCAAAAATATCATTCAACCAAGACTCAAACCTTAACAGTCGTGATACACTTTCTCGCGTAGTGTTATCAAAACCGAGATACTCGAGTACTAAAGGCTTTTATAATGGCGCAAACGGGAACTTTCTCATGGATCAGTGAACGACCTCATGTATCACACCCGATCACTCCGAATCAGAAGCCCCACTCAAATTATCGCCCTCGAAAATCGCATACTAAGTCTAGGAACGGCTGCAATAACTGCAGGAAACGCAGAATAAAGGTGTGTAGTTACCTGCTAAATCGTCTGTATCTTGCCTGATAGAAGACATAGTGTGATGAAGCAAAACCAAGCTGTGGACAATGTTCAGACCGACTACTCGGGGCAGTTCAGTGTGAATATCTTGTCCTACAAAAGCCACTCATGAGAGACCAATTACCGTCGAAACAACAGATATCGACCGGACGGATCTGTAGCCCATCGGTCAGAGACCAAATCATTTCGTACCTGGAAAAGTCAGAGGTTCCGTGCTCGCACTTTAAAGACCCCATCTACAAGCCAGGTGATGCTTCTGAATTACTGGACCACTTCACTGAAGTCACTACTCCTTGGGTTGGATCTCAATCGTTTCAGCATATCATCCAGCAGCATGGGCTAAGTATTTCTCTCAAAGCCCCTTACCTAATGCATGCCATTCTTGCTTTTTCGGCAAGCCATCTTCATTATTTACACCCAAAAGAGAAAAAATATGGCATTGCTTTCACGTTACACTACTCTAAATCTTTATCGTCCTACTCATCAGAGCTTCGAACGAGCTTGAATGCCAGAAATGCAGATGCAATCATCGCATCGTCTTACCTTCACACGATGCTGACTTTTAGAAATATTCAGCCAGATCTAAATATTGACACTGATGAAAGCGGTCGACTTACTTGGCTACGTGCTATGAGAGGGGTATCAATCTTGTGGGATACGAGCGATATGAATTGCCACCTCCAAGACAGTATTTTGCTAGATATGAAACACGATCCCAAATTCTTAAACGAAGGTCCTTGCAATCATGACAAGCCGAACGACGTAAATCCGTGGGCACTAGAAATATCTAGAGCGCTTCATAGGCTATTTGAAGGGGAACAGGATTCAAAGATGTTCAAGGATTCTTATGAGGGGCCCTTGAGGCACTTATGTCAACTGATACGACTCGGAACTGGCCAAGATACGATCTGCACGTTTATGTCGTTCGTGGGTGAACTCCCCGATTCCTTTGTGCAGTTACTGGATCAGAAAGACCCCAGAGCTTTGTTGATTTTATGTTATTGGAGTGCCCTATTGAGCCAAATATACTACTGGTGGGTTATGGACCCTGCAACTGCTGTGTGTAGTAGGCTTTGTGCATACTTGGATGGGATTCACGATGAGAGGATACGTAGCCTACTACATTATCCAGCCAATCAGTGTGGCTATATGATGGATAGTGCACTTCTAAACATCGTCGACGCACCTCTACAAATGGATTGCCACAATATCAGTTTATAAAAAGTTTGTCACCTTCAATATGGAATCTGTGTTTCCAACATTCCGAATTACTAGAAAACCATCGGGGAAGAAGGGCTTCTGATCTCTTACATTCTTCTATTGTAACGAATTTGATCGAAGTATTATATCTACATTCCCGAATCTACCGAAACAACCAACCCATTCTCCAGAGACCCACCCCTTTACGAATACTGAAAAACCGGCGTTATTCAGAATTAGAAAAGGGAAACTCCCAAGTCTCCCCTCAGAGGGTCGATCCCGCGTCGAAGTGCAAGAAATTTACTTATTTAAAAGAAAGAAACTGTTGGTGCAATAGAGATGAAAGAGATTAGGCAAAGCGGTGTAGAACAGCACTTAATTTTCTAAATTCATATGATTCATTTTCAGATTTTTGTACTTTTACCCAGACTTTCTTTCGTGTGCCCCTTTAGAAACTCCTCCACGGTAGTAGGCACCACTTCCGGGTAACGACTATTATCTGTATCACCCAATAATGTCTGTCCGTTAGACATCCAGTATTGGCCATACAAGCCAATCCAAGCAAATCCGTTCCTTGGATTTTCTTTGAAGGCAGAAGTCATATTGTCATGAAGATCTTGGAGTGAGCCAAGTCGCTGGCTATTTGGCTCAACTCCAAAAGCTTCTCGGTATAGATGAGCTAATTTCTTAATGCTCTTTGAGTCTCCTCGATCTGGAAAAGAATATTAGTAAGACTTTGAACTCAAAATGATGAAACAAATATTCCATGGCCTTACATTTTACAGCCCCAACAGCTTTTGGATCCATAGAAACTGCAGCTACAAATTTTGCAGTATCTTTTATGGCAGTCATCTCCAACTGTTCATCACCTGTACCATAATATCGAAACTTGCCCTCCTCAGCATTTACAAAACCAAGCAGAGGACTCCATACGAATTCCATGAATGCTCCGTTAAGGACATGAACACCCCTGATATTTTCCGTTTGCTCTTTCTCCTGAAGATACTGATGAATGTGTTTCGATGGATCCTTGGCGGGATAATCCCCGAGTTTGAGAGGTCGATAGTCAAAAGTATAATCAGAGGCGATGTAGCGAGAAACGTTCTCTGCAATACATGCATCGATAAGAATCTTTTGACCATCGATCATAAGCTTGCTGTCACCGAGATAACAACATATGCACACAGATATACCCGTTAGAGCAGTGCGAATGGTAGAGATGTCTATGGAACTGGCCTCGAAGAGTCTAACCAGAGGATTCAAACGTATGTTTTCGTCGACCTTACTAGCTGAGCGGCAAATACCATGGATTATCGCATCCGGGTGGTCTTGAAGGATAAATTTGGCGATCAAGCGAGCCATTCTGCCTGTGAAGCCAGCAATCGCTATCATTGTAGGGGAAGACATTTTGTGAGGAAGAAAATGAAGTGGAAGTCTGGGAGATGGTCTTTTCAAATGGTAAAATAGGACGATTGGACTAAGTTCATACATCTAGTTGTAGCCCATCTTTATATAGATTCACATATGGTACTCTAGAAGGGATTCTAGACAGTAAGAACGATCTCTCTGTACGAGGAGAATTCATCATACAGGCATATCAACGAATAAAATATCAATATAATAGCCATTGCCTTCAAACATCATGAACAACATGACGATAGACGTCAGCAAAGCATGACCGACCGAGTTCGAATACGTTCCGCATCCGCAATAGCGTGATCTTACAGAGTGTGGTGCCACAGGTGTGGAGATGATGATGATATAAGATCCCGTTTTGCTGTGCCAAGGAGAACAATAGAGCAATCGAATACATTCTGCATATGGCTTAGTTTTATCTTATATATACGCTAGCCAAAAACAAAACGTGTTCGCTTCGTCTTGCTTTGAATCCCGAGTCTTTGACGCACTGTGCGCATGCAGATCATGAGGAGATGGTGGATTTAAGATTCTATTTCAAAATCTAATTCTTTTTTTCTTTTCTTTTTTCTTTTTATCTTCCATCAATGGTTTGTTTGCTACCACGCAATGCTACTGTACAAACCTACTAGATCCGAAGCATACTCTTCCCATTTTGGAATAAGGTATGAATGTGTGATTGGGTGAATCGCGAAAGTGCATAAAACATTGAACATTTCTGTTGATCTTTCCATCTGGAATCGAGAGATAAGATATAACCTTAATTCAAAAGGGTTTAGCGTAGGATCGATCGCAGGAGTTTATCCGGTAGCATATTGCCATCTCGCGCCTTCGCTCTCTAGTTACTTGCGAGTTTGGAGATTGGTAATCCTGGGCTCATCAACATGTATTTCATCGCATTTGTGGTGATACCCAACCACTAGGAGTTAACTTTCAAGCTGCTGGTTGAAGTGTTCAAAAGCTCTGCGATTTCTCGATTTACTGGCAAGTTAATATTCAATTCATCTTTCTTGATCGGATTCGAAACGGTTTTCATTTTCATTGTGTGCTAGCTTCAATCATTGCAACATTCACAAGTTTTCCCAATTGAATAACTTTATTTTACCGAAGTCATCACGACAAGATGTCAAGCTTCGTCGCCGTTGCAGGTGCAGCAGGTAATCTGGGCTCTCAAATTGCCCTTGATCTACGCAGGAGAAATGTAGCTGTCAAAGCTCTTGTACGTCCCGGCACCGCAGCATCCCGCACCCAAAAATTACAAGACGCTGGCGTCGATATAGTAGAAGTCGACATGAACGATGGTCCAGCTATCTTAAAAGCCGTCTCAGGTGCCACAACAGTCGTTTCAGCACTTCAGGGTCTCAGAGAAGTTATGCTAGGCGTTCAGGGAAGACTCCTCGAGGCTTCTGTTGCTGCGGATGTACAGCGATTTATTCCGTCTGATTTCGCTTTGGATTTCACCAAGTGCACGCCGGGATCCAACAGAAATCTCGATCTTCGTCGTGAATTTCACACCAAGCTTGATGCATCGGGAATTCGCTGGACGAGTGTGCTGAATGGTGGCTTCATGGAACTTCTCACAACTGGTCAAATGCCAGTTATCAACGACAAATGGCACCGAATTTTCTATTTTGGAAGCGTGGATCAGAAACTAGATTACACGATGATTCCAGACGTAGCTGCTTATACAGCTGCTGTAGCTGCGGATCCAAATCCAACACCAAAATTCTTACGTATTGCGGGTAGCTCGGTCAATGCAAAAGATTTGGCTGCTGTTGTCACTAAGGTTCGTGGTGAGGAGTATAAACCGATGTGGACAGGAAGTGTTGGATTCCTTCGGGTTTTTATTTCGATCCTAAAGTTCGTGATCGGGGGAGAGGAAACGCAGGTATTCCCTCCTTGGCAGGGGATGCAGTATGTGGAAAATATGGTCTCTGGAAAAGGAAAATTGGATCCTATTGATAATGATAGGTATCCGGATCTGAAGTGGACGACTATCGAGAAAGCTCTAGCAGAGGCGGATGCGGAAAAAAAGAAGAGCAAGTCACTTTGAAAGAAAGTGAAATGAGTGGGGAAACGGGGACTGCTTAATGAAATTTGCATGTTCTAGTACCGGGATTTGTTTGTGGCTTGCGATATTCATGTAATAGTTCTCCTTACCTATTAATACAATACAAATTTGCAACTGTACATATTTATCACAACTATGTATCAGATGTCAGACCGGCAGGCCAGACTACTTTCCACGGTTATTCCTGTGGTTGTAGAAATGGGAAAAATCACAATACCAGCAACTGGAAGATCGCAAGAGGGATGGGGGATTGGAAATCAACAGAGTTTGTGAAGGTGGCCATGCATCTATTGGTAGAGTGTGGTTCCCTGATTGGGATATTACTGTAGGGCGTGCAATGGCGATGTTTGCAAGTCATAAAAAACATGTCATGCAATATTGTTTGGCTGATTCTTTAGTATGGAATAACGAGGAAATTGTTGTTCTGGCTGCCACGCAATGATTATATGTGAACCACAGCTTTGGTTCTTAAGGAGTAGCTATCAATATATTCTCATGTGCAGCAGTCATGCAATTGAAAGATATTAACCAGAGATCCAAAGCTGCGGTTCACCGCTTACTCTTGCCATGCTGCTTTCCATTTAATCAAACCCGCTTCCAATCATCTCGCTCGACCCTTGAGCAGAGATCCTTCAGTCTTTGTGCTGCCCATTCGAAGTCTGCCATTTCAAGATATATTTGACCACTAATTCTCGCCCGTAAGCCCCCTGAATAATACTTGGTAATAATCATCGTATCATATTCCTTGATGAAAGTTTCTTCGATCCACTTAGCAATGTGAGGGGCATCTGAGGAACTTATTGAGAAGTGCTCAGTCTCGGATTCAGCAGAAACTTTGATGGAAGTCTGCACAATCCGTAAAGGCAAACGGACATTGACGAAACAAGACTTGTTTATGGAACCTGAATGATTCTCCAAAATTTCCGTGTGGAGAATTTCCGCCATTCTTTGACCTCCTGTCAACGCGATGGTACGACAATAAGAGCGGACTTTTTCTTCTCCACCACAGACTCCTTGTCGGAATCTCAATGCTTCAGGGATACAGATGTATGGGGTGGGGTCAATCGTTGAAACTTTTTGAAATATTTCAACAAAGTAGTTTGGTTTGGGAGAATCTTTAGCCAACTGAAAAGATTTAGATGTAGGTAGCGTGGTTCGTATGAGTTCCTGGTTTCGGATCGGTACATGTAATACAGCGCATCCACGAGGAACATAAAGCCACCTGTTCAGGGTCAATTATAGGTAAATGATACTTTGCTGGAGTTTGAGTCATACTTGTAACAATTACTGACGAAAAAGTCTGGTCCAACCTGTCCTAAGTGCGAGAGATCAATGTGCCCGATTCCGTGAGCACCATCGATGAGACTTAATACACCTAGATCTTTACATACTTTCACCATCCCTTCCCAGGGGAATGTTACGCCTGGTAAAGTTACCACCGTATCAAAAATGGCTACCTTGATATTCCTCCCATTGCTGCGCAACTGTTCAACAGCACCTGAGAATTTGGAGATAATATCCTCATCTTCGATGGGATAATCAATTTCAACACGAAACATCTCCAATCCGACATGTGAGGTGTCACAGATAGATTGAAGGGTCTTCTCACATGCCCCATAGATAGTGCTGAAATAAACAACTGCATCACCCGTCTCATACACGAGATTTCTTAAAACGGTATTGATGCCCGTAGTAGCGTTTGGCACGAACACAACTTCGTCTGCTTCCACCCCAAGAAGAGGCGCAATGGCGCGGCGAGACTCGCCTAGAAGTTCAGGATAGGTGTATCGTAAAAATGTATCTGGGTATGATTCTATCTCGTCTTGCAACATGCGCTGATGGTCGCGCACACTTTTTGGAAATGCTCCGAACGAGCCATGGTTCAGTGGGTGATATTGTTTGTTGAAGCTAAAGTGCTTCTCTCGTATTTTTCTCCCGAATTCTTCTGTTGCACTCATTTTTGAAATTGGATGCATTTTAATCATTATTTGATTTATCCAGAAGGTAGATGCAAACTATACGTAGGTCTCGGTAATGGTTATTGGCTGGTCCGCGATCGGTTTATATGAGACGTCCAGGATAATGAGTTGAATGCTTATTGGTTCTGCAGGCGCCCCGGATATAATGGAGGTTTCCAAATTGATTATTATTGGGTATGGTTTATATAGGAGGTAGCTTTCTTTCTCAATCTGGATTAAGATACCGGTAAACTTGCATAAATACCGAGGCGATTTCTAAAAGATGCATATCATGGCCCTCAAATCAAAGCCTCGCCATCTGGTCGTCGCATAGATAGCCCAAACCCCGATTCAGACCACATTGCAACCCTATTAAACCGGTGTGACCGTAAAATACTGTACCTTGTTATCCGTGAAGAGATAATGGTTGCAATGGAATTGGTCTGCCTCACTTGAAATCCCTTCTTTCTTGACATGATTCAAAGGACAAGTCAAACGGGATTTCGATATGGATCCACTGTCAGTAACTGCGAGCGTGATAGCTGTTGCTGCGCTCGCAGGACAGATTGGTTCAGCCTTATCAGAACTGCGAGCGCTTTGCAAGCAATTGCCTGGTAGGCTCCACGCACTGAGCAACGAAATATCCGACATTGAAGTAGTTCTTTATCAGGTAGGTAGAGTCGTTGAAGAACGATCAAAATCCTCTGTTCAGATCTCACGAACAGACACGATATCTATTCCGAAGATTTTGCAGAGGGCGGAGCTAAAATTGAAGGAGTTAAAGACAATCATCGACCGTCTCACCGCATTAACAACCAAGAATGGAGTCATCATTTTCCAAATACGCCTTTGGCAAAAAGAACAATCCAAGATACAAAGTCTACAGGAAGAGATAAGAGAAATCAAATCTAGTTTCAATGTTATTCTCGGGGCTTCTAACTCGTATGCATAAATTCCTTCGTGGCATCTTGAAGCCGCAATGAGCAGATAGACACACAAGCTAATCTGGATCCCAGGCGGGAGATGATGCATGTCCGTCTCGATCTCGAGACATTGTCTACAGTCACTAAACAAACTGCCCAAGCACAAAGCACTTCCTGGGAGGAGTTTCTTCGTGACATAACCTCCCACCATGAAAATGTTGAGGAGACACTCAATCACACATATCAACAGGTTGACGAGAGGATTAGTCGAGTTGAGGAAATGCTGAAGACTCAGTCAACTCAGATCCAAAACAGTCAATTTCTTCAAGTTGGCCCTTCTTACAATATGGGTCCCCCAGCGTCTCGAAGACGCTTATCTAGATCAGTCAGTAAAGAGAGACCGCCAAAGATGCCCAGCCGTCCCGAAGCCGTGGGCGTTCGGCTCACCCAATACGCGAGCATTTGTCGTGCGGGCTGTCTATGTGCATGTCACTCCCAAACAAAATCTAGCACACCTGGATTCATGGATCGCATCCTCGGTCAACTCTTCGTCAGATATGCTGGAATGCCTCTTCTTAGTCAGAAATGTGATACTGCCACATGCAAGAAATCACAATCCCCTCATATGAGCTTCTAATACTGGTTTCCCTTGGGCTTTTGTTGGTCTCAGATAATTCGTCTCCAGTTGGGATACCAATCGAATGCTGGACCACAAATGTCTCTAACCACCCTAAGGCGAGTTCCCGATTCCGCCCAGTGTGTCAGTTTTGCTCTGGAAGGTAACATTGAAGGACTGAAAATTTTGTTCATGAGCGGAATGGCATCACCTCGTGATGTTAGTACTACTCGGGGATATTCTTTACTTCGCGTGAGTTGAAACTACGCTTGACAACCTGTTTTTACTAATTCTCAAACACAGTGGGCATTGTATGGTCAACAGTATGAGACTTGCCGGTTTTCATTGTCCGCTGGTGCCGACGCTGATTATAAGTATGCCGTTTCATTCTTTAGGCGGAGAAAGTCCCAAAGAGTTCCGACTAATCTTCTATTCTAGACCAATATCTCTCAATGATGAATGCCCTAGTGACAAGGCTTGTGATGTTATTCTTCGTGGTGGAATATCCGAGAGGATCATTGAGATTCTGAGACTGCTGGGTGCCAGTAGTGATTTTGTGGAGAACCAAAATTTCGCCGCCATTCACAAGATAGTTCTGAGATTGTCAATGAAAGATTTGGAAGAAGAGATCCTACGAAATCCCAGTCAAATTGATGTTCATGATGCAACGGGCCGTACTGCGCTTGAATGGGCAGCAGCTCGAGGAGATGAACGCTCATTGATAACATTATTGAGTTATGGCGCCGATCCCAACAACATAGACCACAAACTAAACACACCCATTACATTAGCATCGAACCAGAATCATACCGTGTGTGTTAGACTACTTCTCGAAGCTGGAGCTTATCCGGATCCTGTCCTTCCAAACGGTATCAAATTCGGCAGTCCTTTGAATCGCGCGGCGCGAAATGCTTCAGATCCTTTATTACTTAAAACTCTACTCGATTTCAACGCAGACATTGAAGCTGGCAATGTCGATGGCGTTACGCCACTACTACAAGTTGCCCGTGGTAACAGCGCCAGTCACGCGATGCTACTCTTGGAATATGGAGCTAACATCAACGTAACATCAAAAGCTGGTCGTAAACCACTTACCACCGCCATAATACATAACAACCACAATGTCCTCCAATTACTCCTCGATCGCTGGTATGAATATAGCGAATGTCCTCGCTTAAAGGGACCCCACCTTCTTGAACTCGTGGCTCAATATGCAGATTTGGATACTATATCCATTCTTGCTTCTACCAACCACCTGAGGATCAAATTTGACAAAAGTTACGTGTTTGGGGATTTCGTCACCAGGTTACGAAAGAGATCTGGGGTTACAGATAAATTACTGAGTGCTTTCGAAGATCTACTAAACGTTATTAATGAGGGTGCAGCAGAGCACAGAAGTCTAGAGAGTGCCATGGAATCGGGATTATTAGTACATGGAGAACTCGACGAGGAAGATTCGGATGAATTTTATGAAGATGCACAGGAGGTTTTGACGACCATGTCGCCTGATTTTGGATGTCCTTTTATCAGATTGGCAAAGAGAGCTACTATCTAGCACAAATCTGTGTTTTCGATTTGCATTCACTTAGAAATATTTGAGAAAGAATCTGGATGAAGTGTTAAAGAATGACCTGGTTTCTGGCGACTCTTAAAATGTACGGGTTTGCTATGGAGCGGAAATTCTGGCAAGAAAAGAGAACCAGGTGTCAAAAAGAACATTTGTAGGGAAACACTATAGCTGCCAAGGAATAGCATTAGTTATATTGTATGCCTACTTCTAGCTATTGTAGACCTTCCTCCACGAATGAATTAATGCAATTCAATAATAATTAAAGAGTGTCTGTCGTCAACTTCCAAGCTCCCTCGTCATTGATTATCATATCAAACCTGTATCAGGAAATTCTCTTTCTTCCTCTCCATCTCCTTGACTACCAGCAAAGCGATATAACCATATCAAAACTTCAGCTACCTCCTCTCTCAACCCTCATAAACATATCCATCACATTCCCCACCAACAACAATCCCTCTCCATCATCTCGATCGAAAACCAATTTCCGTATCTAACTTATCTTCCTCCGACGCACACCCAATAGTATTATCTCCAAGCCTCCACGTATCCCCAACACTCTCCCTCACACACGCCTCAACATCCCCCATCAACTCCCTCACAACCTCATCCTCCAACGGCACTTCTCTCCTCTTCCCATCAGCCCCAAACAAAATCATCCCATGCGCATACAACATAGTCTGCACCGCTTTAGTACTAATATTATCCCACGAATACAACCCTCCGGGTGCCGTATGCGGAATATTATGAATCGCCGTGCGTGGAGGCGTCGAATACGTAGTCCTAATAACAACACTATGTGCATCCGGACCATGAACCAGTAGCGGTTCAATCTGTGTTCCGTCGGGATTCAAATATTCCAGAGCGGCGGATATGGTATAGCGCACATTGTAGACGAGATCGCCGGGATAGAATACTTCATATGGGGCGATCAGCGGCATGGCCGAGTTCGACGCCATGAGATGTCTTTGCCGTGTAATTCTCATCTCCATGAGGTTCTTGGGAACCCCGTTGGATCTTCCCTCGCGATCGCCAAGTCTTTGATATATGTGTGGAAGATAGGGCCCCTCGGCAGTTTGCCAGTCGTATACTACAGTGGGCAAGTGTTGAAAATCGGTTAGAACGGCTTTGCGGTGAATGAGCTCTTGGTAGAGTTTTTCTCGGCGGCTGACGGGGGCTGTCCCGTTGACATGTACACTAGTGGTCATAGTTTTTTGTGGCTGCTGATGAGGTAGAATTAATCGTTTTCTTGATTGCGTTGCGTTAAGTCAATTCGAGATACTGAATGATGGGGATCCAAAATCGTGTTTGATATCGTTGATTGTGTAAAGAAACTTGTCTCAAAATCTCTACGCATCATTTTGTTTACGCCCGTCGGTTGCTGCTGAGCTTTTCAGCAAAAAAAGAAGACAGCAGGAGCGCAGTAGCGTTCAAGAGGTAGGAAGTACCTTCATCAGCACTTGCCCTTTCTATCCAAATTCATATTTTCTCAAGAAACGAATTATCACTCACAATGATAGATGAAACGATTATTATAAAAACTTCATCAAATACTGAGGCATTCCAAACAAGCAGTCGGAGTTTTGAAGTTCTCATAAATCCCATTCTCAATACCGCTTTTGGATTAAATCACTTGATGTGCTCCTACCAAATCACCGCTTAGCTCTTCCTGAATCCCTCATCATTATACCCTCCTTATTCTCGTTGACCAAATTTGTTACCTATACCACCTTCTCAATTCGTTTTCATTCTCCCAAGTACTTCCTACCTTAAGACCTCCACAGCACTACAGCACAGCATGTACTACCCCTCCTTCCCATCTTACTCACATCCCTATTCTCAGCCACAACATTCCGCATCCCCAAATCCCAAAATTTCATCGAAAACACTCACAATAGCCGTCGTATACCAACAACAAGTTCCCCAAACGCCACGGCTAACGTTATCATGCTTGACGCGGAAATTTCTCTTGAATACTGAAATGCAAATCTTCATACCTACCAGAAAGCCGCATTTCAATTGTTGACTTTGGTGGATGGAATAGATTGATTACCTACCTACTTTATGATATATAGCATGGGGGAATGGAAGATTGGCCGGAAATGATGATGGCGGGTATAAGGCGACTCTGCATTTGAAGGAAACGATTTCGAGATATGGAATTAGGTGATGGGTAATCTAGGAGGAAAGTCTCTTATAGCTTATATTATTTGTGACTTGGTCGCTTGTACGATTGCGATGACTTATTGAATTTTCCTAAACGCTACATCATTCTATCTGAAAATTTCCAAATTCAGGACTTTACGCGAGGAAATCTTTGAAGTCCCGTGATAAATACATACCTAGGTACCTATATATACATCATACATACACAATGATCTGCGTCACTACAACCCGTTTCCTCCCGGTTCCCCTATTCATCTATCCCCCTTTCTATCCTCGCTCAAACAAAAGTCCTCACTCAGCACCCACTGTCCGTCCCTCACAGAGTTTCGTCAACCTTTTTCTGAGCAGCCTCCTCGGCTTCATTATCCTCCTTTTCACATAACAACCAAGCGACTCTCGTCTGATTGAATTCGAATCGATTCATGCATTCATCGATTCTTCTCCATAGGTCTTCGCCTACTACTTTGTCGCCTTTTGAGTTGTGGAAGTTGTTACGTTTCCATTTGTACTGTGGGGTTGTTAGTTTTGACCTGTCAAGTGTTCGATGGGTTGGTTTTGAAGGGGTGGGAGAGGGAGGATATGTGGGGAAGGGAAGGCTTGACGTATGGTCTTGATCAATGTAACCAAAGTGCCTAACCGGATATGACAACCTCTATTTACCCTCCGCATCCCGTATCTTCACACAAGACGGAAGAAAAATAAACCTACAATATGTTCCGTAATGCCATACCACAAATTCGTACTACTCGTAACACCTACCACCAATCCTCCAGCAGCAATCTCTCCACTAACATCCTCAAACCCCTTAACCCTCATCTTACACTCCAGCTCCACAAATTCCAATGCCTCACACGCAGCCGCCAACTCGGCAATCTTCTGCATCTCTATTTTGCTCCCCGCCTCTTTCACTTTACCCGTAGTATTATACCTTGATTTCGGTCCAAAATGCACCGAATACGCTGCTCTATACTTTTCCTCCGTATCTCTGGACCCCGAAGAAGAAGAAGCAGAAGGGAATCCAAACGCGAGATCCAAATTCTGAAGAGCATCACGTTTTACGGGAGCCACGGCCCCAGCAACACTAAAAACCAATGTCCTCGGATGTCCCACAAAATAACCCTCTTTCAACATCTTCAACCTCGAGATTTGCAATTCTCCTTCAGGCTCGTAGAAGAATAGACGAGGAATCACGCGGTTTTCATGGAGGTATAGTTCGGTGTCACTTTCTAGATCGAATTTTCGGGGGTGCAGAATCGGATTCTCGGATATGGATGCGTGGGCAAGAGAGGGGTCAGTGGTAGCAGGCGTGGTAATTTTGTATTCTGTAGCTGATGTGGTAGGAGGTTGAAAGATCGGTACGGTTGGTAGAAAGTCTGACATTGTGATGCACGTGGATGGTTGGAGGCTTATGTGATGATAGGGGTTATTGACTTGGCTTGATTTTCGTAGCAGAACCTTGAGTACGTTGTCTTATGATTGAGAATGAAATTGGATTCGGATTAAAAATGATATATTTCGAGTAATAGATTAAGTATATATAGGTATGTAGAATTGGAAGTTTAAAAGTTTAAGTAAGTTGGTGGATGAAGAATAATTGAAGAATGATGAATTATGTTGTCCCCTTCTCTTCCGGAGTCCCGTTTGAAGCCAAACTATGTTAGGCTTAGCTTCGTCCTTACGCCACATTTGAGCCCAGCCACAATCAAAGGTCCCCCGGGCCTACACAGTACATTTCCAACCCACGAAGAGAAATTGAACGTATGAATGGGAAAAATGGCCCAATACACATGCTAATTATCCATGCCATAAAATCTATTTCATAATCATAAAATATATGCAACCAACTTAAGCTAAATCGACATGCAAGTTTTCCTTCATACCATTCATCCATACATGCAATTATATCCCATACCAATACCATGCCATGCCATACCAACAACTTCCAAATTATATCATAAATCGTTACACCTTGAGCACCTACCAATTCCAAGTACTCCTTCATCTAAAACTTAAGTTAAACAGTTCTCTTTTCCAAAAGCAACCTTCCAACAGGACCTTCCTTCCTAACTACCATTCCATTCATATCTCCGACCCCCCTTTCATAAACCTTAGTTCCCCTAACCCATGTTTCCTTTACTCTCCCCTTCATAGTCTTTCCGGTATACGGACTGACTTTGTTTCTAAAAAGCAATTCTTCTCTGCCTACAAGCCACTCGTGATTATCTTCAAAGATACAAATATCCGCATCTAACCCTGGTCTCAGCGCTCCTTTGCGATGTTGAAGTCCGACTTGCTTGGCCGTATTCACAGCGCATAGCCTCACGATATCAAGGATATCGATCGAAGAAGAAGATGCAGCGCGAGAAGGAGATGTGGCTTCTGTCCAGAGAATTGGAAGACCGAGTCCAACCGAAGAGATACCTCCCCAAGAGGCGAAAAAATCACCCTTTTCTTTGGCTTCTTGATCTTTCAATAATGCACCATTCACTCCTTTAGCATCGTCGCGCATGGCGCCACAGCCATGGGATAAATGCTCGGGTAGGAGTTTGAGTTCAGGAGTACATGGGCTGTGATCGCTAACGATAGTTTTGATGACGGATTCCGGGTGTGAGAGTTCGTTCCAGAGGCCATCACGGTTGGCTGAAGAACGAATAGGTGGGCAGCATTTATGACGGGTGTCACCTTCGGATACATCTTCAGATGCAAGAGCGAGGTAGTGGAAACAAGTCTCCGCGGTAATGTTTATGCCAGATGAACGAGCGGCGCGGAGGAGAGGGATAGCTTCAATGGCGGAAAGGTGTACGATGTGAAGATGAAGAGAAGGAGCGAGATGGGCAAGCGAGAGGATTTGATCAATCGCGTATGTTTCGAAAGATGGAGGGCGGGAGGATAGGAATGTATCGTATGCTGTCAGAGGTCCTGATGGTTGGAGAGGTGGGAGGGATATTTGGACGTCATCACCTACGGAGGCTGTTATTGGTGGAATCATTTCCGCATGGAACATGAGAGTTGTAGAAGCATCTTTGAGTGTCTTGAGAACGAGGGCTATATCATCGGAAGAGACGGCAGGGAATTCATCGACCTATTACTTTTGTTAGTTACTGCAACTATGATTGGTGAGGAGATACATACGCCACTCTCTATGAGGAAGCCCTTGAAGCCCCTGACACCCGCTTCAACAAGCGGAAGCAACTCCTCAGCATTACCAGGTATAATTCCACCATAGAATCCAACGTCAACCCAGCATTGACCTTGTGCAGCCTTAATCTTTTCTTGTAATCCATTAATGGTTGTAGTTGGTGGGATTGCATTCAATGGCATATCAATGACTGTTGTGACACCACCTGATGCAGCAGCTTTGGTACCGGTATTGAAACCTTCCCACTCGGTTCGACCCGGCTCATTAAGATGAACATGTGCATCGACTAATCCCGGAAGGATCAGATGAGGAGTGTGGTCGACATAAATTGTGTTTGGTGGAAAACTAGAGGGTGGGAGAACGGTAGGTAAGATGGATATAATCTTGCCGGTCGAGGGTGAGATTGTGATGGTTGCAGGCGAGACAATGAGATTGTCATTCTCGTCAAAGATGACTGCTCTCGAGGAGACGAGGACTGTAGGTTGTAATGGAGAATCGTGGGGTGGGGTGGCGGAAGGGGTTGGATATGGGTATGTAGTCGTCATATTGAAGACCTTTGTAATGTGATAATGGAAAATAAAGGATGAAGATGTTCTTTAGAACGAATTGAAGATATATTGAGGTATGATTCGAGAGAATATCCACTGGAATGACTCTTATCGTGGGGGATAAGAGGTGGGATAGATAAGAAAGATTCGAGAATGATTGGAATGACTGATAAGGGAAATGAAGGGGGGAACTTTCTTTGTTCAAGTGAATTTCTAGAATTTGAAGAACTTTTTCAAATCTGGGGAAAGGGAAGATGGAGATATAAGGACATTTGATTAACATAAATAGAAAGAACCCAACTACGATAGGCTTACTGTAATGTGGAGTGCATTTCCGTATGATACCGTACCATGACTGTCCGTAGCTATGCCACGGTGGAAGAATCCGAAGATGTAGATGTCCCCACGCCAAAATCGTTATCATGAACATCGAGAATCCATCGAGAATCCCTTATCTTTCTGCTCAACCACCAATCCGAAGGGTTGATAGACTTGATCCTAATACGACCAAGCTTAATTCGTATCTGACCAATGACTCCAATCCTGGATCCAGATGAAAAAGCCACTAGCTCCGTCTAGAGCTCCATAAATAAAGATTTTCTTTTCCCCTGGCGTTAGGAACAAGCGGTCGGGACATGCTTTGAACCCTTAAAATGACCTATGATGTGTTTTGATCGAGTAAAGCCTTTCTTCTAGCAGCTCCCTAGTCAGGAAGGCTCGAAAGAACGAGAGCTGCTAGACCTTCTATGTTAGGGTAATCGAAGTTTTAATTCGGGACATCTCGGCATGTGAAGATGTTGCATGAGAAGAAGCTGTGAGCATTCATTCATTCAATGTGGATGTGGTGGATGTGTGGAAATTTCAATACGAACACGGCAGTGAAAAGGATACCTAGATATCAATTTCATCCAACAATTTTGATGTTCATTATCAGTCATGTGTGCTGTACGACCATGATAATGTAAGCCACAATCAATTTGATTTATGTGTGTCGGGTTCTCGTGATATTTTGCTGGAATTTGAAAATTGATTGATTATGTAACATCCACGCATCTACCTACTACACCTGCATGGGTTGGCTTGTCCGTTGCATCGTCTGAAGCACTAAAAAGCCAAGGCGAATCCCGATGCCGGATCGGACTTAAGTTTAGCCTATCGTTGAGGTTGTTAGCTGATACATAACAAACCGCACGAACTCAATCCATCCCATTTTCTTACTCGATCATTACTCGATCATTACTCGATAATTACTCCATGAAAACTCATAATCGCTGACGAGTAATACCAAGTCCAATATATATGCGTATGTGGCTTTGAGCATCCATCAATGCCGTACGAATCATTGGCTTGACACATTGTTGGGAATCTTCTCACGCATTTCTATGCGATGACAACGCCAAAAACGTACGTCTCAAGCAGAAATCGACTTTGTCTTTGAACCGAGGAGGATGCAAAGCATCGAGATGAGATGGGAAGGGACAGGACGTAATAAGTCGCGTTTGAAATAATCATCGTGAACTCAGAATTGATTGTCCCATGGGTACTGCCTCGGCTGAATGGAATACTTGGACAGTCTCGAAGATTGGATCCGCTCACTATAGCGTACCAATAATTGTGAAGAATTGTCGAAATTACACACGAGTATCCTCATGTGGACTTTTTCAATCAACATTGTTCACCGCAGCCGTCACAATCCAAGTAGGTGAAGAGCTAATTGAAAACAATGAGGGAGAATGAATTGTAGAGAAAGAGATGTTATTTTCAAGAAGATGTAGGAGTCGCCATATACCACTTCGATCACGTATAATAGCCGGGGGCAATCGCCAGCCAAAATGCGTTCTTGCCGCGTGAAAATTGAACGCCATTTGACGACTGAACTGCGAGAAATGATGATATCATTGCCAATACCACCAATTACAAACGACTCACTCTCGTGATACATTACACCAAGTCGACGAAATCAAAAATCTCGAGTTGTTCTTCTAAATTTGTTGATATTCTCATTATGTGTGATTTCAAGTCTATTTTTGACCCTTTCCGATTCTGTTTGGTTTCCCGTCGTCAAAAAATACCCACCATGAAGCTTGATCAAATATCAATCACCGAGATATTGGATGGTTTAAAAAAAGGAAGTTTCTCAAGTGAACAGCTTATTAGGGCTCGTTGATGCCCATAATGACTTCTTTGTCGTATCACTAACGATAATGAAGACTTACATCAAGCGTATCGAGCAAATCAATTCAATTGTCCATGTTGTCAGTGAGATCAATCGAAAAGCCATTGACGTTGCTAGAGAAAAGGATGAAGAACGGTCTCGCGGCTTGGCTCAAGGAAGTCTCCATGGAGTACCAGTCTTGATAAAGAATTTGTTATTCACGACCGATGGCCTCAAGACTACCTGTAAGTTTAAATTTGTTGAGGTTAAGCAAATTCTCACCTCATGAAGTTGGCTGCACCGGATTCCTCGAAGCTATCCCAAGTATTGAAGCAACAACAATTATTAAACTTCGTGAACAAGGTGCGATCATATTAGGAGTTGCAAATGGCTCCCAATGGGCCAATAATCGATGTACTCCTGGTTGGTCTTCTGTAGGTGGTCAGTGTTTAGGTGTCTATCATAAAGATCAACATCCTAAAGGTTCATCATCCGGCAGTGCTGTTGGAACTGCTTTGGGACTTTGCGCTGCTGCTCTAGGGACTGAGGTTTGTCATTTCCCATTTAAGTTTGAAAGACGCAAATCAGATGTGAACGCGTAAACTGAACCTTGAAACTATAGACTTCTGGTAGCGTCATATTACCTGCGCAGAGATCTGCTGTTGTAGGAATAAAGCCGACGGTAGGAATGACTTCGAGATATGGAATGTATATTTCGAGTGAAAGTCAGGATACTGTAGGAATATTGGCAAGGAGCGTCAAGGATGCAGCACTTATGTTGACTGTGATTGCAGGTAAGTGTTCGGACCAAGTCCTTTTGCTTAGCTGAGATAAAAGAGGTGAGGATGAGCAGGATCCTATCACCATTTCCGATCCTCGAGATTCGATATTTTGCCGGAAGCCAAATAAATTCCCAGATTTCACAGGAGCTTGTAATTCTCGAAGGTTGGACGGTGTGCGAATCGCAGTGAGATATGCCGGCGAGTGTTTTGCAGCTTGAATGCTAACACTACAAGATACCCCGCCATATTCTCAAGCACGTTGATCCCACCACCATCCATCTTTTCGAAAACGCACTCGATGCAATGAGATTCTTAGGAGCCACCCTTGTGGATCCAACTTCATATTCAACATTCGATACCGATAGATCTTCATGTACGGGTGACGAATATGATATGGCTTTGAAAGTAGATATATACCACAGTACATCTACGATTCCCCATCCATACAACCATGTATGCTAATCATCCCCTAAAGATATCAAAAAGATCCTCTCTTACTTCTCTACCAATCCTCATTCTCTATACACCCTCTCCGATGTAATCACCTACTCAATCGCTACTCCCGCTGAAGAAGCTACGAAACGTGGTCTCGGGCATTTCGAATCAGCTCTCGAAGTCGGCAAAAAGTATGCCAGAGATAGCGAAGAATATATAAATTCTATGGTGGAAAGAAATCATATGGGAAGACAAATACCTAAATTACTAGATAAATTCGATTGCGATATGATAGTCCTACCCACAAATGTGGCGGTTGAACCGGCGGATGTGGGAGGTTGTCCGGTGGTGAGTGTACCTATGGGATTTTATCCCCCGGAAACGGAGGTTGTGAGACAGAATGGGATGGTGGAGGTGGGACCAGGGATTCCGTGAGTTTTTGATGTTTTTTTTTGTGTTTTGCTCTCTCTGAGGGTATGATGGTATGGTTTGAAAATGAGAAAATGAAACTAACGGTTGGTGATAGACTTGGAATATCTTTCGTAGGAAGAAGATGGGATGATGAGAAGTTGATCGGAGCGGCGTATGTGTATGAGCAGGCTACCAGGTGGAGAGATAAGGGGAGGATGGTGGTGAGGTGTGATGTTGAGGTATGCGATATGGCAGTGCGGGCTCATAAATAGTTTTTGAAGTCCCAGATTCTTGGTGGGATTTGAAGTTGAAGTTGGTTGTTTGGAATTATATTAGGGAAGGGCTTTTGTTATCGCCTTGCTGGCGTGGAGATGGATAGAGATGGATAGATTTTGAGGGGTTGATATAGAGTCATCTTGTACGAGATGATTCACACAGAAGCAGAGTAACTTATTATTGCTCTTCCAGCCTGAATCAGATTATGGAAAACGAGGAATTCACTTTCAAACAAGTATCTTCTGCATGGTTCTCGCTGGTATCAATATCTTGACAGCTATAAATTCATCGCAATCGCCTTGTTTCTACTGCAACAACTTGAAAAAAAATCAAACCAGAGATACAAAGGTCTGCAACCTAGCGCTCCTGTTCAACAACTAAATTCATTTTCTACAGAGCTTAGAAATTGTACGATATTCGTATGGGGTTTGTAAATGTATGGTGGGATTTTAGATGGCGATGGGGTTTCAATATTATGGCGATGATAACGATGAGAAGACGATGACGGTGAATATTTCTCGGCGGATAGTGGGTAGGTGGAAGGAAGGAAGGAAGGAAGGAAGGAAGAGAATTTTGACAGTAAAAAATGGAAAATAAGTAAAGGGTTGAGTAGGGGAATATGGGGGTTCTATTACTTTTTTAGTGAAGGGGGGAGTGGTGTATATCTATCTAGGCAAGATGCTTGAGTTCAAGATCTTGGGAGCATCATGGGGTTAGTGTGTGAGATCTTCCTGTTCCAATTTTCGATCGCGTGGTTCTCAGTGTTGATGAGTAGAAAGGGGGGAAGGAGAGGGGGGTTTATATACCTACTTAGGCACGTAGGCACTAACCGACACATCTTAAGCTACCTCCTAGGTATTCACTAATATATTATTTTCGAATCAATTCGATAGCAATTGATCAATCAATGAGTACCTAGGTATTTAGATATACGAAATATATTGCACCCTATTCTCCCTTTCCGCTTCCCTTCTCCCCTTCCCTCTTCCCTTCTCCCCTTCCCTCTTCCCTTTTCCTCTCCCTCATATCCCCCTTCCTTCCTCTTGTTTTCTTCTTTGTGTAGGGCTCTTTTTCTGTAATAGAATTTCTATTTATATTTGGGCGAGTATGTTTTAGGGTATTTATTATTCGTTGTTTGTTATCTATTTAGTTAACCCTATATCATGTATAATATGTATTATATATATATCCATACATCTAATTTTATCTTTTTGGGTTTTTTGTTGAAATCAATCTTGATGGATATTGTTCTAGCGGTAAGATTGAGATTTGGGATTTGGGATTTGAGATTTTGTGTGTGTGTGTGGTAGGAGAATGAATGTTACGATTGTTAGGTAGGTAGGTAGCAAGAATGAGTTTGGAAAGTTAGTTCAGAGTTAAGGTGAAGATGGAAAGGTTGTGAACTTTTTGGGGGGTGGGATAGAGTGGGATGGTAAAATGGGAATAACGATGATGATGATGATAATGATAATGATAATAATGATGATGATAATGATAATGATAATGATGATAATGATAATCAATGATAATTTGATGATATGATGATAATATGATGATGATAATGATACTAAGAATGATGATAATACTAATGCTGATAGCTAATGATACTGCTAATAATGCTAATGATGATAATATAATCCTGCTGCTGCTGCTGATGCTGCTGACTCATACTCTACTGCTGATGAATATATCCTGCTGCTCTAATGATACTGTGCTGTGCTGATCATATCGATGCTAACACCTCTTGTCGCCGGGTCCTTAACGGAGAAAATAATGAATAATAATACATAGAAAAGCGGAGAAATTGACAGTGATTCTTCAACCTACTGTGTTATTAGATATAAGCAGAGAGGTGGCGAAGATAGGGCGGGATACTTTTACGATTCTATTCTTGATATCCTTATAATAGCAAGGAAATTCTGGATTCTGTGACAAGTTTTTGTGTTTTGAGTATTTGATTGGTACTCTAGGTTGGGTAGGGTTAGAATTTATATGCACGGAATTTGGAATTCGGAATAGAGCATGATTCATAACCAAAACCTTCCGACTCGAGTTTCCGATATTGATCTCGAGAGGTGGAGATACTTGCACTGTATTCACTATATCTACCTAGGTAGGTACTTGCACATTTCTGATTCATTCCATATTCTCTGTTTTATAGCCCCTTGTTGCGGAATGGAAAATATGAGATTGATAGCTCTTTATAAAAGGACTCTATAACTGTATAGACATCGAAATTGTCACTTCACATTTACCCATTAACAACGCTCTGAGGGATGCGGAGCGCGGTTCTTTGGGATTTTGACGAGTGTGTCGTTTTTGAGGTTTAGTGAGGCTGGAAATGTTATTGTTGTAGGATTAGAACTGGTAAGGTTTTGGTTTGGAGATGATTAGCAGTTGCGTAGAGAGTTGGGATGGGAGAGTTGAGATAAAGTGATGATAACAATAACTATGGCGTGTCATACGGACATTTTTGTCCAAAACGATTTATTCATCTGATATACTATAAATCGATCTTGAAAGCTATTATCTGATATTTAAAATGATTATATAATACTTTACTATTATCTGATAAAAATACCCTACTATCATCTAATCTATAATAAAATTTAATTTAATTTAATTTAATAATAATACAATTAAATAAATGACAGTTTTTGATTTAGTAATACAAAACTTAAATAAAGTTTTCAATTTCATAAAAATATTAAAATTAAATAAAAGATCTTATTTTAATAATTAATATTTTATTTTATAAAAAAACTAAACTATCATAAAATACATTTAAATTAAAAAATTAAAAAATCTTTTTAGAATAATTATTTCTATTAAGATCCTTTATAAAAAGAAGATCAAAAATTTAAATTTTATTTTAATATTGACTTTAATATTAATTTTAATTCTAATTTAATACTAATTCTAATACTAATTCTAATACTAATACTAATTCTAATACTAATTCTAATACTAATTCTAATACTAATTCTAATTACTAATTTTAATACTAATTTTAATACTAATTTTAAATTATAGTAAATTTATATTATTCTTATTATTATCTTTAATCCCTAATCCTTTTTTTATAGAATAATAGAATAATAGAATAATAGAATAATAGAATAATAGAATAATAGAATAATAGAATAATAGAATAATAGAATAATAGAATAATAGAATAATAGAATAATAGAATAATAGAATAATAGAATAATAGAATAATAGGAATAATAGAATAATAGAATAATAGAATAATAGAATAATAGAATAATAGAATAATAGAATATAGAATAATAGAATAATAGAATAATAGAATAATAGAATAATAAAATAATAGAATAATAATCAGATGATAATAGTATTTTTATTAGATGAAATTTTTTATCAGATATATAAATAATCTGATCATTATCATCTAAAATCGTTTTGGACAAAAATGTCCGCATGACACGCCATAAATAACATTAATGATAAGAGTAACAGTAATGATAACAATGATAGCAACGATTTTGGTGATAATCTCAATGATAAAAATATGATGATTAAGCGAGGTTAGAATGGGATGGGATATATAAGTGTAAATTCCGGACGAGAATGAGGGGACTTGGGATGTGAAAAGATTGTTTTATAAAGTTGCAATATCATTTTTTATTCGACAAATCACTCTCATGTTGCTCGAACTTCATTTAATTATTTCGATGTCCTAGAATTCGTAGGCTTTGTACTCTTATATTCCTAGGATTCTAGTCTATCAACTATAGAATCTATACTATACAATCTGTCTCAAAATCATAGAGTCTTATCGAGTCTACGCCCCTTAAAGGGATTACTATTGTGTTGTGAGTTTTAATATAGATTACCGGAATTGGGATATATAGGAGGTGTGAACCTATATAGTTCTTGTTTTAGAGAAGTGGAAATTAGCCAAGGGCTATGACTTTTTACATCTTTAGATTCTACTTCATCTTTGCTCATTTATAAATGTTCTCGTCGTTACATTGTGCAACAAGATCATTTATTCAACACCAGAATTTCGGACGAGCAGCTCGTAGTATTCAGTTGAGAATAATTCTCGTCTTTTCCGGATCATTTTGCCTCCAACGGTCTTTAATTATTCGCCCGCAGCCTACTCTATGCGCAATTCCGTTTTCTCTTCGTACCCAGAGAACATTATAAAACTCACGAATTGCGTTACCTTCTAGATGCGCCTCGCACAAGCAATCCTTACATAAACAGCCATCAGGGAGGATGAGGTTCTCTTCGTACTCCCCTTCAATAATAACCTCGTAGTTTTCCTTGCCCCATATAGACGAGCCACCCGATACACCAGTCCACCATCCTTCGGAATCATATTCGGCATTGAATGGACCAGGGTGGCAATATTGACTATTTTGAAAAACCTTCTCCTCAAAGCACATCGCCATGTCTTTGAGGCTGGCACTACCCTCCGAGATAGCAACCAGTTCCATGGGCGTACCTCGCTCATACTCCGCATCTCCTGTGATGCGTAACAAACCACAGAACACACCTTTCTGATTTTGCAGAACGATTACGCTTGGTAAACTTGACAGGGGCTTTTCATTCAGAATGGGTTCCGTGAATACGTGCATGATGCCGCGTTTGAGAGGCGGTTGATTGTCCTCGATTCTTAAAGTCGCCGAGGGAAGAAAAAATGCATGTTCTGTTAAGCAGGATAAAAATGTTGATTCTATGTCATTATAAATACTACTATGTGTGGTGAGTTTGCGGTCGGGATCGGTGATATTTTTCTCTTTTCGTTGTACGTCCGGGATTGATAATTGAGGAATATTCGTTGAAAGTTGATCAGTTGTCTCTTTGAGCCAATCAGATCCGCTTACAGAGGAGCTGGCCTCCCAAGTGACAAGATTTTGTAATTTCCAAGAGCCTGCTTTATCCTTCCGTAAACTATCGTTGCTATCAAGACAGAAGCTAGCTTGGAAACTCCAAGGATCCACGAAACATTCCCATCCACACCATGCCCAGGATGGAAGGTATCGAGCGTTTTTAGATGTGCTAGTTCTTCTATAGCAGTCTTTCAATGGCTGCCATAGAAGCGCGTAGTCAAGGAAAAGGGCTGGTAGACCGTGCATAAATCCACCTGGAAAGCTTGGAGCAAGACGGTTCAGGATACCCAGGCATGCGGAGAGACCATCTTTGTCATCCGTGAGTTTGCGTCCATTGTATGGACAAATGAGATCCATGTACAGACCGAAATCAGGATATGATGGCACTGAGAAACTTCTCATGAGCGAAAATTCTGACATGGTTGACGTAGACTCGTCAAGAACCTTTCCTGGAGAAAGAAACCCCATATCCCATGTTGCACATTCGCACTGCCAGAAAGCTGTTCTATTGCAGAAAAAGATAACACGGTTGCTGAGAATTGCTTCTTGATATGTCCAAGCTCTCTCTGCCCATTTTGAATCGGCGACTGATGAATAATGAGCACGAATTTCCCACGACTGTCCGTTGAATTTCCTTTTATTTTTAAATCCGGGATCGCTCAGGGTCGCAGTCAGTTTGTCAAAAAGGCCAAACTTCGCTGCAGCAACTATAGTCACGTACGCCCCCGCATATACCTGATCCATACGCATAACTTCAGATATTGTTGCAATCTCTTGATCCTGGATGATGCAGAGTCGATCCACCCAAAGATATCTCTGACCAAGACGGGTTGTCAGTTCCATGGCGTCGAGAATAACTTTTGGTAGTGATTGACTGGCGTTGCGCAACGCACCAGGCTGGGTCAAGATCTTTAGGTTATCCTCGAGTAGTCGAAAGGGCTCCTCGTTTTCCGATGATGCACTGTCTTGCCAGGTGTAGCTGAGTGCGACATAATTATTTGGATTACTTCCAGGTACGATACAATACTCCACTGTATCGACAAGCCAAGAAGGCCGGTCTGATGTGAGAGCATTGCATGTGTGTTGTTCATCGCAAGCCGATAGCCAGCTTTGCATGTGCTGAATAGCGGTCATTTGGCTATCAGCGGACGTTGAGTCATCCATATTGAATGGGATATTATGCTCAAGTTTTGGGCAGTGCAATTGAGAAAGAGGTCAAGATGCGAGTGGGAGACTTCTGGAATGGCACACTTCTTCAAGAACACGACGTTTAGAGGAAGTGTCCTAAACGCTCCACACTGCGAAATATACCCGGTTTTGGCTGCGTCCCACAGTTCGCTTACAATCCAATCAAATATTGTGATACTCTATCATTCTACCTCTTTGTAGCTGCATGCATAAACAAGGATTCCGTCGATTGGTCAAAATCCTGGGAATATCAAGATATGACATGCTGTGAGATGGGGTTGTTCTCTTTGGCGCGGCCTCATGTCATTGGCAATGAATGATCTGTAGTCGAGAAGCGGGATCAGTCAAACGAATGACAACACTTATGTCGACAGATTAAATGACAGTGAAGTAATATGTGTGACATACATCAAACAACAACAGTACCTTAGCTAGAGCTTAAATTACCTCAAGCGTGGCAGTAAACAGGAGCAGGTGCGTCGTTGACTTCTCGACGATGTCTGTCATTGTCAACTGCTCACGGTCACCGGATGCGGGCGCCCCTCTGGGCCTGACAACAGAATCCGAAGGAGTCTATATATGTTTCCTGTACAAGACTAAATAAGGAAAAATGGGGCCTCCGATAGTAGTGAATCAAATTGAGGGGGAATTATGTACTAAGCATTTGTCAATGTCCAGCCTTTACATGCCTTTCAAAAATTTCTCAAACTCCAGAAAGCCATGGCCATCATATAGATGATCGTAAGAATAGGCGTGGATGGCATGTCGGTTCCGTGACAATATTCTACTTCTTATATGAACATTCTTACATTACGGATCATATGTGAGTCTCTCCCAGTTGCTCACTTGAGCTACTCAATTCGCTCATTCTTTAAAGTTGTGATTACACTCGGTTTTCGATGGTGATTATACGCATTTTAAGTTCAATGCACAAGTTTTATCTTTGAGTACTGATGAATCTGATTATCATGCCAATCAAAGTGACCGTGAACTCTGCGAATGAGACTAGATGGCAGATCCTAAAAATGCATCAATTTTTTTTAAAAATGTATAGACGTCAACTGAATACTAAGAGCTTTAGCGATCGGTGTCTCAATGTTATCAAATCAACCGATTGCTCTGCACACTTAGGAGAAAGCTCATGAAATGGGACAGTATGGAACATTCACTAGAATATATCTGACTTTGTACAAAGAGAAGCGAATATGAACTACTTAGGGAAACACAGAAAGATGCGATTATGTCATAATGCAAGGGGTGAATGCTTTTCAGCGTAGTTCCCATTCAATCATATGTTGATGGTATATATCACTAGTCTGCACATTTCTTCCCCTTCTCTCACATCATACCTTCGGCTGGCACAGACAGACATTTCTCGACGGCATCTGTACTCCTAAAAATACAGGCACGGCGAGTAGCATTGCGGGTGTTCATGGGCTCTGAGAGCCACACGCATACTGGGTATTTCTCAGATATCTTGAGATCTAGAGATTCGCCTTGGCTCTTGACCTGCACCAATTATCATTCCGTGGAACACATGATATGCTTCAGCGGCCTAATGGACCCATAACACTTCCAACCATTACCGCTACTTCTCGTTCCCAGCTAGCATCTGCTTTTTTCTCGCCTTTCAAAGCAGTTATTCCAGCTGGTGCACGGCTTCCTTTCACGACACATTCCCGAATAGCATCCCTAACACTGTTACGATTGCTTCTTAATGTTCTAGCGCTAACACCACCTTTATTGATAATTTCTTGTACCTTTGTGGTCAGCCCACCAGCTAAAGTCCTCCAGAAATAACTTGGTAATGAACCAGTTTCTAAAGATGTGAGTAAAGGCTGGAGAAAATTGGCTGGAGCTATATCATCCGAGGGCAAGTATGGGTGCGCCGGTGGCTGTATAGATGCAAGTAGTGATTCCAGCGCCAAAACATTTTGGCATCGAGCAGATACCTCGAGAAGAGTTCGATCGAGTGTAGGAAGCGTAGCAAGAGCACGAGAAAGAGATGCCAATGAGCTAGTGAGAGCAGTCCGGAGATAATCCTGAAGCGATTGAACGAGGAGATCTGGTTCCCATTTTAGTTTCTTCGCGTTCTTGCTGTTAAGTCCTGATGTTGAGGATAGAAGGTATAAAGTTTTCAAAGCCGAATCTGTGCGCTCTTTGGTATCCCTGGTCTGCGCATATGTCGATGTGTTGTTGCTGCTAGATGATAAATTGCTCATCGAAAATTCGCGAATAAGTTGCTGTGATCTGGAAAGTACGACTCGTTCTGCAGGGTTGATAATCGATGTCTGAAGCGTCCGCACAACCTCTATTCTCTCTAAACCGTGACCTTCTTCCCCAGGGCCACTTTTCTGGAAAAATTCTCGTATATCCAGTAGTGTATTCGAACACCTCACCAAAGCTTTATGGTCCTCCTTTGCACCCGGAACCTTGACAGGCGCACCCGTATTTCCGATTTCAGACAGCTGAATCTCAAGTTGTCTCCCCAATTGCAAGCATCGTGTGACTACCCGCCCCAGTCTTACGGTTTCCCACAATCTACTGGCGACAGTTTGGACTTCCTCTGCAGTTTCATATCGTACTAAAACTTCCTTCTCAAGTCGTTTATATCCATCATTGAGACTTGCGACCTGCGAATCTATCTCTTGTACTATCCTCTGACTCGATTCAGTCTGATCTTGGGTATGTGATAGGAGGGGAAGGGCGCTTTTGGTTGTAAGGGTATCAATATGTGTATTTATTTCTTGCGCATCGAATAGCACACGGGAGAGAGGTGTGGAGAGATCGAGGGGTGTATCGGTAGGGTTGTTTGTCCCCAGAACAAGAGAGTTTGCGAATGCTGAAGGGGAAAATGTGGGCGAGAGGAAAGTTTCGTAATCGATATAGGAGTTTTCTTCATCTGCGGATGTCATCTTGACTGTTCAATTGGGTTCTTTCCCTTTGCACATCTGCTGGTGCATTGAACAATCTGATATCTCTGATACCTCTAGGACCCTGAACACCTATGATTTACAGTACATAGTGTGAGTAGCTGTCGTGGAGCTTTTGGTGCCGTTGTGGAGACTTTTGAATGCACGGATCACATGAAGAACTTATTCTGGTGAAGCTTGAGCTTCGATACTTCTTATCAACTTCCTCCCTTCACTCCCCTCTTCACCAGAGGAAATATAGTCGATGCAAATTTAATACCTTACTAACGAGCCGGCGAGGTCTTCACGATTTGTTCAAGGTTTGAATTAACGTTATAACTACAATACGAAGCTGCGATTACCGCTAGAAAGCTTATTGACGGAATGTTCGGCATTTCCAGAAGCATTGTCTGCTTGATAACTTTTCAACATTCCACACTGTTGTTATCTTATTAAATACAATACAATTCACACCCTCTGGATATTGTCTATTAATACCATGTGCTTCTAATGATTCTCCTGTTCCACCGTCCAGAGGAACCTCCCGGGCCCATGAATACTTATTCGAAGCAATCTGCCAAAGACTGAATGTTCCTTCGTGATGGCGTCCTTGGATAGTCGCGATCTTGTACCATTTCCACCTGGTGATAATGCCAGCGACACCTTCATCGAAGGAGTGCATTTCAATCTTACAACCTTGAGACATTGGAACTATACCTTTTACTCCAATGGCACTTTTTCCAATGGATCCCTCTGCTTCATTCTCTTCGACCCATATACCCCTCATTTACTCCAAAATGGCACATTTCTTAACAGCACATCATGTTATTCACCAATCGAACCCATGGGAGCGCGGTCCAAAATTGGTCTCGCAATGGGAATCTTGTTCCTGATCAGTATTATGTTCACATTGATTAACCTACGAAAACACGGCCGAACAAGTTTATCTCCTCGAAAACGATTCCGCGCAGTAAGTAGAAGATGGCAATGGTATTGGATGCTTATAATTGGAACTTGTGGAGGTATTAGCGGCATAAGTACTGTCGACGTTGACAGATACTTTTTACCAGAATTACCGTTCGCTTTAACGAACTTCTTCTGGTTCTTGATGATACCTGCAACGATGGCAGCCGTGTGGGAGAGTGTAAGACATTGGGGTAGCTGGCAAGAGAGACAAATGCTTGATATCCCTGAAAACCGACGCGCATTGAGGGAGGATGATAGGCGGACGAAGATCGAACTAGTGATTCCTCTGGTCTTCTATTTTTTCTTCTGGTTGAACTTCTTGTTGGTCATACCGAGATCATGGGGTTCGTTCGAAAAGCAACGAGATTTGGATCAGAGCAATGATATTGCTGCACCGGCCGCAACAGATGTCCGGTTCAAGCTCGCAGCCTTTCTTCTTTTTGGAGGATGGCTAACGACAATATACTCCTTACAACACTCGATATATCACTATATATCCCACGAACAGGGGTTTGGGAACCGCTTCATTGCAGTCTTTAAACACACTCCAGCCAAATTTGTCTTTACTCTTTTGCTTTCTCTAATCATGATCGGATATATCGCTGCAATTTCATTTTGTTTTCCAATATCTCCTCTCAACATTCAAACGAAATTGGAAGTTATGTATCCCTTAGGTTGGGGACCAATAGCTCTCATACTGCTCGTCTACGAGATCGGTGGCTACGTGAATCCGAACGAGGATCGTGATTTACTTCGACAGCGACGGATTCGCGATGTAGCAGCGGATGAAGAGATTGGATACACGAAGAAGCCGAGATGGTGGAGTAGGCTACATGGTGATAACAAAATTGCCACTATGCAAGAGAGGATAACTGCCAACGTCGCTGAAGTCGGAGGTGGAGCCCCAAGAACAAGGGATTCAGGAAGAGAGGTGGAGATGGAAGATCTTTCGTCACCTACTAGGTATGAAAGAGATATCGAAACTCCTACGAGAAGTAATGAGGTATTGAGAACGACCGGTGGTATATTATATCCTCCGCATCTGGATACCGAAGGAAGATTTAGAGATAATCCAGGGAGGACAAGAAGTTCTGAAGCTAGCTCGGTGACACAAGTTGATTCCGAACAAGGTGCAAGCACTAATAGTACTGTTTCTGTATCGGCTCCCCCACAGCAGATTAGAAGTATGCTGGATGTCTAGCTATGATTTGACAAATATGATCAGAGTTTGTGAAGCTTTTGGGTGAACCCGTGTGTGGAAAGTACCTGAGAGGTTTGAAGTAACACCCTCAGTTATAATTAGGAGAATTCGACAACGAATTACTAGGTACATATATAAGGTCTTTCTACGCGCCTTGAACGATTCTATAATCTTTAATGAACGTCACATTGATTGAGCAACCGATATTACGTCATATTTGCTCACCCATTCTCATCATTGAGTGACTTAATAGCATGATACTTGCTTCTCCTCACAACATTCCTAAAACTATTCTCCAAGCTATTGGTTGCATTATTTGATATCAGCTACCACGCGGTAGTTGTTAGCTATTTCGAGTCATCGAATCGCTCACTTAGATCCACAGTCGGAACAATGCTTCGTGGAAGGATCTCTCATGTCTGCTGTACCCGTGGTTAGATGATACGAAAAGCATTCCATGTATCTCACCAATTCACACATACCACACGAAGAGAAAGCAAAAGTTTGCATAAGAAAAGAATTTTGCATTGAGCTCCAATAAACATTTAAACCATACTTCTCCCTATCAAATATCTCTCACATATATTCTTCCCTCAAACGGCCTCAAATTCAATTCACCCTCCTTCTCTCCACTCTGCACACCTTCCTCATAACTTCCGAACAACAGCTTTCCCATCTCAACTGGAACCTTCCATTTAACATCCCACTCCTTGAAATTGCACGCAACCAAATACTCCTTCTCCTCTCCCTTCCTCAGATATGCATAAACCTCCTGATTCTCCTGATCCACCATTTCAAATCCACCTTTACATAACACGGGATTGTCTTTCCTAAGTTTAATCATCTGTTTCCAGAACTCCAACGTACTCCCCTTAACTCCCTCTTGCGCCGCGACGTTGATTTCCTTGTATTCCTCATTCGTCTTGATCCATGGTTTACCCTCCGTAAATCCGCCATTTGGAGAGTCATCCCATTGCATACCCATTCTCGAGTTATCTCTTCCGTAGTCTTGGATACCGCGCGAAACATCTGTCATGTCTACTTCTTTCCCATTCGATTCTTTCTCCCGACGCGCCTTCTCTGCCGCGAAGAAATTAATCTCTTCGACATCCCTAAACTCTTCATTTGTCCACCACTTGCTGTTTGCCGTTCCGATTTCTTGTCCTTGATAGACAAACAAGGTTCCTCTACCGGTTGCATGGAATAGCGCTAACATTTTCGCAGCTTGCACTCTCCATTCCGGAGTATCTTTTGCCCAGCGCCCAAGAATACGCGGCTGATCGTGATTTTCTAGGTAGAGAGAGTCCCAGCCGTCATTCGCGGCATTGAAGGACATCCACTCCCCGAGATTTTTCTTGATATCGGTAAGATCCCATGAAGGGCGAGGAAAGAAGGGTTTCTTTCCGGGTTGGATATCAAAGTACATGTGTTCGAATTGGAAGATCATTTGGAGAGGTTTTCCTCCTTGTACGAGGCCCAATGCACTCTCAGGTCTCTTGAGTCCTGGGGTCTCTCCCACGGTAAATGCTTCGGGATAATGACAGAGGACTTCGCGATGCATTTCTTCCAAATATTCCTTGACATGAGGTCCATTGAAATTGCCCCTCACGCCAATCTGGAATTCAAGTCTCGGATCGGTGACTTCAAAATCGGGAAATCCAGGTTCCTTTGAAATACAGTTGATAACATCCATGCGAAATCCATCACATCCTTTATCGAGCCAAAAACGCATAATATCCCAGACCTCGTTGCGAACAGCTGGATTTGTCCAGTTAAGATCAGGTTGGCTGACATCATAGACGTGGAGATAGTATTCGTCTGTTTGATGAGAAGGATCTTTCTCCCATGATGAACCACCAAACATGGCACCCCAGTTATTGGGCTCTTTGCCATTCTTGGGTGGTTGCCAGTAGTAGAAGTCTCTTTTGGGACCGTTAGGACCGCCCGAGACGGATTCTTTGAACCAGGGATGTTCGGAACTGGTGTGATTTACCACGAGATCCATCACGAGTTTTAGCCCTAGTTCGTGGGCTCTGGCGCAGAGACCTATGTGTTGTTAGTATTTCTGAGATTCTTGAGAAAGGAGTGAAGAGGGGGTGACCTACGTTCCCAGTCTTCCATGGTACCAAACATAGGGTTGATAGCTCGATAATCTGAAATGTCATAGCCCATGTCATTCATGGGGGATGCATAGATAGGTGAAATCCATACTACATCTACACCGAGAGATCTGATATATGGTAATTTCGAGGTGATACCATTGAGATCACCATCTCCAGATCCGGTAGTATCGAGATAGGATGCGGGATAAATTTGATATACAACAGCTTCTTTCCACCATTGATGGGTCGAACCAATGGTTCTTCTGGCTATTGATCCCATGTTGAGTTTGTGTGTGGGGGGTGGAGTGATACGATAGACAGATAGGTATTGCAACTGTTTGGGTATATACTATTCGGTATCTTCAAACCGAGTTTCAAAAGTGTCCTCTGAACGACGTAATATACTGGGTATCGAAAAGAAATCCAAGAAATTGGTATAATTGGCAAAAAGGCAGGTAAATAGATTCCCAGAATCCTTCTATAAAAATTGATTGAGAAAGAGACAGTCTTATATGAATGAGATGTATGCAAGAGCAACAGAGTTTATGTGTTGTTCAAAGATACACAAGTAACCTGACAAGTAACACCGCATAAACGTGAAATGATCGCTAATATTTATACATTTTATGTGTAAAGATTTCATTGTACATGATTCCCAGCAATTCATGCCCGAATCATGAATATCTTGTCGCAACTGAATCTCACCGCATAAAAAGAGGGTAAAAACAAGGGGTCCAGGGTCCAATACCCCGCCAAAAGAAAGCAAGGGGCCCGTTAAAAAGCACGTCAAGCACGTTTATTTGCATGTGGAGAAAGAATCAGATGATCCTCCCACATGCCACCGAATAAGAACAGGAATAGAATGAACTGGTAGCTGTTTTCGATTCATTTTTGTTTCTTCTCATCTCTTTCATTCCATTTTGATTCATGCACAAGCAAAGTCTTCCTGTTCGAAGCCTTGGAAGCATGTACCGTGCGGAGAAATGGGCTTCATCGAGATTGTTTCGGAATTGACAGGATGTTATTGTGTTCCAAGAAGATAAAGAAGGGGTTTCCGCGTGATGGGAAGTTGAAAGAGTTTTTAATTGAGGTCGATCACGATGGATCATAAGGTTTCGCACGGTGAGTAGTTGGGAGTCGGGAGTTTGATAAAGAGGGGTTTGAGTCAGGAGGAAGTGGGATGATGGTGCTGGTGGTGGGATGGTGATCGTTTCGGGGATAAGCGGGGCTGACTAATATCCGCTGCTAGAAAAACTATGATTGGTTGACAGTAAAAAATTATCACGTGTTCGAAGTAGAAACATAATTGGTGTTTGGGGTCGTGGAGGACGTGACATTTTGACGAGGCTAAAATGTGGTTGATGCGAGAGCCATATCAGTTTCAGAAAGTGCTTCATCCTATTCACGCCCAGCTGTGCCAAACATGTTCATGCATAATTCATAAGCCTCCAGTTCAAATCATGGCATTACTATTATATCTCATGCATTTTAAATGCTAACCTTAATCATACTCAGCCCCTATTAAATCAATCGTCGGTATAGTCGTTGGTGCGGAAAGCGTAGAAGCTGCTGTAGAAGCCACTTTAGAGACTACCCCAGATGCTTCTTTCTTTATAGTATCCGAAGTGATAAGCCCCACATGCCTCAATTTTTCAAGCACATCCGAAAACTGCCATCCCGGATCGCTTCCCCTCAAAAATCTTTCCGTTTGTATCCATTTCTCAACCGTCTCTAATAGTTCCTCGCTTACTTGTCTCCTCTTTGCAGCGTAAGGCAATGCCATTCTCACAAGTTTCTTTGGCCATGTCGTCCAGATGAAAAATGGACTTTCTTCCACCCACTCGGATGGTTCTTTCAGAATCTCTCGCTTTTCCAGTTTGTCGCTCTCGATAAATTCTTCGTAGTCTAATGCCATGTTGTAAAGTATGTACGCAAGTCCAACAGTAAGTATGGCATTAGCGAGGAAGAAGAACCATGTGAAAAAGGTTTTTGTTTTGGCGTTGTTTGTGTTTCTGTTTTGACTGTAGGGCGAATTAACAATGACGTTGGAAAATGATAGTGGCAAAGCTCGAATTTGAGCATTGGATCCAAGCCTGTTGTCCGTATTGTGAGCTGTTCGGAGAAGCTTATTGTCGATTACCTCTCCATCATCATCCTCCTCTGAATAATCTCTAGGATCATCGGCAGGTCTTGGTATCGGAATCGGTTCTTGCATAATCTGCACAATGACATCTGATAGCGATTGGCCCGGGGGAATTTCAAATTTCTTCCTGGCGGGAATGACATATTCATCCCAATCGTCTTTCAGATGCTTCAGCGCACCCAGCCACTGCTCCTTCATTTGAATTCCATAGTGCATCGGCATGAGATCCCGAGTGATTTGACTACGTGCAGGGGAAACGAGCTTATAATCCCAGTCTTCAATCTCCATAGCATCGATAAGGTTGAGTCTAGGCTTACAATTATCATCTAGGATGATGATTCCTGGTTCCACCATAGTCTGTTCTATATCTTTCAACACTCGTTCTCGAATCTCTCTTAACTTTTCCCATGGTATGGGCGGAGGAGCAGGAGCAACTATCAAATCTCTTTCTGCTATTCCCTCAGCTGATGGGGGATCATTGAAATAAAAGCTGGATCGAAAGAAAGTGACATTTGTGTCGGGAAGTATTTGATCCTTAATTTCGCCAAGGGCGCCCACTCCAATATTGGGGAAAGCGACAATGACCTTGGCTTGCTGTATGAATTCACCTCTTGCCATTTTCCTCTTGCCCTTGCACCCAATCAAATCAAATTTTGGTGATTTGCGACGGACGGGCCTTCGATGAAGACCGATATGTTGAAGTTGGTGAGATGCCAAAAACTACGTCCATACATTTTCATTGAGATAAGGAGATATCTTACGGTTTTGGATTAAGGAGTCTTTGTTGACATTGGCCAAGCAACAAAGAGCATAGCTCCTGTTAAGGAAAAATATTGGTGATTCGCCCTCAGTCTTTGTTGTATGGAACTCGGAATATATATGTGAATGTAAATAATTTAGCGAGTCCGCAAACGGGACTAGTACTATTGTAGAGTAGGTTCAGCGACCTCGGGAATATTTCTTTTGCTAATAAACAGAATTTTAATTTAGTCGGAATTGACGATTTCAGTTGACCCTGTATGCATTGTGAAATTCCATGGATAGCACAGAATGCTCTTGTATTTTACTTGTGATCAACGAGTGATATATAAATCGGAAACAAGGTAATAGGAAGCCCACCAGGCCCAAGTTGATAAATCATTGCTTGATGCTACAATTATCTACTTCCCTTGAACAACCCTCAACGCCAGCTGTTTCCCGATTTACGTATTCCACTTCCACTTCGATTTCCAATGGCCTGTGTTGTAATCAAACAAGAATAGATCTCGCATCGTGTGTCTATTTCGTGCCTTCATCACTCTGTGTTGATGCCTCATCCACGGGCAACTCAACGTCCTCAGTTCCATGAAGCTCAATAGTCTCAACAGACATCTGCTTCTCATGTAGTCCCGCATTTCCACTATCCGAGTACGTAACCTCCTCGGGGGCTTGATCAGCAAGACCCTTTTCCATCCCATCCTCGTCATTTATAGCTGTCTCTTTTGCTGCCTGGTCCTCAGATTCGACCGCCAATTTGTCGACCCAAGTCTGAACAATATTTGCATCCCATGGAATCCCAACGACTTCGCCCATTATTACAACTGCAATCAAGCACATTTGAATATATTCATGCCAGCAATTTCTCAAGCTGCAGACTTTGTCAAAAAACCCCAACACCTGCATCGTATCCACAATCACTCGTCCAAGATGTGATGTACAAATCAGAATAGATGAAGTGATCCATTCTGTTTGCTTTGGAAATGCCTTGTGTCGACATAGCTTGATAGAGACACCAAGCGTTAGAGGAGCCCAGAATGGGTAGATTGGTGATAGTATCACAGTCATCCAGGAAAAAAGTGAACCCAAACCATGAGAAACGTATGGAATATGAATGATATCCGTCGCGATGAAGACAACGATTAAAATGAAAGCGAAAAGAAATGCAATCGCCGAAGCGGAAATTACCATGGCACGTTTGTGGATGGATGATTCAGACATATTCAGTCTGTGGAGGATAGCCAAAAATGTTGTTATGTTGAGAAGAGTTGAGAAAAAGAGAAGATAATTCTGGGTGTCGTCGTGGTTGAGTATCTATCACGGGAGTAACGGCACGATTACGTCAAATGCAACCTTGGCGATTCTTAGCTTATAATAGCGTGTGATTCAGTGGACCTAGTGTTATGCTGTGAGATTCAAGGCCATTAAGCTTCAATTTAAATGGATCTCTCCTCCTCTCGTATCAAAATTCGAACAATTGAGCGGGTAGATCCCTTAGTCCTGATCATGACTTGCGGGTGATATGATAATCCCATATATTTCTGTAGGCTTGACGCTGGCTCCACCACTACCTTTTCGCTCCCTCCAAGGAAAACATTTTACAGCTCCTGCATACAACAGAGTTTCTTGATTCAACTTGTATGTTACTCCGGTTCCATTGATGCACACCTTCATCGTCATCGTCAACGGTAACCGCAAACTTTCGAAGCATTTTAATCTCCTGGTCATCGCGCAGTTGAGAGTTCAAGCAATCAAATCTCTCGAAGCTTTTCGTACTTAATTGTCTCCACCTCAATTAGCGACCTTTCGAATGATGTCATTGGCACTCAACAGCAATTCCTCCCTTATTAGACTCCTTCTCTCGTTGTTCCTCAACCTTTCTTTGCTCGTTTCCGTCGTCGGATGTAGCCCACCAATCATCTAGCATCCCATCAATCGATCCTTCATCAATGTCCCATTCTGTGCCCCATATCAGAAGAGCCAAAATAATTGGTCCAGTCTCCGTCCAAACCGTCCATTGCCCGACAAAGTCCCCGTTCATGCTCCATAATGTCAGTAATACCCGCGGTAGTGATCGGCTCAGAAGTTGTATGATATTTGCTATATTTACGACATTGCTAGCCGCACTTGTTTTTCATATTTGGTGAGATAAGAACCGTAGGTTGATGTAGAAGTTGATGGGTACTAGAAAGGGTGTGAATGGCCCGATGAGAGTGTGAAGAGTTTCATAGATTTGACTGAGTTGAGTAGCCATATAGTCTGGTGGATTGAATTTTGGACTTAACTCTCATTGTGACAGCAAGACAGCAACTGCATCTATATCTGAGATTGTTCAGAAAGCTACTAGGTATGTGTACCGGTTTTCTGATATTTCCAAGTTGAGAATGCAGCTGGAGGTGCTCATAAATGGGGGGTGGCTTGAATGCTGCGCCACAGAGGATTCCCTAGGTACCTTGAGAAGCATGCCCAGGTGATACGTGAAAATGATATCAAATGACTTGATTCATGGATACTCAAGATAATTGGGATAATCTCTCTCGTATACCGGTAATGGATCAGAGTATCAACCAAAAGCCTGCAAGCTGGGGACATAGATATAGATTCTACGTATTAGCTAGCGACATCAGAGCTAAAGTGGCAATGTTGAATGCAGATTGATTCCACAAACCAAAGTACCAGCAAGCCTAATATATGCAGGAAGAATAGTATCGGAACAACGGATATCCTACCCCTGTGAGACGCCAACCAGGTGCAATGGTAGGTTTTTTTTCTTTGACGTTTTTAGGGATATGAATGAATGAATGATTAGTTGTTCGGGTATGGAGATTGTGGTATACTCGTTCGCGAGGAAGCGGGAGGAGAGGAGAGAAGATGGATAATTTTGATTTATTGATTTATTGAGGTTTAGGTTTAGAGTGAGAGGAGGGCGAAGAGAAGATTTTGGGATGGTTCTGTCTGGGGCATGTGGTATGGTATGTTGGAAAATTGATGGATGGATGGATGGATAAAAAATCTGGAGTTGAATGTATATTTTTGAGGTTTTGGTAGGTTATTGTGATGGGGAGGGATGGAGATTGTTGATTCGGGTTGTGATGTGATGGTGATGTGGTGGTGATGTTGATTTATTTATTGCTATGAGTTTAAGTTTGGGGATTTGGGGATTTATTTTGTCGGAAGATTGAAATGGTATATATATATATATGTGTGTTCAGAAGTCATCTCCGCTGGGAATAATTATAATTTTTTCCTCTTGTGATGTCACGCATGTTCTAATGATTTATATTACTATTCAGTCGATCAGATCCATTTAAAGGTTTCCTTGTCTCTTTAGAGACTTAGATTACAATCTACTATTAATGTTCATATGAAGACTTATATTATATCTCGAATAGATATTTTAGCTTGTTTTTTATTATTTCGAATATAATTCTCAAAGAAGGATTTGTTTTAGATAGGTATCATTTAGTAATAATTAAAGTAATAAGATAATCGAGTTCTCGGATACTCAAGAGTTTCAGAAATTCCTAGAATTTAAGTTTATAATATAAGCTATTAACTATCTTATATATAATTAGATCTTCATAAAGCTTTACTATAAGAGTCGCTCTACTTGTCGAAAAAAGCGACGATTAGACTAAGAGTAGATCGGATCTTTAATTAAGTCACGTAAGGCTATATCAACTTCAGAATTTTCGGCTATTGGTCACGGTACTCGTATCAGAGATGTTATTTACATAAGCTAATCATCACTTAATGATTCATATTCGTTTTTTTTTTAAAAAAAAATCTATTCTATTATATCTAAGAAATTTCAATCTACGGAATTATATAACAGTACATTACATACCTGTCATATCTCCCCTCCAAATCCCCAGCAGTCGTCACCCCTCAAAATCCCTCCACTCTCAAAATCTTCAACAAAAGACAAAGGAAACAATGCATCAGCACCGCCATCACGACCACCAAAGCCATCTTCAACAACCTCACAAACTCCTCCCACGATTCCAAAGCCCCCTGAACCACTCCCTCCCTTACCCCTTCATCACGCCTCCTATCAAACTCGGCCCAAAACATCTGCATCTGCGTCTGCAGTTGCTGGTTCTTCATCTCCAGAAGCTCGATGCGCTCGGCTTGATGAGTGAGTTGGCGTGCGTGCGATGAGATGGGGTTGTGAAATTCCCGCGCTTGGGTGCGCAGGAGGAGGAGCTCGGTAAGCTCGGCGCTGGTGGCTTGGGCTTGGGTTATGGGGGGGGAGGTGGGGGAGGGGGTACGGGTGTAGGGGGGTGGGGTTGGGGGGTTGGAGTCCATGGTTTGAGGTTGGGGATGGGGGAATTGCTTGTTGAACTATGTTTACGGAGTGGTTTAATACTGGATTTTGTTTAGTTCAATGCTGGGGGATGGGTATGGTGAGTGAGTATATTTCTCTATGATGCGGTGAGGAAAATGAGGATTCAAAGAATTTATAGTCGTGAATTTTTATTGTTTGGACATTGTTACTGATTTGTTCACTCGAGGTATTTTTTGAGAGTTCGAAGTACGATATCGTACTGTCTAGCTCCTAAAATCGATTGTAAAATATGATTGATCGCCTCAAAAAAATGTCTCGTTCACAGCATCTTTCCTTCGTTATCTCGCTTATGTTTATATCCCCTCTTATTGCACAGCAACCGCTTCAATGTAACGTATGAAAGTTGATGTATCTCCAGATGTGAATGTCGAATCGATAATGTTTAGTGCTTCGAGTCGTTTGTAGTATCAAGTTGATAAGGGTTGAATAATAGGATTTTACGGGAAATTTCTTGTTAGTTTCTTGTTCTATGTGATATGATGTTTTCCACTCATATTAGGGACTTCCTGTTTGCTGAGATCACCTGTGTTAATTAGCTCCAAATGATTTCCAAAATAAGAACGTGATATAGATTGTACAGCAGTATTCCAGAAAACAATACACCTTACCTATAAGCAGGATCTTTGCAAGTTTTCACAATGGGATTTTGCGTGAGAGCTCGGAAACCTAGTTTTTGTGGATTTGATGATGTGAATATCCATATTAAGCAGCTTCAACTTGTGTCTTTGAGCTTATTTGTATCATTTTCCTGATTGCGGGGCTGATCACTGATTGAATGATTGCAGAAGGGTAAGCTAGGGATATAGAGGTTGAGATAATCCTCGTGTTATTCCATGCAAGTTGTTTGTTGTTTGTGTAGATGTTAGGAAACCTCAGTATTGAATAACAGTATGTTTCCAGGAGCCGAGTTGTAACACATGAGAACATCTAGGGAATTTCGATCATAGACTCTATTAAATGAGCTGAGTACATCTCTGGCTCATGTTGGCTGATCGTCCAAAATTCTCAAAGTTTTCAATTAATTCCACATTACCATCCTCTTCAAGGTAACACCTATTCATGTCAAAGCAAGTTTATTAGTCATTTAGCATTAACACTCGGCACAAAGAGTAATGTGGTTATCTATCTTGAATGTATTGATATTAATAAAATTGAGGGAAATTCTCCAAACATTTGAAACATCCCCAGAGTATCTCAATCAAAGCGCGTAGTTGATCGGGACGAAAAACAAAAAGCACAAGAAAAGCTTCTAATACATTCTTAACGAAGTTTCCGGCTGCCGAAAAGAAAGAGTGGCTGAGAATGGAAAATATAAGAGCCCCGATGAGTACAGAAACTGGAATAATGTATCTCTGGAACATTCCATTGTCTTTTCTTGATTGCTTGTGTTGTTCGTCTATTTCATGTGTTGTTTCTGGGGATTCATCTTGTGATTGTGGAGGTGTATCATATTTCGGGATAGGCTCCTGTGGATTGCTTAAATTTTCTTCCAAAGGTTCGTTCTGGGATTTAGGGAATTTCTTTTTGGGTTGCATTGACCTCTCCCATTCAGTGAGAAAGTTCCAGTCGGTGAATTCTGGAGTTGGTCTTCTTCGTGCTCGGCTATCTGTTCCAGCAGATTGTGCAAGATATTGGAAGTATTGAGCTTCAGCGTTCATGATCGCGGTTTTGTTCAGCGATTGTTCTTTCTCTTTTTAGGAATCCCCGAAAAGTATTGAGAAGTATTTATATTTCCAGAAACTTCTTACTCATATTGAGCTATACAATAAACAATAAAGGCCTTTGTGAAGTTGCTTAAAATAAATCCAATGTTCTTGTTTTGAATGATGTTGAGAGTGTAAGAGAATGTCTCTGTCTGGCGACATCACAAAGAAGCTGACTATTTTGAGCTTAGGAGATGTAAATTATTTATTTGTGGATGAAGAACGAGTACCTGTTGTTGAGATTATCCTATCGATAAAGAGAAATCCCTAATTCGAGATAAAGAACAAAGGGATTTTATTTGATGTAAAATAAATTATAAGACTCGAATTTACAATCCAAACCCAAACAACAAACTCAGTTGTAAGAGTTATCGAACATACTCACTATATAGCATAATGTTTTGTAATATAATCCCTACAAAATTCATATTTTTTTATATAAATCAAATTCTTATATAATTTATACAATTATAAATATTAATCTATAAAAATTTTGTAATAAATAATTTGAATCGTTATTTATATATAAAAATTTCGATTTTATTTTTAAATATTTTTATTGAAAAATTATATAAGCTTTTAATTAAAAAAATTCAGAATTTTTAACTTATAACACTTTTCCTATATAAAATAAATAAATTTTTCAAAATTTTTCGAATTTTCAACTTTAATCTTTCAAAAATACTATTATAAAAATATCTAAAAATAAATAATAGATTTTTTTAAATAATTTAAATAATTTTCAATCTTTCTATTATACTATATCCAATTTTGTCTCATATAATTATAAATAAACCAGAATATAAAAAGCTAAATAATCGTATATTTTAATCAGAAAAGTATTATATATATAATGAGTAGATTCCAGAACTCTTATAATTCAAATTTGATTAATGAAAGACTTTATAACTTCCTCCCGTTATATCAACCCCTTTTGGTTATCGCTTCTATAATGTTGAAGACTGGAGACGGCGCGAAACTGCTTCTATCTTTCTTGCGACCCATATTTCCTATTGAGATGGAATAGTCATGATTAATAAAATCTAGTCGGTCAATTACGATACAAAGAATGTTTCAAAGTGATACTGTTAGATATCGTATGCGTGGAATTAATTGGACCAACTTAGTACAGAGCGGAGACAGCTGGATCGAGAACTACCCCTTCAACTGTTCAACGAATTCGATCTCATCTGCAGTTTCATATAAGAACTGAGAAAGGGTAAAGAATATCATTGATTCTAGAGATATGAGATGATGGAATCGAGAACAATAAACGAACAATTCCCTCGAAATTCATTATTAAACCCCAATACCCTTTGTTCGAACTTCAAATAATCCTTCACTAGCTATTAGAAATATCATATCAGCTTAGATACTCACAGGAACACTCACGCTAACCAAAAACTCCATCCACAAAGATGTGTCTCTCAATCTGCCACGCCCATACTTGTCCACATTTGTCGTACATTAATCATCTTTGCGAACCTAATGCCTACCCTCCAACTTGTCCGTTCCGCAAAGAGGAAATAAAACACTTGGAAAGGAAATGTGTTCGCTGTTTGAAGGAAGACGGAATCTATATCAAAAAAGAATCGCTTCAGAAAGCAAAGACAAGAAGACTGAGTGAAGCGGCCGCAATTAGAGAAGGTACAATTCTTACTCTTAAGAGATTAGAACAAGCTGAAGAGTTTGTGAAAGAAGAAAAGAGGCAAAATATGATAAGAAGAAGACACACGGAGAAGGTTGATAAGACGCGCAAGTGTGTGATTATGTGAGGGTGATGAGTTTGAAAATAACGTGATCAGGAGGGGTGGAAACTAATACACCTATGAACCCACTCATCAGAAAGAAGTAACGAAACCGCCCCACTAGTCATGACTTCAATACAACTATTTCCACGAAAGAAGAAACCACTTTGACCAGAATGTGCTGTGAGACTCAATCATATGAAGAACTGACAGAAGATTGCATTGTAACTGGATCGAGAGGTCCTCGTGATTAAGCGAACTGCCCCTGGACTATTCCTGATGATGTATCAAACAGCTCAGCAAGATCACCTTCCAACCCAAGCACATATACGGAATATCACTGGAGCTTGCATATCAATTGAGAGGTAAAAGAATAAGAAGTTGCCGTGGTTTATCCGGTGTTTAACCGATTCACGATGACGTCGTTTTAATATGCTCCTAGGATTATATCTAACATCGTGTCATACAATACCTACCCAGGTTAGTACCTACCGTATTCTTTTGGAATATAGACAATGCGCTAGTAAGGATTAATACTTTAAGGTTAATTTAAAACCAATTAGCTTGAGGCTCTTTTCTAATTTTAATCGCACGTAATATCAACTCTTTATTTAAACCATTTTCCTAGTCCTGTTTGGTATATTCAATTTATATTAATAAATCAACTATATTTTATTAATTAATTATAAAAATTATTATTCAGTATATCCTTATTATCTAATAAATATATATTAAATAAAATCGATACAAATATTATTATACCATTTTCAAATTCAATAAAACCTACGAAAAGAGGCAAATACAATAAAACCTTCGAACAAAAAGTGTCAATATGGGTTCTACTATTTTTTATATTGTATTTTATATATTATAAATCTATAAGAACTAAATAAAAGATTATTATATTTTACTATTATCATCAGATTTCTGTATTCGATTTAGAAATACTTCAAATTAATCGATATCGTTATTCTATATATAAAGAGATAGGGATATATTTTAATATTCCTTTAAGGACTATATACAATTGGATTCGAAATAAAGATACTATAATGGGTTTTAAAAGAAATACTAAAGATATATAGTATCATTATAAACCTTATTGGCCTGAGTTTGAAGATCAACTATATATATGCTTTTTAGAAGCTAAAGCTTTAGACAAGCTTATTCGATAGGTATGATTTAAATATTATTCTAAAAGATTCTGAAAAAAAGCTAATTCTGAATGCAAAAACTTATTTACCTTTTCTAAAAAATGGTTTAAAGGCTTTTTAAAAAAAAAGAGATATCTCTTTAATATATCATTTATATGGTATTATTTTCCTAATTTGATTAATATAATTCCAAAACATTATATAATATACTAATTTATATACTTTCTAATAGGCATCAAAATTATTTATAGAATATACTCGATATGTACTCAATTTTCTATGCTTTATTTGAAGAAAATCCCAAAATATCGATTCTCCTCTTCCTTCTTCTCCTATTTCTATAGTATTTACTCAAAAAGAGCTACAAGAACTAATGAAAGTCGAGGATATTCAATATCTCTATCCTTTATGTATCGATCTTTATTTGATCTATCAATTAGTATATAATAAAGCAAGAAAGAATCAATTCAAAGAGAGTATGATCATAAATTTCGACAAAACGCTTATTCCTTTTGAATATATTGCGGGTAGAACCTATAATACTAAAAAGGCAAAAAAGGTATTAGGCAAATCAGATTGTAGTGGGTGAAATAAACGTTAAGTTACCCTAATATTATATATATTTACCAATAAAATGAATAGAATTCCTTTTAAGCTTATATTCTATGGGATATCTATGGAAAAGGGGGGTAGAATCGAAGAGCTTGAAAAAAAAAAGTATACACCAGGAATTATTATACATTTCAATAAATCTATATATAATAATAAAGAATTATTACTATTTTTTATCGAAAATAAACTAATACCCTTTACTAGCACTAAACCGGAAAACCTACTTCTTTTAGCTTTCAATTATACTACTTTTTATAAAACACTTATTATTCTAGCTTTTTAAAAAAGCATAGTATTTATATTATTATGATACCATTAGGTTGTATAGGTATATTGCAATTTCTTGATATACATATAAATAAACCCTTTAAAGAGCTTTTGCAAGAAGTAATTGAGGTATATGTGGAACGTATAGTGCAAGAGTGGGGGGATAAAACTAATTAGAATGTTTCTAAAAAGCATATTATGGTTATATGGGTAGTAAAAACAATATAGAATTGTTTATATATCGAAAAGGCTAAAATCGAGGTGGTGAAATATTCTTTTCGGGATATAAGCCTGAATTTAGTATGTGATGGTATAGAGGATTATTTATTGAAGATCAAAGGGTATTCTATTACTAATTTAAAGGTAGGGGATTGGAATATACGAAATCAAGATATTGATATATATTAGTATGCATTAATGCCCGACGATAATATATCAATATATCAAAGCGATGGCGAGGTAGTAGTTACCTCTGATTGTAGCAGGTGCACTATATCTGAGCTTAAAAGTATATTAAATCAATTGGGAATCAAGAATTTAAATAATAAAAGAAAACCAGAACTTTTAGTTTTATTATTAAAAAAAAATGTAGTACAAATACTAGAAATAGAGCTTTTAAAAGATTAAGAGTTATAGATAAAAATTTAAACCTGAAATATATAATTTAACCCCTTAATTCAATACTCTTTATTAGGATTAGGGTTGAAATTAGGCCTCTTTTTGATATAATCATTTAAATCGTATTCTATTTCCTATTCCTTCTCTAATCCTTTAATGCTATACTTCTTGTATGCCTCGACTTCATTTGCAGTACAATGTATTATCCACTCAGGGTTCTTTATATATTGATTGGCTTGTCGATAAGATCGTCGTAGAAGTAGTAGGCTAATATTGCGATTGCACTCCTGAATACAGTATACACGGGTAAAGTGCTCTAATAATAGTGATAGACGATTAGGTAGATGTGTAAAAGGGTATCTAGTATTCCAGGATCTATGTTCTTTTATCCATTTAACAAATCATCCAAAACTATTTTTACCTTCCCATTTATAACCTAAATCGATATCATATATATAAATATCGGTTCTACGCTTTAACCAGTATCTAATATACAAAAGAAAGCGTATACAAACCCAACCATAATGATATTGATTATTCTTAAAATGTAAAACTACTTCAAACCTGATATTCGATAATTCGGGAATTTGTATTAATAGTTTATAAACCTCAGTTTCCGAAAAGAGCTTATTTGCTATAGCAAAATCCATATCAACATCTATTATATATATTAAATCGAATAATTATATATTTCAGATTTTAATACTTACAAATCAGATTACACCAACCATTAAAAAGAGATTCCTCTGGATAATTTATATTAATAAATTTGTAAAGCTTTTATTAATAAAATTCGATTTTATTAATATTAACAATACAATTAAAAAAAAGAGAAAGCAAAAATAAAATTGAAAATATTGATTAGTAATCACTCAACAACCCTAACCCACAAGCCCACAAAAGCCCTCTAATTGGCCCTAAAAATACTAATCCTTACTAGCGCATTGCCTATATTCCAAAAGAATACGGTAGGTGTATAATTTCATTACGAAACACCAAGAAACTACGATTCTGGTACGATTTTCGAAATCCGGCTTACATCGTGTATGTACCGGCATATGCGGCCCGCAAAAGTGGGGGTAGCTAAACGCATGATCTGTTCCTTCCTTGTCCTACATCATGACTACTATAAATGGATGGAGAGGGAGAGAATCTCTATTGTCTGAAGTAACAGAAGTTTAATTCTCCCGACCTGTGGTGCTATTCAAGATCAAGATTATTACACACTCACGAAATACAACCCATACAAAACAATATGTCTCCCACCAAAGAACCCTTCTCCATAACTGCGTCTCCATCAACCGACATCTGGCGCAAGCCTCCTACCACAGATGCCTTTAATGCAGCCACCAACATGGCTTCGGCAATACCTCTCACCTCATTCTTTTCTTCCAAGATCACATTTTCCCTCCCTTGCAAATATCGCTACGACCAAGGTGGCCTTCTTCTCCATCTCACCAAAGCCGGTTCCAAAGATCGCTGGCTGAAGACTGGAGTTGAATTTTATAATGACAAACCATTTGTGAGCACTGTTGGATGTGACAATTTTGCGGATTGGAGCATCTATCCGACAGGTCTTGATCCGAGTGAAGACGTGGAGGTTACGGTCGAAGCGAGGAGAGAGGAGGATGAGAATGGAAAAAGTCTTTGGGTTTATTGGATCAAGGGCGAAGAGAGAATACCACTTAGAGAGGTGGCCTGGTTTTTTGCTGATGAAGATTGGCACATTGCAGTCGGAGCGATGGCTTGTAGACCTGCTAAAGCTGAGGCTACTAACGGAGAGAGTTTAGAAGTCAAATTTTGGGATTTCGAATTGAAACAGAATAGAGTATCGGATTTTTGTAAGAGATAGAATTAAAGGTTCTGAGCACGGAAATTTGAGACGGTGAAGAAAGATGAAATGGATTGTGAAAAAATGAAATCCTTTTGGTTTCCTATGATGAGTATTACACTGCATGCCAATTGGTGGCATCAAGAACACAATACCAAACCGAAAAGTCCCAGAGAAGACATGAGATCACATGAGTTTCTTTTTGAATCGTGAATACTCTGATATTTAGATTATCCTCCCCAGAACAGTACTTTAAGAGAGAACAACCAGTGTTAACAATCATATTCATCCTGTCGATACACAGCTTGGAGCACCAGTGCGCAATTAAATTTCCAGTGCCATCCATCAGCAATATTTGCTCATGTCTGCAGTATAATGGATATTGCATTGTTATTAATTATCATTCCAGAATTTATTACACGCAAAACTAGCTCAACATGCAAGAACAGATGTAGAATAAGTCCAGGACAATCCGACACATCTAGTATATAAGATGATAAGCTTCTTTTCCTTCAAATCATTATCTATCCCACAGCCTCTTGACTCTCACCTCAAACTGCAAAACTAAACGCAGACCGAACACCCAAGAGCCAACCCAAACCCCAACGCAAAGCAAAAAAGCCGCCATGTGTACCGAAATCTGCACTCAATACGTTGAATGCGGCTGCCGCGAAGTCCGCATCGAACACTGCTTTTATCGATACGTACACAACTGCCCAATCCTAGAATGTATTGCCTACCGTACTATATTCCGTCGCAAGCCGGGTAAGTGCTATAATTGCGAACATATTACCGCGCAAAATTGATTGAGCTGTTTTTTTGGTCTTTTTCTTTCTTTCTTTATTTTCTTTTGCAAGTTGAGATGAGAGTGGTAGGAGACGAGCGCACGTTTGAGGAGGTTGTAAGCGAAGAAGAGGTAGGTAGGTAAGAAGTATCTACTACGTAGCGGTCTTAAAAAACCCCCAATGAAAAACACTTTTTTTAAGAACACTTTGAATATAAACAAATGACCTACGATAAAGTTTGGTGTGATAAATGTGATATCAATAATTAATCATGAAATAGCTAACCTGAGATTAATTAGGTGATCGAAGACCGAGAGATGCGGGATATCAAAAAAACCCTCAAAAAAAAAAAGACGTTGTTTTGAACTTGTTCTTCAATAATTCCAATCTTGTTTCTATGACAGGCAAGTAAAAATCCAAGAATCAATACTAACATAAGAACTTTCATCATCTTCAAATAGGCTCAAAAAAATGCCAGAACAACTCCCCATCTCAAATATAAAATACCCACGACTTGTCTCGACTTATATCTAATTCTCCAAGAATCAATCAAGACTCATCAAACATACCCCAGCATCATCTTTCCAAACCACTTCAGCCCAGATCCCAAATCGACCCAATAACAACCCAAAACCAAAAGTCAAAATGTGCGAAGATCAACACACTATCCACCTCTCCTGCATGCATTCTTCCACACACGTGCAGCACTGTCGTCAAGCCCCTATCAATCCATCCGACAGCACTCCTGACCCAAGCAGATGTTCATTCTATTGGCTTTCTATCGTTGAGAAGCGTAATTGTTGTGCTATTTGTAGAAAAATTCGATGGATTCGAGTGACTAGATTTATGAGACGACGAACGGAGGGGGATGGAAGGGATGGAGCCTCGGGATGTGTGATTTTGTGAGGAGGGGAGGAGAAAAGAAAGGTTTGTGGATGTGGTAATTCGCTAGAAGCGATGTTCATTCCGTTTCTTAATTTTCCGTTCGATTTGCCGCCTTCTGAATAGATTGATAATGAAAAAAAAATCCCCCCGAACATGTGCAAAATTACCAAACTATTCTGATTTTCATTAATGTCATCCCTCCAAAATGCCAAGCAAGGGCCCTGTTTGTATGTGATATATGATACTAATAACTAAACATGCATTTCAATATCCTAAAGCTGAATGTAGAAAAACGATAGAACCAATGTGGTCTAAACTCGCAACTTGAGATCAGCTTTACTGTATCCGTAGTTCTTTGCCTCAAACGCTGCGTATACACTATCAATCTCAGCTTTATACATGTTTGTACAAATGGATCTAACAAGAGTCCCCTTAGCAGCTCTCTCAAACCTCTTATCCTTCTTCGCCACGAAAACCAAATGTCGCTCAACTCGAGCATGTGCTGGTACCGTATCATTAGCTTTTTGTACGTCCGGCCATACTTTTTCAATTAAATCTTCCTCCGTCAATTTCGAATCTTCTTTCGGTTCCAACAAGATTCCACACCGAGTTCTACCTGTTCCAAACACAAGACAGCCGTTAAGTAGCGGGTGCGATTGTAGTAGAGTCTCAATATGTACAGGGTTAACTTTAGCTGCATTAGAAAGGATGATAAGATCATCGATTCGGTTTTCGAATTTCCAAAGTGGACCAACCCCATTGGGAAGTGAACCTTCGTAGCGACGCAGAATATCCCTGGTCCTCCACTGGGTCTGATCAGGTGCCATATGAAAGACAGGTTGAGCCCAAGCAAGAGCTGGATCATCATACTTGTTTAAAATCAGTTCGCAAAGCGTAGAGTCATCATTCACTGGCTCGAATTCCGGTAAGAATTGGGGGTGAAATTCGAGATATGACCAATGTGATTTGGGTGGTACAAGAAGTGGCAATTGGGCGGATTCAGTCGACCCAAAAATTTGCCACAGTACTGCGTCGGTGTTGCGGATAATGAAGTCTCCTGTTTTCTGTGAAAGTGGACCTATTTCTCGATTAAAACTGAATCCAAGAGCGAATTGAAGAATTTATGCTTACCCCCAAGCCAGGAAATATGTTTCAAAGCTGCGATTTCTTCTTCGAGGCCCTCGCTATGATTCAAGAACAATTGCTCTGTAACACTTGGAACCTCTATGAGTCCATGAATTGGAAGAGTCTTCATGATATCATGGAGTATTCTCCCACTAGACGGTTCGTTCGGTGGGCCACGAACCAAGGTTGAACCTAAGATGATCGTTGAGAATGCCAGGCCAAGTCCAGATGCATGCGAGAAGCTACATCCACTCAAGAGCAGTTTTTCTTTTTCTACAAACTTGAAGCCTGCAATTGCTCGTCCGGGTACATCAGGTAACAATATACTGTTGTTGATGAAACCACTGATGTACCCATGGCTGCAATTCTTTGGCTTTGGTGCACCTGTAGAACCCGAGGTATGAATAATGAGTGCGAGCTCATTATGATGTGTATCCCAGTTTTTCGTGTAAGGGTAAGGCTTGCTTTTTGTGTTTATTATCTCCTGTAGCGTCGGTATCTCGTGCTTGTCTAAAGTTGGGATCACCTCCAAAATTCGTGCAGCAAGATCTGAATATTGCGATGTGTAGAAAAGCTTTGTGCTTTTAGTCGCCTTGAGCAATGAAACTGTGTTTGCTAATGCATTTCCAGCCCTTGGTAATAGCAGAGGGTTTCCAGTTTTCATACAAGCAATCTCAATGATCGGATAGCGAAAATCTTGAGATCCAATAAACGCGAAAGTCTCAGTCAATGAAGATTTCGACTTATAAGAATCAATCCAATGAGCTAGGAAGTCCACGCCACACAAGAACTGCCCAGCATTGACTTCGTTGAATCCCTCGGATATGTCAGATGTCTTGGCCACCATTGCCATGATTCTTTGAGGATTTTCACGTGCCTCTTCCTCGAGAATATGAGGAATGAGCCTGTTGGCACGTTTGAATTCTGCATCGGAAGGATGTCTCTCAATTTTATACGAGACTTGGTGTTCATTTCTCAGATTTGTTATGATTTGTGTTGCTGAGGCCATGTTGGATGATGATGCTGCGAATTATGATAGAAAGGAAATACAGAGGATGCCCAGGTATAAGTACATACTCTCGACAACATAGTATTGATCAACCATCATGATTCAAACAGGTTTTCGAAACGGGACGGGAAAGTTTCATTCCCGACCTCGGTAATGCATGCACATCTCTTTTCGTTGTAACCATACATATTGTCGATTCGCGAATGAACACAGAGTAAGGAGCACATACACACTACACAGTGAACTTCGAGTGACCGTTAGACAATAACTACGAGTGCAGCCATTAACTAGAGAACTGTTATGTTTAACATCAACTACCACATACTTTATTCTCGCTCTACCACAGCGACGATAGATGTAACAATTCCTTTGTGACAAGAAGTTAGATATGGTAAACAGAAGGTGTGTCTCACAATGCGACTTGTACTATACCCGAAGCTTGTAGTCTGATGAGCGATATTGATCCCCCTGCATATCTGTGAGAGTCATTGCCTGTTTAGAAAGCGCTATCCATATTGTTTACTGCCTCACTTTACAGTAGTCTTTGAAGTAATAGATCTGAGGGTATCGTTTCCATGCCACCTTAACAAACACAGAATGGTTCATCTACCAATTGAGTATTTTGACCAAGTAAGCCACTGAATCCATTTCAGTGAAGATCTTGTAGAACTCTCCTCCCAAAGGCTAAGAGCGGTGAACTATAGATCGTTCAATCGGCTAGGGCGTTCAGTTGGTAGGTAAACCCTTCAAATGTCAAATGTCAAAGGCTTCAATAGCGGCATGTCATCAATAGTTTCCTTTCCGATCAAGAAAAGATAGCTTTCGAGGACGACCATGTGTCTTGGAAACATTTATTTTTTGGTCAAGCCACAGGTGTCGTGGTGTCACTTGTGCAGAAGGTATCAGATGGATGTCAAGATAAGAATTGGCGTACAGTCAGCAATTCCTCAGGCTCCTTCGGCGACTCTAAAAATATTAAGCAACGCTAAACACCCTTGCAACATGAACGTCGCCGACCCCAAAGAACATCATTCCACAAAATGAAGCCCGAGCAAAAGTTTAATGAGCTACCAGGCATATAAGAATAACCAAGAACAGTCGCAACGTTATGGAAAAAGATTTCAATCTATAGCAAACCCAGATCAATACCTGCCACTTCAGTCCGCAAAACCAAAACTATCTTACAATGTGTAGACAAGCAAGCTGCCCGACCTGTCGTATGTTTCTCACCCCGCCCTCTTCTCATCTTACATCATACTAATACTGGCGGGTGGCAGAGAAGGAAACTTGGTTCGGCTGCGGTCTACATTTACCTTCCGTCTTCTCTTCGATCCCTGCCGATCAAGAATGTACCTGCATACCAAAGTTTGAGAAGGACGGGGTCCAATATCCACCGAAAGCTGGTACCGGCACGGCACAGGATGCCGGAGAGGAGGGGGATGTTGTTATACACGATTTGAAGCGCGGTACATGACTAGCCGATCTGCTAAAGATACTTGTACCAGTCGGCTTGGGGGCTATAGTTTGGATTTGGTGGTCATAAAAACCTAGGGAACATTAGGATGGGTGGTGTTGACGTTTGGCGTTAATCTTTGTGAGTTGCCAAAGCAGGGTGTAGTCGATGCTGGTATGTAGGAACTGGCGAGTTGGGTATATTTCAGGACAAATGACCTCCAGGCGTTTAATCTAAACGCTTCTCAATCACAATACATGTGACATGTATGCTCGCGCCTCCTGAATGCGTTTTGGCATATATGTCTTCATTAAAGCGCGCCGAATTTCAATCCCATTTTTAATTACAAGTGTTTCTAGAGAATTGGGAATTTTCGTTTCGTACATTGAGGAGAGAATGCCTTGGAAATCGAACGATGCGCACCGTCTGTAACTTCTTCCCTATCATCGTCTCCTTATGAGCTTCGAGTGAGGCAACAGAGGTCACATACCTATGCATACTCCCAATTCTTGAACCGCTCACTTTCAAAAAGAATCATTGAGAACATTCACTGTATCAATTTCCACTAGCCCGTTTCTTTACACATACTTCCGCGCCCCATCAAACTCTCTTCACAACCATTCTCAAACTTTACAACTCCAAAGGAGTATGGTTTGGCTTCCCATTTGATCCCGATTTCACATCAGATCTCACCAAAACTCAACTCGACAACGGACAAACATGGAGCTCAATCAGCCTCTTGGGTGAGTCAACGGATACTTCAATAAATTTGTGATATTTCCAGCCTAAATTGACATTTTGATTAGAAGACGTATCCAGATCAATGTCGGCAACTCTGAATACCATGTCCACGAAGAGCTGTTGCGCAAAAACACGAAATTTTTCGACATCTACGAACGCAGAAGAATAATGCACATAGATATAAGTTCTGAAATGTTTGACTCCTTTATTCAGTGGCTCTATATTCGAAATCTCTTCAAACATCCAACTGGTGGCGTCCGGGTAATTCTAGAATTATGGTTCTTTGCTGCTAAGATTTCCTGCCCAGAGCTTCAGAACTACGCCATGGATTGGATTCAGGATTACCACCAAGACGATTGGATGCAGGAATCGAATTTAATATACGTTTTTGAGACGGCAAAGGATGATGGTGGGCATAATGCTTTAGAGGACTTCTGTGTTGCTACACTTCGTCAGAAAAACGCTGGGTGCTTCGAAACGGTTCGTGATTTTATTCAAGCAGTTCCAGTCGCCCTTGGCCCATATCTTCATTATGAAAGTATTTGTGACATTGACCAGCTGCGCTTCGACCCCACATGCCGAGACAAGAATCATCTTTGCAGATTCCACATTCACAACGACGATGACAAGATCTGCGAATCTAAACCAAATGCTTAGTAGAATCTGGGCTTATATTTCGTTGGTGGATATCTTTGGTAAGTTTTTCTCCTGCTGCTTGCTTCTCTTAACTCTCTTTGCTGACCCATCCTTAGAGTCTCTTGATAGGCTTGAGAAACCGTCAAAAGTCTTGGGATTCGCTACAAGTTCGATGACCGACTCCAAGCAGCTCGTTCCATCTATTCATACAGCTAGGGAGAGGCGTTCATTCATCTGGTAGATACAAAAAGCAATGAAATTCATCATCAAGTCTCTAGAATTCATCAAGTTTCTTGCATCAAATCTGTGAAAACATTCCCCTCTGGCAGCCTCTTTTTGGCTGCATCTTCTCATGATAATAATAGTGACTCACAAAACCGCCTCACTGCGCATTTTGCATCGAACATTTATAGTATAGATAAAGGTTCTATACCGGCTTCGATAGGGTCGTGCTTTGCACATGTTGTTCTAGAGCCTGTGCTGCAGAATCCTACTCCGTTTGTAATCTTTGAGTTGCTGGAGGGAATAGGCGGTAAGCCCCCCCCAGCGCCAAATAGCTCGTCGTCTGCTACTAATGAAACATGTAAGCCATACAACCATATAATCTGACCTAGTGTAACAGAAAAGCACTCTTATAGCCTGGCAATGCAAAGGTCCCGGTATGACAATTTTCTCGCAGTCTGGAAAACACTCGAAACGAATACTGACCCAGTGCGCTCACCTTTGATAATGGCTTATGTTCACTTTATTAATCTACGCTAGCGTTCTATTCTTTAAGCGATCTCAGTTTTTTTCACACAAACCTTCTTTCGTTTTTCAACTTCATAGGGATTTTCTGTTTCGTGGCAATCAGTGATCTTTGGGCAATTAACCTCAAGAAGGCGAGGAAATGGAGGTTCACAAGTAAGTGCACACCCCCCTTCCCCCCCTCAACCAGCTCCAATCCACGAGGTCCAAACTCACAATGAATCGCCAGCGACACAATCTGGATCCAAGTTATCGGAAACTCCTACCAGGTCAAAGTGGAATTATTGCTTAAAGACATGAAATTCTTCGAAGCTTTTCCATACAAAGAAACTATCGACGTCACTGAGGGAGCTGAGGCGATCGATTTTTTTGTCCAATGGCTCTATACCCCAGGACGATTCTTCAAGGTACCAGAAATCAAGACAGTGCTGGAATTATGGTTGTTTGCCGAAAAAATCAAGTGCACAAAGCTCCAGAACTATAGCATGAATTTTATTCAAAAGTACTACAGTCAGAATGATGAGTTCATGGGTCTTGTTGACCTGGAATACGTTGCGGGCACCACTAAGCACGAGCACGGCGAACTCAATATTTTACGGGAATTCTGTGCTTTACAACTTCACTACCAAAACGTTAAAGGAGATGACGATTTTGTTCGCGAGGCTCTCCTTCATTCCTCGGATATAATTGTTCTATATCTCGAATATGAAGCCGTGTACTGTTTGGACACCGAATCTGACCCCAGATGTCGCATTATTACGTCTCCTTGCCGATTCCATGTCCACTATAGCAATAAAGATCGCGAGGACTGCCAATTGAAGCTCGAATAGCTTCAATATTTTCCAGATTGCGTTGAATCAGTTAGTCTCTCGGTGTGCCCCTTTGCTACCCGTCTTCCGCAGAGAAAGTTTGCTGACTTATCATTCCCCGTTTTTCTAGACTTTAAGGAAGTCAATACTCGTCAACACAATTTGGTTTCTTGCACAAAATCGACAGTACCACGCGGATTTGGTTTAATTCTATCATGCGTCTCAAAAGAAAGCGGCAGTCAGAGATGAAGCTCGGTGACGGTCATGGAACGCTGCACTGTGGCAGCGCACCCAGAAATTCCCTCTTGTGGCCTTCAAAAGATCCTATGAGATTAATCATATCATCCTCAGTATGATATGATAATGAAAAATATTATCAAGTTCTCTAAAATAAATGGAATGACTCTGAAGCGCCAATATGTGATAACCATCCTTCCTGTCCCTTTAACTTCACACCAAAGCTTGACAGAAAGATTGATTTCGATGCAAAGAAACCGTTTCCTTCACCAATATCGAATAGTCGTAGTGAAATAAACACTCAGATTTATATCAGCTTATGCCTCACTTTCGATTGGGACTAGTTTTATTCACTATAGTGATCCAAACTAAATACTTGTTAATCGCACTTCACAAAGGTAAACTTGTACCCAAAAAGAATCTTCTTCGCTTTACAATTTCAAAAGAAACACGCAGCTTTATATTGTATCTCGATCTTTCAAAGAAGAACTTTCAAGCAAAAAGAAGATGGATCTTACGCAGCCCACTGGGTAAGTTCATGCTCTTTAGTAGGGCTATTGTTAAGGGTTTCAATCTCACAATATACAGGAACACGGTTACCGTTAATATCGATGACGAATCCTATCACATCCACGAGAACTTGTTGATGAAAGATATGGATTTCTTCGGCACCTTTCAGGCTCACGGTTCAATTTTCGTGGATGAAGAACCTGATGTGTTCGACGCCTTTGTCCAATGGCTTTATGCGCGACATGTTGTCAAAGACCCGAGTATCGAAGTCGCTCTCAAATTATGGACTTTTGGCCACAGGATCTCTTGCAACAAACTCTAAAATTGCGTTATGAATTATATTCAAGACTATTATATATTCCATAGGGAGCTTATGGAGGTGGCAGAGGTTAAATACATTTTTCGGGAAGCACCAGCTTTGAGGTCTGAAAACGTTTTACAAATCTTCTGTGTTGCTCAGCTTCACTATCAAGCCACTCAAGACAAAGAGTATGCCAGCGTTCGAGACATACTCTTAGAAGTCCCTGCTGTTCTTGGCTCATACCTGAGGCTTGAGTGTGACAACTTATCCGATATAGTCGACTACAATCCTAAGTACCGAGGTCCCCGTGAAGGTCGCTGGTGCACTTTTCATATTCACGATCAAGGAAACGAGAAAGACTGTGCAATGAAACCCAATGATGACGACGACCCAAGTTAGATGTCACCTAGCTTGAATTCAAACGACTGTGCGGTAATCCCTTTCATTGCGATTCAGAGAGAGCTTTTTGCTTATTCTGAACTATGGCGTTCTTTGGGATGTTGTCAGCTTGGTAGACTCAGGAGATACTGGGCATCATGGGAATTTCACTCTCATCGAATAACAGATTGTTACAGAGTGAGCGATACGACTGCACACACGAACTGCCTCATTGAAAACTCGGACTCCAGTGCATATGGCAGAAACGGAAGAAAATAAAAACAGTATCAGATTATTAGAACTAGTATCTCAAGTACGAAGTGTCAAATGTGTAGAAGTTCCAGTCCATCCTCAGCATCCAACACCACACCGCTCTCTCATCAGCTCTCCACTAGTCTCTCTCATCCCTTCCATTCCTGAAATCAACATCTATAGCTCGAAAAATTCCCATTCTCATATCCCTCTTCTAACAATTATAATTCAAATACACACCCCGAGCACCCGCCCCATTCAAAGCATTAACATACTCAGTCCAGCTCACACTACCCTGTCCACGAACCCAATCCGCATATCTGAACACAAAAGCCAATCCCTGCCCACTACCCCCATTGCAAGCCTGGGTATTAATAACAACACTCTGTCCACTTGCAGGAGTAACAGAGCCGAAAATACCAGAATTGATTTTAGGACTGATGTTGTTGAGTGTTGGGCCGTTGGGAAGAGGTGTAGAAACGGTGAAGACGTCGAGAGCTGGAGAGATACCGGTGATAGATGGTGCGTAGTCTGAGGGGAAAGTGAGAGTAAGGGAACAGCCGTAGGATCCGGCTGGGAGAGGAGGGAATGAGATCAGTTCCCAGAATTGATTGGAAGGGTTGCCTAGAGAATGTGTTCAGTTGGATTCATGATGATATTCGGGAAAGGTATACATACCATTGGCATCAGCGTCCTGGCTAATCTTGATAGATTTATCTGTGTTCCATGTGTTTGGATAGGCGGTGTTCGGGTTTGCCTTGGAAAGTTGGAAGATTTGATTTGGGAATAGTTGTGTTCCGCAAGTACGTTTTTCGTTCAAGGCTTCTGGAACGGGAGAAGCTTGTACGAAGCTTGTCGCTCCGATGAGAAGAGAAAGAATAGTCTTGGAAAGCATGTTGATTCAAAGATTAATTTCAAGTGAAGAATGAGAGTATGATTGTTTTTAAAGTTCTTGGACTCTGAGTAATGATGATGATTGTGGAGAGAAAACAACATCTCCATCGATCCAGCAGCATCATTATATACCCAACCATCAAGAAGTAGCCTGATGCCACTGTCATCAACTGCCGAGAAAAATCATATGATGATCTCATGACTTTGCGGACGGATACGAAGAGGCTTGCTACAAGTGCTGATTTACACAAGGCTGACGCAATACGGATTCTTCATCAAGCTGAAAATATCATATGATGATCATGATTGTCATCTTTACATGATGTTATTAGCAAACTGGTGAGAGGCAATGTTTCTGGTTTCTTTGTAGAGAGAGTTTTTGTGACAAATCTAATGATTGATGTATGTAGCTGTGTAACTAAAGTCGGGTTGGACCACCAGTGAGAGTCGCGGGGTAAATGCTTGGCAGCTGCAAGGAGTGAGATTTTGGGGAACTTTTACAACGGTTTGGGTGATGAGGCTGATGTGAGCTATTTTTGGAAAAGGGTAAGCAAACAGCAAACAACCTGCTGTCGGTGTAGTGAGGTTTGGGGGCTTTCTATTTGCTGTCCCGAGTATGAAGGCTGGTGGTCCGATAATAATCTGAACCCCCTTTCTCTCAGCCTCTCGGTAAGCGAGACATTTGACGATTTTCTATTGCGGTGCCAAGAGAAGTTCTCGTGGGGCTCGTTTACTAGTGGGTAGAGGCACGATGTATGTTTTTATTTTAGTGGAATCGTGATGTGCCCAAAGGCTGAATACAAACAACATTGCCCAAGGACTTTTCGTTGCTGCGTACCGCCTTTCTCTGCAGATTTATCAGTTGGCAGTATTAATACTTTTTGGCCTGTCTTAGCCCACATTATTTTTGGCGTCTGAAGCGATTTCAATTCGTAATACCATTAAAAATTTTAGTTTGGGGTTTGATCAATTTGAAAGATTCACAACGCTAGTTCTTTGAACGGTGAAACTAAGGCATGGATAATCGAGTTCAAATTCTTTTCGATAGCAATGTATCAGACGTAAAGATACATGAATCTATCTCTCTACTACTTGTTAAACCCTTTACATAACATAAGTTCCACGTCGGGAGTAAAATATTAACAGCTCTCCATATTGTGATAACTAATTTGTGTGTAATAATTTCTGAAATTTGAGTCTCACCAACAATTTCGGCCATCTCTAAATCAAATTGATGAGATACCGAGTCTGCTCAGCCCCCTCTACGATCAAGTCAACTTTCGTTATCTCAGATCACTTGATTCCATCTGCCAATACACGGATCCACGTTAGAATCCTCGGCTAGGTGAGAAAAATGCAAGACGCTTAGGTTTAGGAGTTGAAGATCTACTGTACATTCAAGGTGTACTAGTGTATATTTCTATACTGATGAGAATTCAATGCCGCGACGCAAACATATTCATCGTTATCGTTATGCTCATGAAACGCACATTTATCATACCGACCGCCTCGAACTCTTGGATCAGCAACAGGCATCTCTCCAAAATCGCGTGTAAATTCTAAAACGTCTTCCAATGAGCCGTTCACGTCGTTGAATGTATCCTCCAAATTAGCGACATCTTCTGGATCTCCAAACGGAATCTCCCACGCTAACATCGCGATCGCAAATACTCGCAGCTCATCACCCCATGTTGTATGCTCGTATATATGTGCAACTTCAGAATTAGACAATGCAAATCGACCTATTCTTTCATCGCCCAGTGCATCTTGTAGAGCATTCATGGCGCAATTTTTCAGGGTGATAGCTTGACACTTTTGGGCAAAAATCCAGATATTAATGATCACCATAGGCTCTCTTAACCCTCCTTTAAGATGCCCGGAATACATCCAGTTGATGAAGATTTCGAAAACTTCTGCATCATCCTCGGGAAGAAGTATCTTGTTCTCAATACCCTCCTTGAATCTTCCATTGAAGGCTTTGTCAAAGAAGTCGCAAGTTGATCTGATGAGAGTTTTATGGACAGAGAATTCTTTGAGCTCGGGACCGACAATGATTTGGACCAATTCATTGCCAAGACGACTATGAATCTTCGAGTTAGCTTTGGTCGGTTTAGTACACAATATTGGTTCTTACCTAGCAGTCAGATGTGCCATCACGGAAGATGCTACTTGGGTATTTCTTTGACCTGATCGCAGCGTTTTTCGTTGCTAATTTTGATGATTTTGTACAAATTTGATTAGGAGAATCGCGGATCTGAAGTTATTACGTCGAAAATTTGGATGTATCGAAAAACACGAGGGTTTGCGAATGCGAAACCTTTTTTAACATGGTATTGGAACTCTGTCGTATCACGATGGGCCGTATGAAGATTTGAGAAGTGAATTGGTGATAAAACCTCAAATAATGCAGCGAAGAATTATCAATTCCCTCTAGTCGCCTTCATTACGGTGACAACGGTTAAGTCTGGTTATGCTCAAATCACTTCGCCCTCACATTACCGCCAGTGTTGATAAGCCAATGCTCATGTTTATTTTGATAATGAAGCCGTTGTCGTCAGTGGGTATCATAAAAACTGGGTGTCTGGAGTAGAAAGAAAATGGTTCAATGTGGATTGTTTCACGTGGGAATACCTATACAATGCGTACCTATAATGTGCTCATATTTTCTATCTACTTGGGTTTTGCTCTATGAAGCCGACCGACCCTAAGATGCAATCTTCTGCCGAAAGCAAAGTACACTCCTGTTGCCGATTATAGATGCAAACTTTTCATTCTCATCCCCTCCAATGAGCACAAGCTGAGTTTGAATTTCCACCGCTAGTCTATTCTCGAGATCTGATATACAAAGCTAGGATAAATCCCTGAAAAATATACGGCTTATCTTCAGGTAGATCCATCTTATTCTCCGCTCCCTCTTTAAATCCATTGTCTTGAAAAGCTGCCTTGAAGAAATCTCCACATCTGCAGATGAGGTTCTTGTGGACCGAGAACTTCTTTCTTTCGGGTCCAACAAAGATATGGACAAGCTCATCGCCAAGCTCACTATAAATATCATTAGTCAATGTTCATATCCATGAGTATGCTGAGATATCGGCGAGGAGAGCTTACTCTAGTCGTCCCTCCATGATTGTCTAGGGTCTGTTTCAAGTAACAATTGATGGATGGAAGTATTCAAGGCAGGTCCAGTGAGTCGAGAATCGACGTAAATTTGCTTCGTGACAAGAATCTGTATGTTTTTGACGATTAAGGAGTTGTGTTGGCTGGCCCTCGGTATTTCTTGTAAAGTCTTTCGCTTTAAGACCCAGTGGCAGAGTCTTGAAGATGGATATCAACGTCAACCACAAACGTCTCTTCTGTTGTAGAAACAAAAAGAACTTTATCTTAAAGTTGGAATGAAATTAGGGCGATTTATTGAGAGGTAAGGCGCTAGGCCAATTTTTAAAGATTGTTTCGTTGAAGGTGAACCCAAAATTGGCCGCAAGGTACTGAATGATTTCTGGCTCTCTATATCAGTGATTTTCTACCATTCAATGAATAGTATAAATACTTTTATGCGCAGGGCTTATTCGGATCATCTTTCTATATTTGATCAATATTTCAAACCGCAAGAGTATCATGACACTGAGGCCAATACATATCGGGGTGTGTTTCATAGAATTTGGATGAAACTAATAATAATCAAAATTAATATTGGGATGTGTACAGTTAAATGGAAAATGAAGGAGACGTCAATTTCTCTAAATATATTGGTTAATAGCACCTCAAAGGCTACCTACTATCGATTATTATAAAGAATAATATTTAAAGCATTCATTATTTTGACATATTGTTTACAGTATCTTGTTACGTTTGATGCCACATCTACTTGAAAATATTTCAACGATACTTTAGATTCAATATATTTTAGATTCAATACTACCTTCTATGAACGCAACATTAGATCTAATGTCTCTGATATACTAGGTCTAATGTCGAAAGAGAAGTCGATTCGAACGAGCTCTTAGGGTTTCGTACCTACTCATATGCGAATTACTTTGTGATGGCCCATTTACATTGTACATAAGACTACCACAAGCATTGTCATTTTAGCAAAGAAAGAGAAATCACAAAATTCCCATTCTACAAATTATCGATTCCTTCACGGTTCACCAGGGCATTCTAGAGTAAAGTCATTGTGATATGAATCTCTATTATTATTTAGATGTTATCCTGTAGAAGGAGCTCCATGTCTATCATCTATCTAAATGCCATAACCATGCAGTCTTTCGTCCCATCATGATCGTAATGAATGTAAGTCTTCGATGTCCCGCCAATGCTGCTCTCGCTATGCCCAAAGTCCAAAGTACAAAAAGAGTGACTAAAACCAACTGGCGCTATGCATATGCATCCAACAAAAGGAATGTGAAATTTTACTCCAGATCCACCATGCTCAAAACCATGAAACCATTAAGACTAAAACGAAACATTAAACCCCCCTTCCCCGTCTGTCTCTCCGCGTTGATCACATGCCAAATACCATGTCTTCTATGGCAATTGTAGCTGGCAAGTGTCAGAGCCGTATGCTACGTACAAGCCGTAGTTTCTAGCAACGGTGTTATTAACACGGAATTGATAGATATCATAGCTGAAGTCACCTGGGCCGGATCCAGTGGAAATGCCCATCAAGAATTGGGCTTGCGAAGAGCAGTCAAAGGTGCCGATGAGAGTATCCTGACCAGGATTTAAGGTGTTAGGTGTAAAAAATTTCACAGTAGGCTCGCCGTTGACAGGGAAGACATCCCAGAATGTAAGATCACTGGAGTCGAGAGGGATAGATGGGCCAAAAACTTCGACTTGTGGGTCCAATGGACCAGTAATGACCTCATAGTCATCTCTGCTCGAAGGGAATGAAGACCAGAGTTCACAGTTTTGTGCATCAGCTGGAAGGTCAAATGATGCATAAGTGTATTGGCGCGAGGTCCATGCTGTTCCATTCCAAGTTGTACCCATTCCAAAATAACCTTGGTCTAGATCTGAAGGGTCCTGGGATATTGTGTTGTAAGCGACATGCTGAGGAGTGTTTTCCCATATGGATTCTAGAACCCCTGGCCATACGATTGTGCAATCATCGGAAGAGACAGTTGATGTTGCCGCGGAGGAAGAGTCACTGGTAGGTGTAGGTGCAGCGGATGTAAAGCCGATGGCAGCAATGAAAGCGATTGTGGAAGCTTTGAAAAACATTGTGATGGTGGGTATTCTTTGTGTAGTAAAGTTATTCAGGTATGTGATAAAAGAAGAGAAAATAGAAGTGGTATTAGATTGCGATCTTTGAAGTTGAGGAGTTGTATTGGAATGTTTGATGTTGATGATGAAAATGGAAACTAAGGTGGTCATCTCAAAGTATATATACCTCGAGTCCAATGCAGCGCAGCACAGAAAATGGATTCACTTTCAGTAGATTCTTACTCAGCCCACAGCTTTGTTGGAAATATTTACCGTATCTGCAAGTGGAAGACAAACAAAAAGTTGTGATCGTATTCATTGTTTGCTGTGCGATGCTTGCTTGTGTGGCTAGGAGGATAGCCATGGCAGTGAATAATACTACCAAAAAGCTTTTTCAATATGATGAACGCCCGAGTATAGGAAATCTATTTCAAGAATCAAATATGGGGAGATGAGAGGCTTGAGAAAATGGAACCAATAGAATCCAACAATCCATGCCACACTTTGAGGCGCGACTGACACCTTTTCAACAAATCATACACCGTCAACCACTTCAACAGAGATCAAATCTCACGTGAGGCTGTGCATTACAGAGCAGTGTCTCCTAGAGAATATGTATTGTAACATGCAGTAGAAACATAGTAAGACTTCGAATAGTTGCTTGTCTATTATGCCAAAACTTCAGAGCTTCGGAAAACTCTAGGGTATTCTGCTTGGCTAGGGCTTACATCGATGGATTTTGATTGCATCCGGGTTGAATCCACGCCTCTATATTTGCATGCAATAGTCTACCGACAACACTCTTCTTTTTTCAGAACAACTGTTGGAAGAAGCATCTCCGAAATAGCATCTTTCGAAGTCTGTGACTCGTGAAGATGTTTATGGTGAGTGGGGTCCATATCTCCCCGGTACAACATACCAGAACTTTGCTCGCGAAGACTACGCCGCCTGCGCCATCATCCAACGACTGCCAACACAGCCAATATTTTCATAAGTGAAACCATTGAATAATACCAACACAGCATTGTAAGCCTTAACACCGATCAGTCCTCTCGCGTTGTTGCACTATTCAAAGACCACTCGATCGTTGAAACCCATTGAGAAGCTGATAAGCTCGCATCTGGGTAAATATCACATGTCGACGAGGGATTAGACGTGTTAGAAATGTAGCAAACTGCTCAAACTTCCAAATACCTATATGTTAACCCAATTTTACCTGGCTAGCTTCCAAGGTATGCGTACAATGAAGAAGACGTGAGGTCAACGCTTTTGGTGAATGAAGTTGTTCAATCAACCGAGGTAGTTTTGGGAGTCTCTCGAATCCGGGGTTTTAGCGTCCGATCCACGCTAAATTGCGGGACATTCCGCATTATCACCGGCGTCCGAGCGACCACTTTCATATCATCATTCACTCCTTGGATCCTTGGATAGGATTGATTACTGTACCTATTATCATAAACATCTTATATCACTCGCTTTGGCAATCATGGGATCAATCAGCGGTAATGAGAATACACGTCCTGATGCAAAGGAAATCCGAGTCTTGGTTACAGGTTTTGGTGTGGGTTATTCTGACATTACACCCCGCTTTACCCCTCAATCGTGGACTTGTTCAATCCATATGTTGAACTGCTCCAAGTCTCAAAGTTCCTAAATGCTGACTATGACTTCAAACAGCCTTTTCGCGCGCAGTTTCCTATAAATCCATCATGGGAAATAGCATCTCGTCTACCATCTTACGTTCCTACGGATGTAAAAGATGAGGGGCACCATCCGCATGCACGACCACCAATAAACAAGCACACTCCACGCATTAAGATCGAGACTTATGGAGCGCCAGTTCATGTAGGATACAAGGCTGTTCGGGAACTTGTGCCTGTACTTCTTGATGACACAAAGCCTGATTATATACTACATATTGGAATGGCATCTGGTCGATCTTTTTACAGTTGTGAGCGACGGGGTCATCGAGATGGATATTTCATGAAAGATGTCGATGGGAGTGTTTTGAACGACGAATACAACAAGATCAAGGAGGGCGATGACTGGGTATGGCATGATTGTCCTGGGGAACTTTTGACGAGTTTGCCATTCGACAAAATGTTTCGTCAATGGAAGGAAGCTTGTCCTGTTCGTATTGACTTTTCTATCCCTTTTGATCGATGACATTGCCTTTGTCTGGTCCATATTTCCCATTCCGTTACTGAATACATTCATATAGGAAGTCGATACACGCATTTCCGAAGATGCCGGTAACTACCTCTGCGATTTTATATACTATACCTCTCTCGCACACCGTTACAAGCATCAAAAACCAAATAAAGCCATGTTCTTACATGTACCCGTCGACTCCGATCCCGAGTCTGTACGGAAGGGTGTTGAAATTACAACCGAGCTAATTCGGGCAATGGTTGAATGTGATCTCAAAGCTCAAGCCAATACTGGGGACGATATTAATACCACAGAAGAGAAAGTGGATCTGTGAATACTTTAATTATTTGACAGGTGAAATTGCATATACCTGACTTAGTAAAGTGGAATTGGTAAACATATTAGGCAGGATGGACATCATGGGAATAACATTTTTGGTAGTATTGGTAGCATCTGTAGTTTTAAGAGCATGGCATTATAACAGCGTTAGGACCTTTGAGGACACAAGAATTATTTTCAAGAATAAGAAAAGAGAAATACAACATCTGAAAAAAGGCTCCAACTAATCATTAATTGTTCACTGCGATATTCCAATCAGACATTGTTGAGCAGAGTGTGCTTCGAAGGTTTCTAATTCTCGACTCGCGTATTATAATCCGATGAAGGGGCGACGAACTCGCAGTGATAAATGACCTCGGATTACTTTGTTAACAGCGGCAGCACAGATGAGTGTTTGTTCAAGCATTGAGAATTTTGGCACAGGCTCTCGCACGTTATAATGCATTCTTGCCAAGTGAAATATAATCATTTATTCTCATTTAAGATCTCCACTTCAGTAGATTATTCATATCTTCATTCCCCGTCATTACCCCATCATTATCATCATCCAATATGCCCTTGGTTCCCTAGTCCCCAATTACCTGATCTCCAAGTCCCCATCATCTAAGCATATCCAACCGGACTTGTGCATCCAAAACTGGTTGCATGACCCAATCCGAAACTGGCAATGATACTTTTGATACTGGTATACATACCCAAAATGGCAGTAGCAGCGCTTGCCAAAAAGAACAAGAAGCAGAAGACCTTCAACCACCATCTTGGGATAAGACCTCTCTTCCATCTGCTCATGTCTTTCCAGGTATCGATTCTGTTTATGGTTCCGGTGGCAGGGTCGAATTTTTCATCTGGATGCATGGCATCTTCCTTGATGGTCATACCAAAGTAGAGAAGGGTGGGGAAGGTATATGTGAATTGCATGATACAGACTGCAGCAACGAGCGAAGAGATGTTGGTGAATTGAGGAACTGCGGATCCGAGAACAAATGCAAATGCCCAGTACAAAGGTACGATGGCAATCCAAATGAGTTTTCCTTTCTTGGTAGTGAGCTCTGGGCCACCGAAGAGGTCTTCAACAATATTTTGGTAGATGACCTTGATACCGATGTTACCGTATAGAACTGCAGCGATGAGACCGGAAACCAGGTTAATTGCATTGGTGACGGTTTGCCACGAGTAGGGTGAGAGCCCTTGATTGGCTGGATTGTAGGTGAATTGACCTTGCTGCGAGTAAACAACGAGACCGAAGATGAGGTAGCAAACGAAGATGAATATTTCAGCTAGGAATTGCGCCTTGATGAAATCGAGTGGTCGTTTCATTTCAGCCATGAATTCACAATACAACATTGCGCCACCGTAAGCATAGACGATTTGCATAGCAGAGCTCAATTGCGAATCGAAAGTTGAGCCAGAAGGAATCCAAACAGTATGCTTGATGGGAGCTTTCGGGATACCAAAAGATGCCAACACGGCGTCATAATTTGGGGGACTGTGTGCTGCCACGCCCATGGTCATGAAAATGACAAGAATGTTCAACCAAATGGCGAAATTGGCAAGATATCCAAACTTCTGCAGAGAACGGATTTGACCTAAAATCATACCAGCGAGTGCCCAGACCAAGATGCAGATGGAAAAGCAGAGCTTGTATTTGGACATTTGCGACAGTGCTTGACCGTTAGAGATGACAATAACACCAACATTGAACAGAAGTTGGATACTTTGCAGAAGATTAATACCATGGCGAGGATAAGTTCCGAAACTATCAAAGTTAGCTGTGTACCCGTAGATTTCGTTGTGGGCGTGGTATCCTTACATTCTGAATCCCAAGTCACCAAATGTCCTCATTGGATATCTGTCACTGTCGAGCTTCAAAAACATGCGCCAAATTTGCCATCCAGCGAAGAAAGCCATAACACCCATGAAGAAATACATCATTACACCTCCAACATATCCGAATTGTGAAACAGCGTATGGTGCGTTGGATGGCCCTAAAATATCGGTGGTGATAAGGTATACACTGTTTGACCGTCAGATACATCGTAGCTTCATCCAAAAGAATAACTTACACAGCTCCCCACGTAGCGTTTCTTGCTGCTCGGGATGCAGTTTCCCATTCGCCAGCTCCGACAAGCGAAGGATGGGGGGCTTTGGTAATGGAACTAGGTTTTGATTCGTCGACTGGCTGAGGTCCGGTCTTCTCATCCTCAATTTCTGGAAGAGCGTGTTTCTCATTACCGATTTCCTTTCCGGCAACATGGTCTACTCCGGCAAGATACTCCTGGTACATTCGCTCCCGTTCCTCTGGACCAAGTCCATTCTTCTCTTGTTCTCGCTGAATCTTTGCATAGTACAAGTATTCCTCAAAGGAGACGTTTGGATCATGCAAGTTGCGACGAACAGTGGTTGGTACGTTCACCTCGCCTACTCCGTCAATGCGAGGATCGCCGCCATCGAGGGCAAGATTTCCTAAATTGTTGGCCATGACTGAAATCTGTAGGAGACTGACTGAAGGTACCACGTCAAAACATTTTGGGAATCAAAGAGATATATGAAGGATTGTCAATTTCCTCTGGTGGATTCATCACATGGCTTCAGCATGGTTACCCGTGTAATTCGAGGTCCTTAATGTAGAAGTCGTTAAAGGGTGGTGGAGACGCGTATAGACGCCCCACCAAAAACCTTAAGTATTGAAGCAGAGGAAGCAGCATCACTGGATAAAATCAAGATCAACAACCCACATCACCGTATCTCTGACCCGATGGAACCGTTGACCCTCCACATTGATCCTATCAGATATAGTTCGATATGAAATTGTGCTAACGACGTATCAAAATTGGGGAACGTCGATGAAAGAGGAAGGTGGTCGAAATCAAACGCATCACCTGGGAATTGTAATACGAATACGTAGCACAATTTTCATTCGCAACACTTGCTTATTGTATGTAGGGTCGTTAACACAAGCTTTGGGGCGTCTGCGGAAAGACGGAAAGCTCTTCAAGCATTTGCCAAGACAGTCGTCACTTGACGATTCCATCAATCTGGGAATTGTTTTGATTCGATTCCTTCTCAGGCGAGTCATTTTTTGGCAATCGTTAAGAATCGGAACTGGCCATAAATGAGGGGCCAGTCCGTGCTATATTTCCACTTCCAGTGCAAGCCCGAAATTGAGTCGGGTGAGAAAAAAATTTGCTTCGGAGCGAGCCGAGGTTCAAAAGTAATATAGATCTATATATGATAATAGAATGAAAAAGAAGTCATGTTGTAAAATGCGTTGCCTGATGTTATTTAGAAGGGAAAGAATGCAACATGAGTTCTTACATACTGTGAAAATCTGCACATATTAGACGTCTAGGCAATTCATACAGTAATATCTCCAGGTTCGCCTGAGGATACCTTAACCGCTACGATAGGAGAAGGTTCATCTGGTTACAATTATCAATGATCAATCGCGACGAGAACCCACCCGAGCACCTTCTTCAACCAGAGTAGCGTCGTCTGTCCCGCCTTGACTAGTAGATAGATAAGAGTGGATTCAGTGAAGTAACCCTAGGATTCAATTGACCGTTTTCAGGTACCGGGCTGAGGTTTGCGGGTTGAGGCCCACAAAGTAAAGTTGCTCATACACAGTGGAGTCCTGTCTGACTAGCGTAGAGGCCGAGACAGGCAATTGATTCGCTATCAACAGTATCGAGCCAACGCCCTTTCAGTCACCGGAAGGGCGGCGTGCTTGTTACAAATGTGCGGATTAAAGGATGAGAATGGAGACTGATCTAATCGACATAGTCCTGTAAGGACTTGGAAGTGTTCGAGGGACCAGTTGTGGTGTGTGACAATTCGACACGGGAAGTCATATTTCTGCAATAAAAGAGAAAGATAACACTGATGGCTGTTGATGGGAATTCTCAGATTCATGACGTTGTCGCCAAATTGTAAGAAATTTCTTCTCGTAGCACGTGTGTGGCTGGTGGTGATGTCTAACGTCCACGGGTCCCACTTAAAACATGCAGATGCCCAGTTTGGAGGCTGGAGAGGGCGTACCGGTGAGCATCCCCCCCTTCCAATGACCGCGGGATCTGACTAATGCTAGGTATGCAAAATCTTTTGATTAATCACAATTGTTCTGATTGTTATTGCTCAAGAAGCTTGAGCTTGAAAGGATTTTATTCTGCATATCATTTGTTATAATTGCATGTTTTGATCTCAATCAAATCTTCGATGTGTGTAGATCGTGCCCTAAGATCTTCGCGTTTGTTGCCTATGATACTTTGCATATCAGTATTAAAAGAGTGTTCCAGGCACAATCCCAGACGGAAACCCGTTTTGAGCCAGTTCAAGAAAGAACTTCTATCAAGAATCTGTTGAGACAGTTGTTGGCAGCACTTAAACGCTCTCAATCAAGTGTGCAATAAGCCAGTACCATCCATACGAGGCTCCTCCTGAAGAACCACCAAGCACGTTCTTTGCATGAAAAATGATATGCCTTTACAAGAACGGGGAAGCACATCGCAATGGATTATCAGGTGTCGAGATAGAGATTGTCTCGTCAAAACAGGTCCTAACATGAAAGTAACCCAAAGACCGGGCACTCGGCTCTTGTGCTTCAAATCATGACGAGATCTGATCCGAAACCCCCTTCACTTCTTCGCCTGAATGGTAATACCGTCAACACAATGGTGGTATTTCGGTATGTAACAAGGTACCAACATACCACCAAGACACAGGGTGCGGGGTATGGTTACTTTACAATATGAGATATGTTCAAAGCAGTCGAAAGACAGCCACCACAAGCAGATCAGCTTGCTGAGCTCACTCACTGATCAAGCGTGCATCTCCCTGATTGGTTGATATATGGCTATTCAGGGATTGTTTCGTTATTTCAACCTCCTCATCATTTGTTTTATAAGGACAAGTAGCTCCTTGTGCATGCTGAGAAGTACTCTCTACATGTATCACCATTTATGTTGGGTTTGAGTGCTGCCCATGGCCAGCTTAGGCCATTTCCACCCAACATTTGAGTTTGAAACCCTACTTGCTACACTATATAACACAACAGTGAAGAAGAACAAGATTTTTCTACTATTTGTTGTCAAGCTAGGAGCGAATTACTGGTGAAACGGTTGCTTTTCTAGTCTGCTGCGGTTTACAACGAGTTGCATTTGGTCATCGGTTGGTTATAATACCCATGAATTTTGGAAATGGCTGGCTGATAATCTTTTATTTGTCGTGAAAGTTGAGACAGAGTTTGAAGAACATAGCAGATTTATTGCATTTGTAGATACATTCCTGGCGATGAAATGGGAGATCTTTCGCCTAGTAGCACAGGATATGAACACAGCCGCGAAGTCCAGTCACGTTACAAACCAGTAGGATATTGACACATCAATTGAATATCTAAGTAATTGTTAGTTACAGTTTCGGGAAGCGTGAGATGCCCGAACGCTGATATCTGATACCATGAACAACTCGGGTTTGGCAGGTGTTGGCTGGTAACAATCATTTTTGACATATATGTAGTCCTGTCCTCTTCCTTTGCCATAGAGATATTGATTAATCAACGAATTACTTGGGGTCTATTATTTTACCGAAATCCTCCATGAATAGTTGTGTTTCCACAAGGAGAACATAGCACATATTAACTCGCCAATTCAAACTGAGCAAATCAAGCGCAATCCAAGCTACCAGCTATTCCACTTCCTTATTCTCATTACCCTCCTCAGCATTAAGCCTCTTACCTATAGTATACCCTTCAATTTAGCAAATTCTAGCTCAAGAAATAGCAGCATGGCAGGAGCAAACCCTGAAGGTGTTGCTTGGTTCCCTCGAGCAGCCTTGAAATGCTGGGAATTTGACCCAGATGATGCCAAACAGTTCTATCGACATATTCTACTCGAGATAGTTTCCAACTGTTATGTTGATGAAGGCTTCAATGCCCCAAAAATTCCTTGTCAGGACATCAACCGCTTAGGAAAGCAGGTTCTCAGTAACTTGTTCCGAAAAACTTATGCCCGTTACCAATACATGAACGCCAGTGAGTACAAATGTTTCACTCTCTTTTACTCTTCTACTGCATAATTCTGTTCCCCGGTTCTACCTTTACTATTCTTGCTCCCCAATACAAAATCAAGTCCTTACTTCTCTCCAAAATTTGTCGTCAATAGGCATAACTAACCATTGTGTAGTGGCCGGCAGCACTTGCATGGGTACCAAACGACAAGATTCTGTCGGGGGTACCGATGCTTACTTTGAAATTAGTGATCAGAGCGGAAAGAATGAGGTTGGGCTTTGGCCATGCCTCATTCCTACGCTCGACGAACAGTTTCTCTGGGTAGATTTGTCTTATCCACTGAGATGTATCTATATCCCGCTATGTCAAGAAGCGCATAAAAGATACCCTGATCGGTGCACGTACACCCGGGTGGAAATACGTCTTAGTAGTCCGACCCTGAAGATCTACAGATATATCAAGCTCGACGAGGAAGAACTTATCAGAGGGACTTATAATCTTGTTAACCGCGAAAAGGACTACGCCAAACAGATCGATACTCTTAACAGGGGTATTGTTGGCCAGAAAATGAGAGAAAGAGATCGTCACACGCTTAAATCGGAGTCGACAAACTTGGCACACCAGCTTCAGCAAAGAAATCCGACAACAAAGCTCCCAATTACAAAGGAACCTGGTGTCTTTGGCCCCGAGAAAAGGAGAGAACAAGGAATCTTTGGTGATGACTTTGAGGTGGTAGGTAGCAAAGTTTTGCAACGAAATGATACCTTTGGGTGGAAATTCCTACCTTAATACACGGCCCGGTTTGATATTAGATCTCTTGCAAGTATGCTTGCAATTTCCGCTCAGTTACGAAAAGAGGAGTTTCAAGACCCTTATCAATTCATCGTCCTTTTTGATTCCAAATCCGTCGTTGCAAAACAACCAACTCAAATTCGATGGATGAATAAAGCAGGTCTCATTCAACTTGACAGATTGATCAGTAGCCAATATGGCATCAGTGTTACTTACCAAGAAAATTGGTACGACAAAGATTGGATTGTCAAGTGCCTCATGGGTATTGTGGCTGTGGGTCTCAGTTGTATTCCGATGATTGGACCCTTAGTTGCCTTAGGGTCTCAATTGATCACAGATGCTATTCTAGACCCGGAGTCTTTCACAACTGCACAAGGACTTGTTGCCAAAATACCAAATATTACTACAGCCTTCGTTGCAACTGGACAAAACACGAAAGGTTTCCTCGCTGAAATGAAAACTGGGAAATCAGGAGGTCGACATGTTCTACCTTTGGAGAGTGACGATAAGCAGGGAAGGTCAATTCAGGTTGGACCTGATGCTAGTGATAGAGACGGAACAAGTGGTCAAAGTGATAAAAAGGTTGATACGTTGATCAACGAGGAAACTTTTGAGATTTTCAACGATGACCCTGAGCAGAGTGAGGATCTGGATAATCCAGAAAGCAAAAGTGATAGTGGTGAAACGGGGAAAGAGGAAGGCGAGGGGGAGAAAACCGATGGGAAGAAGGGGAGTGGAATTGATGGAGATAATACTTCTGAGAATGGGGCCAAGGATGACCCAGAAAACGAGGCAGAAGAGAGCGGCGAGAATAATGAGGGAGAAGAGGGAACAGGGAGTACTGGGGAGGGAGATGCTGAAGGGAGTGAGGCTCAGGTAGGTTCGGATAATGGAGACAATGAGGAAAGTCAGGATGAGAGTGGGAGTGGAGCGGGTGCCGCTGTGGGTCAAGATGACGCAAACGGCAAAGATGTTCAGGAGGGAGATAAAACTCCTAAGAGCGAGGCTTCTGAGGAAGAGCTTGGAAGTGAGGATGATGGTGAAAAAAGAGATGATAATAATGAAGAAGAGGTCGAGGGACAAAATCAGGAAGCTGAAGATGGAGGAAATGAAGATCAAAACAATTCTGATAACGAAGATAACGGGGCAGTTGGGGAGTCTGATGACACAAAAAGCGAGAACGGTCAGAACGAAGAGGACGATGATGATGGTGGGGATGGTGGAAATGGTGTAGATGGAACAGGGGAAGCGAGCGAAGTTGAAAATGGCTCGGATAGCGAGAACAATGGAAAGGATGAGGCGAGTGGAGATGCTGATCAAGTAATCAAAGAAGGGGTTTCCGATGCTGTCGACAATCAGGAGAATCAAGAGGTGGAAGATGGCGATAAAAGCGAAGGGGAACAAGGCAAGTTAGAAAGCGGGGATGATGGAAGTGACAGAGATGGTGAAGAGAACGACTCAGAAACGAAGAATGTCGATCAAGATGACAAAGATGGAAGTGATACTCAGGAAAGAGATTCAGGAGACAACAACGATGTGGAGGGAAGTGATCAAGAGAATCAACAAGCAGGTACTGCACAGAAGAGTGATCAAGAGGAGGACGATAATCAGAGTCAAGAAGAAGGCACTGAAGGGAGAAACGACGAAGCCGATCAAATAGATGGGGACAGCGAGGGAAGTGGTGAAAGAGATAATCCAGAAGGAGATAATCCAGAAGGAGATAATCCAGAAGGAGATAATCCAAAAGGAAATGCTTCAAAAGACAGCGATGTAGAGGGAGACGATCTAGGAGAATTGATCCCAGAGTCAGATGATGCAGGTGAACACGATCAAACACAGGACAATAATTTGGTAAATGATTCGGAAGGAGGGAATGAAAGCGATCAAAAAGATGAAGGAGAGAGGAGCGAAAATGAAAATCAAGAGGCAGCTGATGAACAGGGCCAAGAGGGTGATGATGGAGATGATCAAGAAGGAAGGGAAGACGGAAAGGAGAGTGAAAATACTCAAGAGAACCAAGAAGAGGGCAGCCAGGATGACGATGGAAGTGGAAATAATCAAGATGGGGATGAAGCGAACGAGAATAATAAAGAAGAGAACAACGCAGATGGAGATGAAGCGGAAGAAAACCAGGAAGGAAATGATACTGGTGATACTGAAGTGGGAGACGAGGGAGAAGATGATACAAAAGACCAAGAGGGCGGCCAAGAAGGAGACGACCAAGGAGGAGATGACCAAGGAGGAGATGACCAAGGAGGAGATGACCAAGGAGGAGATGACCAAGGAGATGACCGAGGAGGGGATAACCAAGATGGAAATGAAGAAGGTGGAAACGGAAATGGAGGAGATGGAGAAGATGCTAGTGGCGAAAATGATGAAGGAGGGAACGACGATGGTGGGAACGACGATGGTGGGAACGGCAATGGTGGTGGGAATAACGATGGTGGAAACGATGATGGTGGGAACGACGATGGAAATAATGGTGAAAACAATGGCGCTGATGGAAATGACGGAGATGGAGACGATTAACTACCTTTCACAGTGTAAGGCAGTGCTCGGTTATGATTCAAGTATTGCAGTTTTTCCCTCTTGTATTCCCTGCGACATTAATAGTTTTGAATAGGTAGGTAGGTGTAGTTAAGCAAACAATAATGATAATTTCGTTTTATATATTTTTGTGCATGATCCCCTAATCGAAATTGAATGATGAAATCGGGGGTATATTTGTATCAACAGATGGGTTGTTTATATCATTCTTTGAATAGTCTATCATAATTATATCCCCAGAAACCCTTTATTCATTAACAGACGTCAAATTTCCACATGTCAAATCTAGTTGCTATGGGTTTGGCGGTTTTACTTGACGCCGCAAAAAGAAAACCCAATAATGGTCGTAAAATCACCTCCATGTTCGAATCACCAAGAAAAGTAACCATCTTCATATCCCACGTGAAAAGACTATTGTATTTTCATTTGCTATTTAAATCTGTATACAGATACCAAAAAAGAGTGTACTGAATGTCCATCAATTCGAAACCCTGCTACCCGCTACCAGATGTCTCCATTCTTATTTACTGGGATCAAAATACCATTTCTGGTTATCCTCACTCTTTGAAGATGCGGAGAGAATGTCAGCCCCACTTTGGGTGCCAAAGTCTTTTACGGAGAGTTGGCCACGGCTAGAAATCTTGTTGTTGATACTGTGATTTTGATGTCAATCATCTAGACTATTGAATTGATCAAGGTGGAGTGGACAGAATGATACTCACGTGAAGACTTGGTAGCCATTGGTTGTTGCGGCCTTGATAGTCCAGCGGGCAGACTGATCAGTTGGGGAAATTTGAGGAGTAGAGACAATCTTGTTGTCGCCTATCAGTATCATATTAGCATGTGAATCATCTCCTAAGGCTTGTTGGTATAACACTTACCGGTTGCGGCGAGGAAGAAACCGCTGCGAACATTGATGATCAAATACTCGGCGCTTTCCCCTGAGCCAGAAACGAGTGCAACCTGCCACTTGGCGTTGTCGCTTGGTGCATCGCCACGAGCGCTGAAATTCCCAGTAGCATTAGTTATTGTCAACTGCAATATGTCAGGACGGTTTGCAATTTAACTTACTATGTTCTGACAACTGCTCCAGGTGTGAGCAAGCCTTCCCATGCATTGAGATTGAGAGTCGGAGCCTGGTATGGCACAATCTCGTAGGTACCGACGCCGTTGAAAACCATATTGAATGATGATATGAGAGAAAGTTGATTTGAGTAATGATTGTTGCTGTGAGAAGTAGATAAGCAGTGAGGAATGTAAATCAGATTTTGGTCTGGATATGCTCAACTTAAATATTCATCTCCTCGATCTTTGACGGTTATAATAGTGCGGAGTCCTTCAGTTTCTGTGTTTTGGTGGCTGGCTGTGCTATGGCTGATGGTTGCCATCGTGAAGGACGCAAACTATTGAGTGATACATCAATAGATTCTTCATTGGAACGGCTTGACAGTTGTGTCATAATCTATCACATATTGCTGCAATCAAAAAAGGGATGACATGCTCGAACGGGTTTCTAGCATAGCCAAGGTTGTTGTGAAAATACATTCATGCTCCTTTGCGCAAAATCACCCAATCGTGATGCCATATCACATCAACGAATTCAGCTCAGTATAACAGCCAGATTCCAGCGATAAAATCAATTCTCCAAGATCATGGTCCTTGGCAGAGGGGTATTTTGATATCCGGCGTTTAGCGACGTTACATGGGTGCGGGGTATTTGAAAAGGCGTAGCTGGAAATTTCATCTGAATCATCTTGAATTGGTGGGGTCGTTTAAAGATCCGTGATAGGTGTCAATCGCGATAACAAATTGCTGTGCTTGGATTATATGCGCGTTCGCTACGAGCTTGTCTCTACGTAACCGAAAAAAGCGGCGGAAGTTGAGTACCTTTCAAAGGTCTTTTTTAATAGATGATAAATTCATTTCAAATTAAATATTGAAATTTGAAAAAAGCAAACGAAAATTTGAGTATTTTTTGTATTGATAATAAATGTTTTTATTATTTGATATTATATCGAAAAGAGATCTTAGTGTTGAAGTTCTTTTGAATGGTGGTCAATTTCCGCCGCTTTTTTCGGTTACATAGAGCTTGTGAACACTTTATCACCGTGGGGTAGAATGAAGCTGAAAATACCCATCTCAAATCACGCCTTTCATGCGTTTGCCCAATTGCGCCTCATTCTCGTATTTTCAGATGAATTTGCCCATAGAAAGAACAGATAGAGTCATCGAAGAAGACAAATCAAAGACCAACACAAGTAACCGTTCAGATTGTGCCGAGGCCAAGAGATAATTCTGATCATTTTTATATGCAGAGAGCATACTGCGGCAGGCTGGGTCGTAGAAGCCTCAACTAATCGTCAAACATGCGTTGAAAATGTTATGTTGTGTAGCTGACAGCGGTGGAACTGCAGTCATGCAGTAGCACTGTGGGGGTGCCGACACCGGGAATTTGTGTGCAACGTAATGCGCGAAAATCTGTCACTTTGCTGACGACCCCCATTCATCTAGATGTAGAAGAATGATCTCTCTAAACTTCAGATTTTCACTGCCGCTCGTTAGAGCTTGCTGTACAGTGCGTCTGTCATATCAAACGTCTCAATATTCTACCCCTCTTAAACCACCCAAGACTTTCTCAAACGATACAACTGTTCTTAGCGGACGCCGCTTCGTATCTTTAAGAGTCTGTGGTATTCTGACAGATTCTAGACCAACAATTTAGGTAACATGAGGTTGTTTTGTGTTCCATACAGAGCACAGCCATATTGTGAGGTCAATTAGCTAATAATCTATTCTTGATACATCGCAGTATGCAGCTTTGAATGCGAATCAAACTCGTAGGTTGGATATATAGCATGAAGAGGATGAAAGATATTGAGACGTTGGCACACTTGTCGTGATAACAATTTATGGCCGAGTGTAACCGCATGGGAAATAGCGCGGTCTGTCTTGGTCGATTCGTCTCGGATTTGCGGGAAAATATTTCGTACCACAAAGAATTTTCCATTGATGATGACCTTCTCAAGAAGAGGAAGAGGTTAAAGCTGTGCCGAACTTGCAGCACATCTTGTTAATGCAGTGTGTCTGATAGTCCTGGGTCGCCCGTTTCGGCATGATAAACCAATTCATAAGTATTCACAGGCGTGGACTCTTTCCTGAGACAATGCAAAATAAGTATAGAAAACCGTTTCGCGTATATCAGAAGGAAGAGCATTCATAAAACAGTATCGATTTTGTGGATATTGTAAAGATGTAGAAGAGACATTGGGGTTTCCTTGAAAAGAAAGTACCAGCCGGTTGTTGCATAGCACTAACATTTGTATATCGAGAGCATCAGTAGCTGCTGTCTTAAGGGTAAAATATGGATTTGAGATTTGAGCATGATGGAATCGTAATATCAGACTGATAATGTGGACCCAAGACCGTCAATATTGGTATTTGTTGTAGATATTCCTCAACAGTCACCGCTCTCTTCAACTTGACACTTGTCAGTTCAGCATAACGGAAAGCATATAATGGATGCAATCAAATAGAATCCATCAAATGCCTCAATTCTTAGCCCGAGGAGGCGAACTATAGCCCCCAAAAGCCCTCCGTATCGACGGATTTCGAAAGGTTCGCCGTCAAAAAACGAGACATCAAATCCTGTGCTTTATCAAAGTATGAAATACTTTTGAGCTGTATTTGATTTTGCACAGATCAACAGAGAGCGAAGTAAGTAAATATCTTCAAATATACCTGTCCAGCAGACGTTCGTTCATCTTGAATCTGTTTGTGAAGTGGGAACAACAAACCCATTCCTCCCAAACAATTGTATTCTTCTTATCTTATCTCTTCCTTCCGTACGAAAAGCGACTGAGTCGTCTTGCCACTTTTACGAGCCATACTGTGGGAAAATAACAAGACCATGATTGAAAGTCGTCTGAAGTCGTCCTCCATACCACTGATATCATTTCTCAACCTTTTACCACAATCTCCATGCTCAAATATCGCTTCCATTTCTGACTTACCCAGCTATCATCTGTCTATCCATTCATTGCATAAACTCGGAAAAGGAATTGTCAATTCCCTATAAATAAAAGCAGCGCCCCTCTCTTACTGCTCGCTCCGTCCCCACGCAAAATTTTCACCACTCACAACACTACAACTTCAAAACATTATATCTCCATCAATACTTGATTTTTTTTGATGATTCTTGATGCAAAAGAACTACAAAAAGATAAATTGATCACTACGAGGGTCGAACTCGCGACCTTGGCGTTTTCGGGCTCCGATGTTTATCAGAATCTATTAGCACCACGCTCTAACCAACTGAGCTAAGCGACCGATTGTGGTTATTTGATGGAGGAAGATGCTTTTTAATGATATATATTCACATGGTTGTGAATGTGGGATAGAGAAGAGTGGAGTATGTGTGGTTGTGGTAGGATGATCGGTGGTGGAGTCTAGGGACAGGACGGTAGACGGTGTATTCCGCACCGAGCCGGGCACTATTAGTGGGGCTATGGCTGGCTTGCCTTGTTTGCTATTCCGAAGAGCACGTATAGAGTCTAGGTGCCTGTTCACAGGTGATATGTTGAGTGAATGAGGCTACATATAGAATACAACAAGAGATTTGACTCTTTGAACTAGGAGCGATCTATCGAGTCGCGACGTTACAAAGAAGCTATCTTGATAAGAGACAGAAATGAGAAGCCGAGATATCACATGTCCAGACTCCTTCCGATGATGGTGTTGGAAAACAATGGTATCATATTAGAAGATGTCAGAAAGTTAGAAGTCGATCAATGGTATCGCGAGCTCGGGATGAAATTATAGAAATGAAAACGAACCCCTAATGCATCCAATTAATTCGCAAGCTCATGTCATTGTCAGATTTCAAGAACTTAGCAATATCACCAGCTCGTCAGAAATCTAAATTTCGCGGTAGACTAACGATATACCTAGAACGATGAAGAAGGAAGAAGATTTGAAGGCTTTTGGGTTCAGACAACGGGTGTTAGTTCACTCCCATCAAAACCCTCTTTCTTTCCCCTGCCCTGAAAAGACACAAATCACGCGAAATCTCAAGCTTCGACGACCCTCCACTTCCCGTCTGTTGGGCTTCGAATTGTATTCGACGATTAGACGATTAGACGGGCGTGAGATAAGACTCGACTCATCATTACCGGCACGGAGACTATCATAATCATAATCATATATATACATACATCCTATCAATCACCCATTTCCAAGTCCGAACATCCTCGAATTCCGGATAAACTAACCAACCAACCAATCAACCAACTCAAAGCTCAAACAAGCTTGGACATCCCTTTCCGCTCCCCGACATTTTATATTAATATTGCATTATCACAGATCTCAGCTAACAATACACCTCTAAGTATATCCCGAAGATATAGGAAAAAACAAGCCAACATCGATATTATCATCCCATACATACATACATACATACATACATACATACATGACCAAGACCCCATTTGTGTAACCAACACAGGCACATGCATATCCCGAACAATCTCATGTAATTTCCCCCCGCAGCAGCCACCACTGAATTCGGCAGTTTTCATATTCCCGTGATATTCAAGGGAGAGAAGGAGTTCGAATATCGATTATCGAAACAACACTATAATTATATCTTGGCCAAGTATGAGGGCTACTATACTATACTAATATACATGAGATTGGTGATAAAATCAGCATGCATGTCATAACCATCACCAAGTATCACAAGAAGAAGCCCAATTTTGAGTAAATTTTGATATCTTTGTTATATCCTATTTCATCGCATCTCAATTCATAATACGTGACCAGAATTCCATAAGCCTCTCCCACCAATTCAATTCTCAGCCCTCATCTCCATACCCATTGAATTATCTCGCCCCACAGCACTCTCTTTCTTCGACACTTTTGTATGACCATTTCAATCATCAAGACTAAAATGGAATATCAACCCCATAATTGCCCACCCAAGCCTAAAATACATATAAGTACAAAGCGTAAAAGTTCTCGCCTTCGTTTCGTATGGGAAAGTCTTTTCTAAATATTAGATCATGAATGTATGTACTGGTTATCGAGAAAAGAAAAGACGCAAAAACCGCCTGCCGTGCTGCGTCATGTTTGTTTCGTGAAGGTGAACATTATGTTTGAAATAGAATACAGTGGAGAAAGAATGGAA